TCCCTGACGCGTTGGCCAGATCTTACTGAATGCAAAAGAAGAGCGTCGCCAGTCGATGGCCTAGAGGGCGCAGTAAAACAAAATCCTCGTTTTTGCAAATCTCGAAAACTTGACCAATTAAGGCAATTCTTTAATCTCTAGCTTACTCTCGGCCCACTCTTGGCTACGCTCGGCTTCACAAAAAATTATATACAGGATATCTAAAAAAAGTGCGAGTGTGAAGTATTCCTTTCTTGTCACTGTAGTAATTTTGATAGTTCCAGAGCTTGTTCCAATGAAAATATATACCTTACAGTATATTTTTAAAAAAATAACTAAAATCTATAAATTGACAGACGGTACTATAGAGTTAAAAATTAAGTGTTTAGAGTTGGTTTATACTAACTTTATCATGAATATCGTAATCGTACATTGTACAGGGGGAACAAAATTCGATGCCGAACTTGCTAAAATTTCTTATTTTTTAAAAGGAACGCAGTGAAATATTGACACGACTTTTTCACCTAATAGTTTTTTTTGTCCTGTATTTATTTACGAAAACCCAAGAAAAATTACTGTATGTTTTAACCACGTTCATATTAAATTTTGAGCGCTCTGTATAGTTATAACATTTATAATCGTTAGTACAGACCACCTGTAGTAAATACCAAGCATTGTTTCTATTTCAAGCCTGGTATTTTTTTTTACAAATAGCTGAAAATACAATATGACTGAAAAAAACTGCGGGGCGATGGCTTTTCGTGGAACAGACGCTGTCATTTTATATGTAAACATATGGGAAATATCATCGATGTTCATTTCCCAGCCAACTGACGCCGTTTTTTCGATCATACGGTATATGTAATAGCTTTTCAGATATTTAGTGCGATTCATGCAACTTTCCCTATTGGAGGTAGGAGCCAGAGAGTGAAATAAAAATAAACAAAAGACGATGAGAATTATTCTAAAAAATGTATAACTTAATTTTTTATCGCACTAAATGTCTCTGAAAAACGTGCACCTATATTTTGGTGTACTTATTTCTTGAACTATCAAAAACAAATTTAGTAAAAACGTGAAAAAGAGAAACATTTAATACATCCACACTTTTTTCAGCACCCTATACAACTGAACATAATTTCCTGAAATACGATCTAGTGCACGTTTTTAGTCTGCACTTAAAATTAACTTAAGCCGCTTTGTTACGGGACCCTGTGCGTATTTTTTGCATTGTGGTTATCAACACTGTCTATGCCATTGAGACAAAAAGCGTATGTCAAAATACAGGGTGACCCGGTATACTAAAAAGACCTAATATAAATTTTTCTGTTTGCGATTTTCACACTCCATTTTTTTACAAATGAGAACAATGGTAGAGCACATATTGAAAATATTCTTATACATATACAGGGTAATACAAAATATTTTTTATACTAATGTTGTAGTATTCCTTAAAAAACTAAAAGAATTATCTATAATACCTGAGTAGAGCCTATAAGTACTTTTGTACCCTTTTGTTTTAAGATTTTACTATTAATTTAAACTGAGTTATTTTTGACTTCAGTTATATTTTCAGACATTTTTAAAACTTGTATTGTCCAATTTTCAAAATAAAATAAATACATATATTTTGAAATAAAAAAAAAAAAAAAAAAAAAAAAAAAAAAAAAACATAAAATAATACTGATGTTATTTAAAAATTTGAAAATTTCTATAGTAAATCTACTGAGCAAACAAAAATATAAACCTAAAAAAAAATAAAAAAACTGCAACATTAAGTGTAAAATTATAGTAGAATCAATGTATATCTATTAAAACCAAAGTATATCTATTAAAATATTTTGCTAGAAAGAATAATGAAAAACTCGATTTGAAAATGTTTCGGTATACTGGGTCACCCTGTGTACAGTATATGTAAATTAACATATAAAATTTAAAAATATGTTACATTTGTTTAACAAAAGCAAAAAAAGAATTATAAATCCATTTAATAGTTGTTGGTTTCAAAAAGATTTTTAAGAAAATATAGGCAACCAACAAATCATCTTAAATTACAAAAACCCGAAATATATTTTAATTAAAAGTTTGATAACCACAGCAAGTGGGACACATCACTAATAATATTTATAATCAATATTAGGTGTATTCAATCAAATTGAGGAGTGTTTTAATCAATAATTTTTCTTCTTATAGCAATAATTAAAACTTCTAAAGATTAGAACAACAAAACCAATAATATTATAATTACCTTATTTTGCAAATTAAGTTATTTAATTTAAAATATTTGTACTGAAAAAAACACCTTATATTGATTATATTACATATTAAAAGCAAAATGTAACATTAAAAAATGTGCGACACTAAAGTTTTACATAGATACAAACAAATATTAGAAAAACTGTGTAAAACAATTAGATGTACCTGTAGCATCCATATATTTATTAACAACATATAATTTTATATTAATTATACTGTACTTTATTATGATGAAAATAAATAAATATATTTTTTATTAACTCTGTGTTTTATTGTTATTCTATTGAGGTAATTTGCAATATTTTACAACGATCTAAATTTTATATTACGAAACAATAAGGTAAGTAATAATAGTAACAATAAGCCAAAGATATTAAGTACTTAAAGAAAAATGCAAGAAGCAAAAAATTAGTATTTTAAACTGAAATAAGAATGATTATAATATTTAAATAATTAACGTTAAATCAACAAATGAGACATTCAATTAAAAAAATAATAATGATTAAATTTTTATCCGACTTTATATTTAAGAAGCGTTTGCAAATAATTTTAACGTCAAACACAAAGTTTTTAAGTTGAAAATCACACAAAATAGCTTAAAAAGAAGCGTTATAACAAACAGATGGTGCCCCATGTACTTTTAGATAATTAATTACAGAACTTCGATCAAGACAAACGAATATGGAATAAATGCGATAATAAATATTATTTAAAAATAATTAAATAGTTTCACTTAGTTTATATTATGGCGAATGCGCTAGGCGATCTTAGAATATTTTAGATATAATATGAATATACTGTCTCTGTTAAAAAATTAATATATTTTTGATATAAAAAATCTGCTATAATTACTTTTTACTAAAAAAGAAATATACAGGGTGTCCCATTTTAAAGACATATATTTCATACGAATAACATTAACAAAATTGACAACTTATACAAACATTTTACATTGTTAAAATTAAAAAGCATGTGTGATAATCTTTGAAATCAGAAAAAAAAAAAAAAAAAAAAAAAAAATAATATACAGGGTAAAACATTAAACATGTTTATACCAATAACTGTAACAATTGAGAGCTTATGACATCCAAATTATGACAACTAAAGACTTTTATTTTTTATTTATTTACAAAAATAGAAAAAATATATAAATATAAAAATTTTTTTTTCCAGTTTACAAAAAATAGAAAAAATATATAAATAAGTAGTATAATGTTTGTTTGAAATTAGGATAAACAGCAATGCTAGGTGTAAAAATAAAATTGTTAAGTTAATTTGTATTATGTTATGACAGATGCGCTAAATTTTAGAATATACAATAAAAATCGGCATTAGCGACTGTTTCATGGCAAACCCTGTATAAAAATCTTTGTTGAATAAAATGCGCAACTAAAAATGTCAGTCCGCGTGGGCAAGCGTTTTTACGACATTCCTATTTACTTACATCGAATTTGTTCCATTTGGCTGTATTACACTATTACATTATTATTATTATTACAAATATACAAATGGCTTACTCTATATAGCCTGTTCAACGAGCCGAAGAAGAGTTTGACAGATAACATATCCTTAAAAATGACAGAAAATACAATTTACCTGTTAATTAAAATGACAAACACAACTGTCACTGTCAGGAATCCTCCTTTGGATAGACTATATTACACATGACATATAACAATACAAAATAGTAGGTATATCGAGTTTATTAGGAGTAAAAATGATACTTTTGTGGCGACGCTGCACGCCTGACATTACAGGCGAGGCACAAAAGTCATTTTTACCCCGAATAGAACATACTATTTTTTCAACGTCACAAATAATTTTATTTTTATTGATTTAAAACACAAAGAACGACGCAAATAAAATAAAAACATTTGAAAGTAAGTAATTATATATCGAGAAACTATGATTACGCTCGTTAAATTTGACACTTAATGTCAGTTTAATATATATATTTTTTGCAAAAAAAAAAAAAAAAAAACAAATATTTTTTTTATATTGTCAATCACGTAGAAAAATTAATACTTTAGATGTTTGAAAAAAAAAAAAATTATAATGAAAAAAATTGATCAATCATGAAAAAACATCTGTCCCTAGGCCAGTGGCGCATCTAGAGACTGGATCTGGGAGGAATAATTGCAATATTTAAGTAAACTAGTAGATTTGAATGAAATTTTTGCTAAAAGTTTTTAGTAATCGTAGGAAAAAAAATAAACTTGGAATTGTAATTATTTTTATTTATTTATAAATTTCTTTCTAGGATGGGTAATTATTCCCTTTACCACACTCGTATGCACGCCCCTGTCCTATGGTACCAAAAATAATTCATGTGCCAGAAAACTATATGAACACAAGTATTAACAAAATGGATTATTTTACTAAAATAATCAATCTAGAACTTATAAAAATGATTAAATTGACCATTAAACTATTAAATTATCATCTGATCGCAGATATAGTTAGATAAATTCCATAAAATTTAGTTTGTGTTAATACAATAAAAAAATATTTAAAATATAAACTTTTAAACCAAAATAATACTCGTGTTCACAGAGCTATAGTGATGCAGCTGCGCAAGCATAACATTTATAATTTTGATAATCCGGAATTAATTTAGAGTAATTAATTAAAAAATAATTAAAAACTAATAATATAAAAAAATTTGGTAATGATACAAATTTATAAAGAATCTTTAATTTATTAAAAAATATTACGTTATAATACAACTAACAATTTAATTAATAATTACAATATCTAATGATTTTATATAATGCAAAAGTAAAAGATAAATGAGATTGAAGAGAAATTATAACAGATTATTATTATATTGCTCAACATATTTTTCATAAAGATTAATGCATAGATGTTAATGATATAAAATTAATCAAACATGCCTCAAACTAGAGGCGATTAGATAATAAATAGAGCATCAAAATATAAATAAAAAAAAAGACAATATAAACAGAAATATATCCTATTCATGAAATAAAGTTAATTGTTCTTAACAAGTATTTTATTTGCAAAATCTTAAGAAAAAAAACGGTTTTTATCCAGATTATCAAAATTTTACAAAAAATCAATAACACTAATATGACGCCTGATATACTTAAATAGTTAAGAAAAGGATAAAAACCAGTAAACAAATTTATTGAAACAATAACAATATTAATGAAGCTAACGAACCTTGGTCAGATATTGAGGAATATTGAGTCTGCTTCATGTTGAGTGAAAGAGGAAAGCGAGGAGTAGGAGCAACTGTTGATATCCATTGTTAAGAAAATGAGGAGATATCTAAAAAATAAAATAAAATAATATTAAAAAAGAATAAATAATATATGTAAAATTAAAATAAATATATTTTATTGTACGCAATAACTATGTTTTTTAAATTAATAATTTGTATATACCCTATGAGAAAAAAAAAACGCATTATAGTGGTTTTTGAAATAACAATTGATGACAATTATTTCTGCCAGGTAGACCAGAATATATCATTTATAAAAAATTGGTATAAAAAAATTCAAAGTTCATTTTTTTTTAAGTTAAGGTTTTCACCTTTGAATAATAATTGGTATGTTTGAAAACTTTTTATTTTGTTACATTTAAATATTACTTTTGACAAATTTTTATATCAATTTTTAATAAATGACATATAGGAATAGACGTTAAAAAATATATTAAAAAAATATATATCTATGTAAAAAGTAAAATAAATATATATTTTTATCAGCAAGCATATTAATTTCTTAAGGCCTAAAAAGTAGTAAACGAATTAAAAAAATACGTCCTTCCTTAAATTAATAATTTGTATATACTCTGAGAAAAAAAATTGCCACAATATATCATTTATAAAAAAATGGTATAAAAATTTATAAAAAATTAAAGAATGAAATGTTAAAAAATTTCAAAGTTCATATTTTTTTAAATTAAGGTTTTCACCTTTGTATAATAATCGGTATGTTTGAAACCTTTTTCCTTTTTTTCATTTAAATATTATTTTTGACAAGTTTTTATATCAATTTTTAATAAATGACATATTATAGGAGAAGACGTTGACCTCAGAGACCTGTGCAGCTTCAATATTATGAAAACTTATCATAATTTTCAAGCTTGTCAATGAAATTTAGTAAGAAAAAAGAGATAAATAATTTACCATTGATAAAGGACTGCGACCACTTTTCAACAGCTATTAAGTACAGTCCTAAATGGTCTTTCTGAGTCTTTTCCTGCAAATTTCATTCCATTTAAAGCTTTTTGATCACCACCATAATATTTGCAGATAGTACGGCTTGTGGATTTTTAACAGCAATTGTCCCAGCATATACCTAAAATTCGAAAAAATATTAAGTAAATTTTTACTGTACTAATTTTTGAAGATTTTTGAAAACAAGACTAATAAAAAACAAAAATAAAAAGGATTAATCAAAATTATATTTATAAAAATATATATTTATGGCGTTTATTCTAGTGGGAACTTTAACATATCTTCAAGGTGTGTGTGACGAGTTCTGTAATTTTAAACCAGTTTTGAATAGCAAATGTTGACAATTTGTCGAAGGATTTTTTTAAATAGTTAATTTTGTGTTGAAATCAGTATAAATTGTGAGAAAATAAATCCGTTAGGTATTTTATCGTGACTTTAAATTAGCGGAACCACGAAATCTGTAACAATATGCAACCAGTAATACAGTATCAGCATTTTATTTTGTCCTGCCTATTTTTAATAGTCGTTGGCTGTTATAATATTGGAGCAAACGCGCTCGAATATTAGAAAATTTTAAAAATTTTCAAGCTGTCCAATGAAAATTTATAAGATAGATAAATAACTTACCACTGATAAGGAACTGGATGCGTTCTAATAGCTATTAAGTAACAGCAGTTCAAAATGGTTTTCCTCGATTTCTTCTGAACAAGTTTCATTCCATTTAAAGCTTTTTGATTTCCGCCATAATATTTGCAGATAGTACGGTTTGTGGATTTATAACAGTAATTGCCCCATCGTATACCTAAAATATCAAAAAAATATTAAGTAAATTTTTACTGTACTAATTTTTGAAGATTTTTGAAAACAAGATTAATAAAAAACATAAACAAAAAAGATTAATCAAAATTATATTTATAAAAATATATATTTATGGCGTTTATTCTAGTGGGAACTTTAACGTATCTTCAAGGTGTGTGTGACGAGTTCTGTAATTTTAAACCAGTTTTGAATAGCAAATGTTGACAATTTGGCGAAGGATTTTTTTAAATAGTTAATTTTGTGTTGCAATTAGAATAAATTATGAGAAAATAAATCCGTTAGGTATTTTATCGTGACTTTTCTTTGCTTTAAATTAGGGGAACCACGGAATTCGTAACAATATGCAACCAGTAATACAGTATCAGCATTTTATTTTATCCTGCCTATTTTTAATAGTTGTTGGCCGTTCTAATATTGGAGCAAAAGCGCTCGAATATTAGAAAATTTTAAACATTTTCAAGCTGTCCAATGAAATTTTATAAGATAGATAAATAACTTACCATTGATAAAGAACTGGATCCGCTCTAACAGCTATTATGTAACAGCAGTTCAAAATGGTTTTCCTCGATTTCTTCTGCACAAGTTTCATTCCATTTAAAGCTTTTTGATGTCCGCCATAATATTTGCAGATAGTACGACTTGTGGATTTTTAACAGCAATTGCCCCAGCATATACCTAAACTTCCAAAAAAATATTAAGTAAATTTTTACTGTACTAATTTTTGAAGATTTTTGAAAACAAGATTAATAAAAAACACAAACAAAAAAGATTAATCAAAATTATATTTATAAAAATATATATTTATGGCGTTTATTCTAGTGGGAACTTTAATATATCGTCAAGGTGTGTGTGACGAGTTCTGCAATTTTAAACCAAACAGTTTTGAAATGTTGACAATTTGGCGAAGGATTTTTTTAAATAGTTAATTGTGTGTTAAAATCAGTATAAATTGTGAGAAAATAAATCCGTTGAGTATTTTATTGTGAGTTTAAATTAACGGACCCACGGAATCCGTAACAATATGCAACCAGTAATACAGTATCAGCATTTTATTTTGTCCTGCTTATTTTTGACTGTTATTGGCTGTTCTAATATTTGAACAAAAGAGCTTGAATATTAGAAAATTTTAAAAATTTTCAAGCTGCTCAATGAAATTTTATAAGATAGATAAATAACTTACCATTCATAAAGAACTGGATACGCTCTAACAGCTATTAAGTAACAGCAGTTCAAAATGGTTTACCTCGATTTCTTCTGCACAAGTTCCTCTCTCTCATTCCATTTAAATCTCTTTTATGACCACCATACATATTATTTGCAGCTAGTATGTCTTATCGGTTTCTAATAGCAATTGTCCTATCGTATGCCTAAATAAAAAAAAATATAAGGTAATTTTTTATTGTAGCAAATTTTGAAGCTATCAGAAAACAGACAATAACATAAATTATGTTAATATTTAGAACTATGTAACATAACAAACAAATAATAGACATTTTTTACATTAATTTGAATAAGTTATAAAGAGTTATATAAAATTAAAAAAAAACTTTTATTGATAACTTCTGAAATGATATAAAAAATTGTAAAATTCTTTGATAAGTAAATAAAACATTATTATAATGAGTTAATAATAATCCAAACAATAAATATCTAATTTACTAGATATATAGAAAAAGAAAAAATTAATATTTAGTAATAACTCGTAAATTTATTGCGTTATTTTGGTGATAACTTTAATAATTTTGAAATAAATTTAAAGATATGCAACCAGTAAAACACTGTTAGCATTGTATTTTTTTTCCACTTTAACTGGCCATGAGTTTTTAATTTTTTGAGCTCTAATATTAATTAAAAAAACAATTATATTAGTTTTCCAGTCAAGTTTTAATACGGTTTTATTATTATAAATGTCATACACTCGCAAGTATCACCCAGTTATTGGTAAAACTGTATATTTTTAAGTAAAATGCCCTAAAATTAAAAAAAGAGAAATAAACATAATAATTTTGGTGTATTTTTTATTAAATTCTGATAAAACTATTACAATGAAAGGGCATGAGTGTCTTTTAGAAATTAAAAAATGTGCTACCTAATATACTTTTAATGTATAGGGTCTTCCATTTAAAAATACACATTAAAACTTGAGCTAAAACTTTATAATTTCTTTTTTTTAATGAATGTTCTAGCTTCGAAAATAAAAAAAAGTTAAAATCTGTTAAAATTTAGGGCAAAATAAAATGCTAACACTGTACAAACTGCAGAGTATGAATATTCTGTAAAATTTAATCATTTTACAAAATTTTCAAGCTTATATATTTTATAACAATATATAAAGGGCATTTCAGGTAACTAGTCCATTAAAAATGTTTTTTAAATGAAATTTAGTCCAAATTAAACTAGTTATAGACTTAGAAATATATATACAGTAAAAAACTTTTAATGAATCAGTTGTATGAAAATCCCTGTATATAAAATGATCAAAATAACTAACCATTATTAAAAGGCAACAGATGTCGAGCCCAACCCTGGTTCTATTAACTTTCCATCCTGAAACGACTGACATTTCTCTGTATCCAATCAAAAATTTTCCTTCAAAGCTGCAACTTGTTCGTTGAGTTGTGACAGCAGCTGTCAAAATGTCCATTACCATCAATTTGTTCAGCTCACTAAAAGTACAAAAAAAATTAAGAGAAAAAAAATTAAATAATAAAAAAATATGACGTCAGTTTGATCATACATATAAAAAAAAAGAGATAAATAACTTACCATTGATGAAGGACTGCATCCACTCTAACAGCTATTACATATACAGTCTAAAATGGTTTTCCTTTATTCTTCCTGCAAGTTTCATTCCATTTAAAGCTTTTTGATGTCCACCATAATATATTATCTGCAACTAGTACTACTTGTTGACTTCTAACAGCAATAATTGTACCGTTGTATACCTAAAATTGAAAAAAATATATTAAATAATTTTTTATATCAATTTTTTTAAACATAAAAAAATATATTAATATTCAAAACTCTGTAAAAATATAAATAATAGCTATTTTTTATATCAATTTAAATAAGTCATATTAAACAAACAATAAACAATAAAGATCTTAGATAGACTTAAAATTAGTTAATTTTTTCTAATAAAAAATAATTATAATTAATATATTTGCGGTTTTAATGATCGAAAAAAATATAAATAAGGTATCTACTTTACTAATAGTATCAAAATAAAAAAAATCAACTTATATTTACTCGGTTTGTAAAATTTTATTGCGTGTATCTTAGTGGAAACTTGAATAATTATTAAAAAAAGATTTAAAAACTGCATTTTTTTCCAAAATCGCTGATATGCAACCAGTAATACAGTGTCTGTATTTTATTTTGTCCTGCTTTTAAGTCTTTTTTATTATTGTTTTAGTTCACAAAAGAAAACAGAAATAGAGCCTGTTAATATTGAGCCAAAAGAACTTGAATACGATGGAAAATTTAATATTTTTATAAGATTTTTAAATTTTATAAGAATAAGTTGTGAGGCATAACTTACCATTATTAAAAGGCAACAGGTGTAGAAGTCAATCCAGTAAATGGCATTTTTCTGTGTCCATTGAAGATTTTCCATTAAAACTGGAACTTGGACTGGAAACAGCTGTCAAAACGTCCATTAATACCAATTTGTATTGCTGACTAAAAATACAAAAAATAAATAAGTAAATTTTTATAAAGTCAGTTTCTTCACACATTTTGGAATAAAAAGTTTTTTTTTAATATGTTAGGTAGATATTAAAAAAATAAACGCAATAGTAACTCTTTGAAATATTGTCAAATATTCATAGATTTTAACAAAAAGAAAACATACTAATTAAAATTAAAATTGTCTGATACAAATTTGTAAATAACTACAAAGATTGAAAAAAATATATTAATATATTTTCAATCTCAAACTTATTTTATTTTGAATTTGAAGCCTACAATTTTGTCGTGAAATACAAAAATTGTAGCCTTAAAAAATAGTAAAAAATAAAAATAACTTACCATTTTCATAGTGCAATGGTAATGAAGGCTAATCAATCTAAGTACTATTGATTGTATCTTGAAATTGACATTTGTGGACAAGTTTTTCACTATCGTTTCATTCAAAACATTTCTTGACATTCCTCAAACGTATGCACAGTAGTAACTCATTTGCAGATTTGTAACAGCAACTGTTAACGCCCAGTACATCACTCGAACAGATATCTAAAAATTAAAATAAATAGGAAAAATTGTAGTATCAAATTAGATTAATTTAAATAAAAAAAAAACGATAAAGATAATTTTCAAACGTTCGAGAAGCAGCCGCTATCTAAAATACGGTTAGTTTTTGAATAGCAAATGTTGACAAAATGGTGAAGGATTATTAGATAGTTAATTATGTGTGTATATAGTGAGAAAATAAATTCGTTAAGTATTTTATCGTGAGTTTAAATTAGCGGACCCACAATCGATAACAATACCTATTAAAATATATGTGTATAAATTCAAAATATTAAACTTGTAGAACTTGTAAAACTTAAAAAAAGAACATGATTTGTTAAAACTTACCATTTTTGAAAGATATCTGTGTTGTGGAAGCCAATTTAAGGTCCTGGTACTACTGCAGCCTAAACTCGTCTTTTATGAGCTTCTTCCCAGTTTAAATTATGTAAAAATTTCTTTGGAGTTACTAATAATTCATACAAGGTGTTATACCAGCTGCCATTTTACATATCCACCAATAGATAGGCTTGTATAATACACAAATAAATGAAACCTGATGTCCAAGATATCAATAACACCTATAAAAAAAAATAAAAGTTGTGATAAGTATTTACTTTTTGTAACTAGATGAAAAAAATTACCTTAATACAGTTGCACCAAATTTCATTCAAAAAACTTCCATTACAGCGAACAAAATCCTCCTCCTTTCCCCTCAAACATCTTCTATCTCCTTTCCTTCTATTTCAAAGCAATCCTCTTCTATTTTCCAAGTCTCACCAATTCTTATTCAACTACTTATATAACTAACTTATACAAATTTCAGGCGTCTTACAAACATTTTTAAAAAAGGGGGAAAAGGGATATAATGCTACAACACACGACTACGCTAGCGCACCTACCTAAAAAAAGAAAAACACTTTTTTAGTAAAAGAAAATGATAAATATAAAGTTATATAAATTTACCTGATGGCATCTAGAAGACGGCCCTAATCCTGCTGTTGTCCCCCCAAAAAATTCATTCCAAAGCAGTTTAGTACAAAAAAGATTTATGCAGGAACAAACTGATTTTAATTTTAGTAACAAAAATAAATTACTAATACTTTAATTCTTATTATAATGTAAAATTACATTATTTACGTTTAATTAAAAATTACTATTAAAAAAATTAAATAATATTATCAATTTTAAAATAAGACGAAAAATAGTTATTTCCAAATATAATAGAAAAACAATATGCTACCTAATTGTGTCTTTTTAGAGTTATTTTTTATTACCCATTTATTATTACTAAAAACTTTATATTAAAGCCTTGTATAGAGCAAGAAAAAGTAAAAATGAATGTAAAATTGCAAATTAAAAATGAGTACTTAATGCGACATCTGTAAATGTAGGGAACATAAAGTTACTGCTTTGGAACCACGACGCGAACCGACTTTTGAAGTTCTCCAAGCCATACCGTATCACCTGTAAGAGAAAAAAAAATAATATTAGAATATTTCCAACAAATACATATGCTAGAAGAAACAAAAAACAAGCTATAGACAACAACAAAAAAAACAATGTAAAATATAAAACTCACCATCGCATCTTGCTTAAGTTCATTTTTCAGTCCCACCATAATAATTATACGGCGAAAAAAAACAGTGACGTCTCACTGCTATGGGGCACATCGAATGCCCCCCAACTCCATGGACTTCGGGTCGATCCTGTAGAGTTGACAATAAACACGTTTTCCAGGTATTCGACGGTGCCTGGAACAATCCGAAATTTTTTGGGACTGATCATATGTAGCATGTAGATAGAATTTCTGACTTTTTCAATCTTGTTTATTAAAATCGCGCTGCGAACCCGGGTTGTCCTAAAAAGATAAAAAAATAAATTAGTTATATAAGTAACTACAAGTTAAATTAGAATTTAAACTTATTAAAGTTATTCTACTTTAAATTGAAGCAGTTTTAAAAAAGTTGCTCTAATTACTATACAAGTTATTCTACTTTAAATTGAAGCTCATGTAACAAAAAAACTAAAATATACAACACTTATATAAAAAGAATTTTGATTGCTATACATGGTGCGATAAAAAAGTTATTTGGTAGAGAGTACAGTAAAAGTTTACAATTTAAATGTAGTATAAAGAAATTAAACTTACTTTTAACAGGTTTAAGTTAGGCCTGGTTATGCTCGCCTCCTGCCGACATTTTCTGCCTTCAAAATTCGACGCGGGGCAGACCAAGAGAAAAAACAAAAAAATGTTTCCACGACCCGCCTGCGAGTGTGTGCTGGTTGCCTTCCTTATGCAGATTCGACCCATTGGTCGACGATTAAGCCTCACCAGTCAGTTCCCATCCTAATTAAGCCGCCTCGTCTGGGTCACCCTCGTCACCCGTCGGACGGACATCCACCGACCCCTACAGGCGGACCCTCCTCATCTTCAATGTGTCCGATATCCCGCCCCCTGCCCTTCGAGGGTCACGGAATACGTGCACGAAGAAATCTCGGAGCTTGGGTGCCAGGTTGTATCCGGCCGAAGCCTCTAGCATTAGAACACCTAGCTCGTAAATCAGAGGGTGGTGACTCCCTTGGGTACCTCTGCATGCTACACAGGTCATCGATGCCCGAACATCGGGGTTAGGGGGTGACCCAAGAAGTCTCCTCTCTTGGGGAAGGCCGCGCCGCGCTCTGGAGTCATCTTAAGCCGGGGATCCACACCGACAAAAACACTGTTAACCAACCGCATCAGCTAATGAAATTCACTAATGTTGAATTAGGAAATTTTATTAACCAACACAGAGAGCTAGCAATGCTCGTGTGAGTGGGGAAGGAGTGTGTGGTGTTGTAGTATTAATATAACGCGCCTAAAAAAAGAAAAAATATTGGAATACCTATAAAAATATTATCGAACATCTATAAAAATATTACGACAATATATAAATAGGTATATTTATTTTAAATGAAAAAAGAGATGCTCCATTTATATCTCAGCAATATTTTATAAGATTTTTCCTTGATTATTATACCAAAAATGTCAAAAATATAAAGATGTTATATGACATAGAAAAAAAGAATATAAATTTGATGAATATGGTCAAAATCCAAAGAATTTTTCCATGATGTAACACATAAAAAAATAAAAATACACAAGGAGTTTTTAGAGTTGTAACATATTATTTAGAGCTAAAAATTAAACCAACAGTGTTTCAAATAAATAAAAAATATTAAAGTTATATTTTTTTAACAATGAGACATCCTATATATATACAAGGTCCGGCAATAGTGCGTCGGACAGCTGTAGCTCCAAGAATAAAAAACTTGAGAATTTTATTAAGTGCAAACCTAAAGTATGTACCAGGATGTATTTCAGGAAAATATTTTAACTTCTACAGGGTGGCGCATAAAAGTGTGAGTGGACCTGGATGATTTTTTTTAAATGGAACACCCTGTATATTATTGCATTTTTGGCTTCCTTTCAGATCACTTTACATAACCCTAAGATATGAATAAATATATTTCGATAGTTTCAGAGATATTAAAAAATAACTCAAAAGTATATATTTTTCAGCCCTTCTTAAAAAAAATATTAAAAATACAAGAACTGTCCTGAAATCATAACTATATTAGGCATTTACTTTAGATGGTCTGTTCTTACTTTGCTATAAATATGGTAATCGTAAATCATACAGGATGTTCAATATTCTACGCCAAACATTCTAAAATATGAAATATTTTTTCTTTGTTTTTTTTTAAATGGAACACCCTTATATTATTATTTTATTAGATGGAGAGTAAAAAAATGAACATTTTTTGTATTTAGAGTATTTCATAATTTTTAACGGTTTCGCAGATACACGCAGTATTATTTCATATGGCGCTTTCAATGGTAAAATACGAGAGAAAAATCATTGGGTGGCTTTGATAAAAAATTACTGTGGAAAATGCCATATGAAATATAAAACCGCAAATATCTACGAAACTGTTAAAAAATTTGAAATACTCTGAATAGAAAAAATGTTCATTTTTTAATTCTCCGTCTATTGAAAAAATAATATACAGGGTGTTCCATTTAAAAAAAAATCATCCAGGTCCACTCGCACTTTTTTAAGCCACCCTATAGAAGTTAAAACATTTTCCTGAAATACATCCTGGTACATACTTTAGGTTTGCACTTAAACAAAATTCCCAAGTTTTTTAATCTAGGAGCTACAGATGCCCGACGCACTATTGCCGGACCCTGTATATATTATTACATTTTTAGTTTCTACTATGAAGACACAAAAAATATTCGATCAAAATTTACCTCAAAATCATACTTACTGTTTTCGAAATATTTTAATTTTTATAAAAATTCAGTAACAATTGATTTATTTCTTCAATGCAAATTTACAACTAATACTGAGTTAGCAAAAATCATTTGTCAACATTAATACTATTTTTTAACATGTAATATTACATAACGCGCTTTAAAAGAGAAATATATTTTAAAATACCAATATCAGAAATCATTACAAAAAAGCTGAAACATAAATATGTAGGATTCTTAAATCAAAAAAATACGTAATAAAATTCCTAATGAACCTACCTATTTAAAACATAAATACAAAAAACCTACTCATTCAAAATATTATTAATGCGCATATTTTATATTTTTAAAAAATAAAGAAAACTCTAAGTATACCCTATAAAAAGAAATTTAAATTAAAAATAGCAATTTACAAAAAATCAAGACATCGAATTCCAACAGGCGGCCATTTTATTTAAACATTTCTTGGCCGAAAAAATTAAACAAAAAATCAAAGATACCATTACGTAATTTACCAAAAATGTAGTACTATTTGACCCGCTTATGTAACACGCAGTATAGAAAGTACCGAAAATACATAGTTTTACATACTTATCTATTAACTACGTATATTATTTAAACAATATCCTTAGAAATTAATAACTTAATGTTGAACATTGAGAACAAGGCAGCCATGATGGATATTGCGAAATCCAAAAATATTAAACTAAAATATCCCAAAAAATACATAAAATTACGGGTACTCACTTTTTCAGGAGGCTAAGCAGGGCACTAGTAACAGATTACGCATAAATTGTGTACACTAAACGCACTTTTTCGTGAGAAAATTAAAAAATCCATGCAACCGACGAGAGGACGTGCTCGATCATAAAACACATACACAAGGAGAAGTGCGAGCCATAAAATAATTAACTAGAGAGAAGTGTCAACTCTGTGTTAAATCGTGGAAACACGATACGCCACCGAAAGCCTTCGTTGTCGTCTGGAGAACTAATTTTCCAATTGACAGGTTGACATGATAAGGACATGATGGCTTAATTTTCACTTCCGTTTCCGGTTATTTAATGGCGGGCCCTCTTTCAGTTCAAATGTATTTTGTATTTTTTCTTTTCATAAATAAAACCAAAAAATAATTTATTCACATATATTTATTTGAAGTATGGAACAACGTGACTAAATAAACATAAAAATATAGAGGATTGTATTGTTTCAATACCAATTAGTTAATTATATGTACTTTTAACGTAAATTAGTTAAGGTATAAGCATGACTTACAGTAATTTGTAAATAAACACACGTATTCGCAGACTTCAAGGACAGAAAACGGACACAGGGACATGAAAACGGGAGCCTTATACAAAAACCTGAAAACAGAAAAACAAATTTTTTTATACTAAAATTAACAATCTAAAAATATCAATAGGTATAAAATATAAATATACTGTTTAAAAAAGCGTCCATTATTCCCAAAGAGACCTGGCTTATAAATCAAAAAGAAGCAAAAAGAGACTTTTAGTCGGATAACATAATCAGATTATCAGTCCGATTTATTGCATTATTGACAATAAATCGCACATATTGGAGATAAATGATGTTGGCTATAGTTAAAAATGATCTTACCTTGCTGTAAATTGTTTCCATTTTCAAAAAAATCGCCGATCAAAGAGATTATAACACCATTTTCTTGCATCTAAAAAATGTAAAAACAGTGTTTATTTACTACCTATTTTTCATATACATGGGACATACCTACTACGGCAGAAACGTCATTTTCTCCAGGATTCTTCATGTAATATATATTTTATATACTTTATTACCTTTATAATTATAAATTTCAGCCGAAATATTAAATTGAACTTCCAAAACGAAACTAAACGGAATGAATTAAAATGGCGTCGAATATTTTCGACACAATTTTCGAATTTGTTCTAGAACAAATCTGAAGTTGTCTCTGAAACTGAAATCTGTCAATTCTAAACTGTGAAGTTAGACAATAGTTAGACAAAAACAATGCTGTCCTTGTCTAGGCGGCCATACTTGTCGTGAGGAGAATGACAGGAATGACACTAATGACTGTTTCCAATTTTCCTATTTCACTGTCACCCCCCTGGTGCGAGCGCCTTGCTAAATATTGGAAAGTGAAATTGACGTTTAAATTTGACACTGTTGACAAGTCTACTGCTACTAGCGCCCCCAATATCGCTTGTAGGAACTACGGACTAGATTGTCACGCATGGCGGGAAGTTTAAAAAAATAAAAAATTTTAATTCTTCATTTATTTTTAATTATGACATAGAAAAAACACAAAAAATACACCATTTTTTAAAAATATGTTTAATATCAATATCAAATATACAACAGAAATTAATTTCACCACAATAAATTAATAAAATTAAAAGAATAATGTTACAAGTAGATCAAGAGACAAAATTAATTATAACAAAACTGAAAAAAATGGCGTCATAGATGGCTTAGAAATAAAAGATATATCATAATTTTGAAAGTAAAATTATATGGGAAATGTCTTCGATCATCATTTTTAAGCCAACTGGACGATTATTTCAAACATACAAGCTGAGTTCGTTCATAGTGCTCTGAGAAATCTAGATAAACAAAGAATAATAAATTAAAAGTATTCCAGGGGAAAAGAGAGGAAAAACCTGTATCGTCTCTGATATCTGTCAGGGTATTGTTGAAAGTGTCATCTTTTTGCTCGAAGTTTTCAGGTCGATCAAAAAGATGACATTTACAACAATACTTTGCTGTAACTTTCACAAATATCAGAGAGAGTACATACAGGTATTGCCTCTCTTTTCCTCTGGGATGCTTTATATCTGTTGTTCTTTGTTTATCTATATTTCTCAGAGCATAATGCCGAACACGACTACAGTATATAATAATTTCAATATCCGAAGTGGAAAGAAAAAAGATCACCTTTCTGTTTTGTACTATGGTCCCTTTCTTCCGATGGCTCATCTCGTTGATATTTAGGAAGGATAAATAGGAAGGAAAATATAAAATTCAATTTGATTTGATGATCCTTTTCTGTCACCTAAAATCAGGAGAACGACAATGAGCATGTTAAGATGAAAAAAAAATTATCAACACTTACCTACACGTTAGTCCGAGGAGTTTTATTAAAAACCTATATATTTGCCTAAATAATTTATGTATTAAATTTGCAAAGCAAAATGCAGCGTGTAAACAAAAGAAATAAAATGGCGACAAGTCAACGTCAACGACCCGACAAGGAGAAAAGTGGTGTTCGAATAACAAATTATGGGTCACAAAAAATTGTTTTTGTCTCTTTTCAACGCACACTTCAGAAAGAAAAAGAGATGAACAGTATGTCAAGGTTTTATCTGTCACTCTTGTCAATAATTTATCGGTAAGGAAGATTCCTAGAAAATCGCTTGTAGTCAATTTTTCAACCATTTCCAGTTCTCCCATAAGAAGTGTCATCCACCTGTGCTCGATCCTTCGATTGCAAACTAGTGATGGGTTGTTATTTAACTATCTGTTATTTTATAACAATTATTTAGAAATAACATAACGCAACCGTTACTTCTTTTAAAAAATAACAGATATAAAATAACAACACGCAGAGATCGAGTGTTCGTGAAACGAAGTCAGCGCTCTGCACCTGCCACGAAATTCGATGCTGCTCGAAGCAATTCCAAAAACAACTAGTATGGATGGAAACCTATTATTTCGACAACCATCGATACAGGCGGCGAGATACAAACGAGTGGGGTATGCGCTACGGCGCGGCGCGTCGTGTTGGGCTGACAACAGCTTAAAATAATAGGATATAAAAGAAGCAGCTTTTTTGAAACAGTTGCGGCATAACGCCTGGCTGTCGAGATAACAGGGAGTGGGAAAGGAGCGCTGCTGCATCGGTCGATTGTCGATGGAGGCTCGCAACGGCTGGAGAATAACGCATCAGTTGTTTTAGCTATGTTGTTTTTTACCTGTTACGAGCGCTAACAGAACGGCGTTCGAGATAATCGGAGGTTTGAAACAGGTTGGAGAATAACGCATCAGTTGTTTTAGATACATATTGTTTTTCAACCTATTACGAGCATAACGGGCGGAGGTCGAGATATTATGGCGCTGTATGTTTCAATACTTTGTTATTAAGTTTCAATATTTAAGTATTTATTTATTCTCAAAAAATTTTCAGAATAATATTTTAATATTTTTAAAAATGTATACAGGGTGTTTTGAAAATCTGGTCATTGATTAATCACGATCCTGCTTAAAGCCCTTTGACGTAAAAATCTGATTTTTGGAAAACGGATTGACTTTAGGGTGTAGAGGTGCGATAAGAAGGGGATTTTTCGAAACTCAAATTTAAGGTGAAACCACCCTCAAATATTAGAATATTTTTTATTTAAAACTGGAGAGTTTTTCGAAAAAAAACTTAAACACGTATATTTTATTTTGTTGTTTTACACATATTTTGAGATTTTACAAAATATATACAGGGTGTTTCACAAAATATGACCACTGAGTAATCACTATTCTGCTTAAACTGCTTAACGTTTAAAGTTGATTTTTGGTAAACGGATTGACTGTGGGTGTGTAGAGGTGCGATAAGGAGGGGTTTCTCGAATCTCAAATTCCAAGAGGGTGAAAACGCCCTCAAATATTACAATATTTATTATTTAAAAAACGGTTATAGTCTTTCTGGGAAAACGATTGACACGCATAATTTATTTTGTTTTTTTACATATTTTGAATTTTTTAAAAATAATACAGGGTGTTCCAAAAGTTGAGTAATTGATTAACCACGATTCTGCTTAAATTGCTCGGACGTTTAAAGCATATTTTTGGCAAATGTGAGAAAATTTTTATCCAGTTTGTATAAGTACGGATGTACTTGCTTTGCTTTATCATCACCATTACAAATTAATAATTCGATGCGAACTAGATCGGAATTTATAGATATAGACGAGTGGCGGTGGCTTTTGGCTTTTTATATCGCAATTTGTAAACAGCGCTTATTTGTAAACAACCCCCTTTTAGAGAGGTATTTTTAGATAACAATCGATATTTAGAAATGTTATGACACCCTGGAAATACTACCACCGAGCACGTCATTGTTGCAACTGCGTTAATACGCCTGGCGGTGACCGCCTCATATTCTTTCAGATATTTAGCAATAAAATAAAGAAACCTGTTATTTTTAAGCTGTTATTTTAAGCTGTTTTTTATAAATAACTATAACAGTTTCAACTGTTATCTAAAAATAACAGTTTTGCCCATCACTATTGCAAACGACAAAAGGAAAACCGGCGTTGCCAGATTGAAGTCATTCGTAAAATTTAAGCTGCTCATAAAATTAATTAATTTATTACTAATAAAATTGTTTATAGGAAAATTCTTCTAAATTAAGCTTAATTTTGTTCTCAAAAGTTATTATTTACTCAATACGTTTCACTGATATCGTTTTTTTACGTAAGGTAAAATATTTATTGTCATAAATATGAAACAAATAAGTAATTATAAACATAAACACACAAAAATCATGAAATAAACATAAAACAAAGCTGTTTAAATATATTTTTAATGCTATAAATACATCGAAACCAAGAATAAAGACTATAATGTTAGTACGTAGTTACAAGAAGAAATAAAAGAAATTTCTACAAAACAACATTACTGATACTTGTTTTATTAAAAATATATAGAAATGGTCCTTACTATAGTGCCAGTGATCAATTTAAACTAATATAATTTTACAAAAATCACATAGAAAAAAAGATTTTCGACATTTTTTAACAATCCGGCAACATCGAACGAGAGAAAAATTCTAAATCTCTACCTCTACGCGACCGAAACTGACCAATCACTTTAACAGTTTGGCCAACATAAGAATTATTTCTTTCTCCCTGACAGGAAATTGGAAAAATGCATCTTTGATTTTTCACCTCATTTTCGTGAAATATAATTAAAACTGTTTGGGTTTAACAGTATTTATACGTGTTAAATTATTACACATTAAGTAATAAATTTAAATTCATATAAAAGTTTTTAAATTATTGAGTTATGTATGCCGAAGACTGGAATGATGAACCGGTAGTTGTTCAACAACCTCTTACAGGTATTTTAAGTTTAATTTAGGACTGTTGTAGTTTATTTATTGTTTTAATTGCGATTAGAATGGACGGGCAACACTTCAGTATTCACTAATTCGCGAAACAGCGGATCGCACAACGACAGATTCAGAAATCAAAGGGGTGGCAGATCAAATGAACGAGGCAATTGGAGAGGAGGTAACAACCAAAACCGAGATGATCGACGCAGCGGAGGTGGCGGCGGCGATAGTTTTGAGGCCATCACAGTTCCTTCAAGATTTGTTGGAAAAATCATAGGTAAATTTTTAACTGTCTATTCACACACAAACATTCTGTATTTTTTATTTACACAGGAAAAGGAGGAAGTAAAATCAATGAACTTCAAAGCCAGTCAGGGGCTCGAATTCAAGTGACAAAAGACACTGAGGATGACAACACTCTTGTGAAAATTTTTGGCAGTAAGGACACAATTCAGAAAGCCAAAGATTTGATTAATGAAACTATCGAAGAGATCTCTGTTCCGAGAAGATCAGAGTATCGGCCTCCAGAAAGCACTTTTGCTGGACCCGAATCTTCCAGTTATTCTGCACAAGCGCCCTCTGAACCAGCAGCACCGGCGCCACTTGTTAATTGGTTTGAGAATTTGGCAGACTGCGTAAGTGATTTAGTGTACCAGCCCTTAATGGTCTTAGTATCCTGTCACGGGAACACTAGTGTATGGTCGTTTTTTGTTTAGAAAGCTCAAGAAGACGAGTATTGGAGCAAGTTTCCAGCGATTATTAAGAATTTCTATCAGGAACATCCCAATGTGACAGCATTGACTGATGCACAAGTTGAAGCTATACGGGAGAGCAATAATAATATTGGTGAGTTTCAAGTTCGCATTTCTTGTAAATTGAATCTTATATAATAATTAATATTAGAGTTGCAAAAAGATTTTCTTCCATTTTTAAACAAAACATTTGTTTTATGTGGTTTAAAACGCTTGTTTTAAACTCTGTTTTAAACTACTACATTAGTTAGACATTCTGAAGATATCAAAATAATTATTTTTTTATTTTTATTTTTAGAATTTTCACAAATATACTTCCTAACGCTTTTAGAATAATTATATAATATATTTTTCGTGTACTCGCTATAAACCTGTGTATTTGTATATACTAGTTGTTGACGATATTTACCAATGACGATTTGCACCAAGCCTATAGGATCACTTTTTTGTCTGTACGTCTGTCTGTCTGTCAAGACCATTTATCTTGGGAACGCGTATTGAGTTAAAATTAAAACCACATACTCAGCTCTACAGTCTTTTGAAGCTGTGAAAAAATCAGACTCCAAAGTTAACGTAAAAAACGGTTTTTGGTTAATTTTTATTGAAAAAAAAGCACCTACACACCAAACATATTTAAAACAGCCTTTTAAAACAGGTCACAACAAAGGTTTAAAACTTATCAATTCCTTTCATAATTTGGATTTTTTTTAGTTGTTGACAGAGTGTTTGGAAATGAAGAAAGCAAGCCAATTCCCAAACCAGTCAGCACCTTTGAACAAGCATTTTTCAATTATCCGGAAATTTTGGATGAAATTACCAAGGCTGGATTTGAAAAACCGTCACCTATACAGTGTCAAGCTTGGCCAGTGTTACTGTCTGGCGAGGATCTGATTGGTATTGCACAGACCGGATCAGGTAATGAGAAATCAATTAAAAATGGCGTGCATGTCATCAAAAATTCGTTTCAAACTTGGAGCGCGCTTGTATCTTGTATAAAAAAAGACAGCACGCTTGTTGCCAGTTATCAATGTGTTGTCAATGAGATTTTTCTTTGCAAATCTGATATTTGTTATTTTCAACTTTATTAATTTTATCTAATCAGATTTTTGTCATTTTCTATTTTGTTTTAAGTTTTCTTTGACAAATTTGAAATTAAATCTGCCTTTCCTTTAGTTAAAACTCTGATTGTGGAAACATTTTTTCCGCCCTGAAGGTGATATCGTAGAAACATGCTTTTGAAAGTCTTCAGCAGCTTCTTGAGTTGATGAAAATCGCTGTCCGCGCATCGTTTGTATAAAAATTATTTGTGTATGTATGTATGTAATTTGTCAATAGTCAAAATAAAAAAAGTAGACGTGGCAACTAGCGAATGCAATCCCGCAAATGCTGGATCCCGCTGAGATTCCGCGGGATCACAGTTGCGGGATTTACCGTGCGGGATCGACACGTGATCGACACTACTAATGGGTCACCGAATGGATCTCGATCAAGATCAAACCGCTTCGTTCCGGGCCGATGCGTCGACGCTCGGAACTCGGGGGATTCCCCTTACGGCTTGGCCATTAAAAATAAGTGAAACAAACAGGTTAGTTAGATTTCTTTCTGGCGTATGTGCGTAAGTGAAGAAAAGCGTTTAACTAGTATTTGTGGACAATTTCGTCAAATAAACTGCCGGACATAAGTATCGGGACAAGCAAAATTTTAGGGTAAATTTAAAGTTGAATATCTCTTGAACTAAAGAAGATTTTGGGATGCGGTTTAGACCAGGTTTTAGATGTATCTATTGTGATTAAGATGCTATGTGGTTTTCAAAAATATATTTAGCGAATTCTCGTATACAGGGTGTTTTTTAAAAAATCGAAATTTTTACCAAGTTCGACTAATCTGTATTGAAATTAGAAATAACTATTTAATCGGTTTTTTATTTTTTTTTGTTTTAAGGAAAATACGACGTTTTTTCGAAAAATATGCATTTTTAGTCATACTATGACTAAATGGTACAAAAAGCTTTGTACATTCTGCATATGCCAAAAAATTATTGATATAGAGTGTATCTAAAAGGAGATAACTAACACAAGTTAAAAAAATAATTCAATATCAGAATAATATTTTTATTTATAAAATAAGTAGATAAATTATAATAAAATTTAAGTTTATTTCATATTAAATATATTTTTTGAACACCCTGTATACATCGGTCCAAATTTCTGTACAGCTAGTTTAAGATACCTACACGCTATATGAATACATTGTAAGCCTATGCAAAATGTACAATGCCTTTTGTACCATTTAGGACTATTGTTTACAGTCCCGCAATGTTGCGGATTCGCGGGATTGATTGCTTTAATCCCGCGGGTTTGCGGGATTGAGATTTTGGTGCGGAATCGCATTCCCTAGTGGCAACATTGCGCCGTGCATTTGTCGAATATTTTGATGACGTGTACACCAACTTTTATTGATTTTACTATATATTTTTTTTATAATTACAAATTTGGTATTTTATTTATTTTTTATGATTTTTTTAGGAAAAACTTTGGCTTTTCTTTTACCAGCTTTTATCCATATTGACGGTCAGACCACGCCAAAGGAAGAAAGAAAGGGTCCGGCAGTGCTTATTGTGGCGCCTACAAGAGAACTGGCACTGCAAATCGACAAAGAAATTAAAAAGTACCACTATAGAGGTATTTCATCGTAAGTTCGGAATTTTTTTTTTAATATGGAAATTAAAGGGTCATTTTGTAGGTGTTGTGTTTATGGAGGTGGGGATCGTAAGCTACAAATCAGTGCACTAAGAAAGGGTGTCGATATAGTGATTGCCACTCCAGGAAGAATGAATGATCTACATACGTCAGGTATTTTTTTTTTAAGTTAGCAAAATGCATTGAGTAAAAAATTGACTAAGGAAGAATAAAAGTGCGAATAAAGTACTACTGGTACACCATTTTTGTCAGTTTTTTTGGCCTTTCTCTTCACAAAACCCTATTTTATATTTTAACAAATTGAAAAGGAATTGAAAGCCACTAATAAACCGGAATTTACGTCAGCCATATTGAAATTTCTTCGCAATCTTGTCAATATTTTTATACAGTGTTTTTAGTCTTTTTATTCAACTATGTATAGGAAATAAGGAATAATTTCGACTGTGAACATAATTTAGAATCACCCTGTATATTAAATTACCTGCTTGATAATCTGTGTAAATATTGTCCGATAAAATTCGTTTTTTTCCTATAATAAAAATGAACGGGACATTTGAACTACTTTGCCTTATAGTATATACTGTCCTACAAGGGGATACGGCAGTGACAGTTGCGTCTGTCATTTTAATTGACAGGGATATTGTAATAAACCATAAACATGTGTTAAAGATAGTCTAATACCTATGTACATTGTGTGAATTGTTTTGACACAACAAAAACAAGCGAAATGTGAACAAACCATTTGTTGAGTTACAGTTTAATTTGACCACACACTGAAATATAGTCTGTCCAACAGGAGGAGCCCTGACAGTGACAGCTGTGTCACAGGGAAAATGTAATTTCTGTCATTTTTTGGATGTTGTCTGTCGAACTCTTCTCTGGGTCGTTGGACAGATTATAACCCTTTTTTCAAGATTTGAAAAATTTATGAATTCTGCTGAATTACTTTTTATTTAGAGTTTTTTTTTCACTCAATTTTAATTATTCACGTATTTTGACTCGACGTAAAACAAGATCAGGACAAATTATTGAGTGTACTATTATTTTAATGATAACACGTTAAAAAATAGGAGCGCCGCTGATTAAACGGAAGTTATGTCGGCCATATTGAAAACCCTTCGCGGTCTGTCCCAATTTTGATAACGTACTCCTTCCTTATTCTTTTTATTCAATGGACAACGTAAAGAATATAAATGATTTTATTAATTTCAAGGTGATTTATATGTTGAAAATATAACATATGTGGTTCTGGATGAGGCCGACAGGATGTTGGACATGGGTTTCGAAGCGCAAATTAGACGGGTTATGTATTCAATCAGGCCAAACAGGCAGAGTATCATGACCAGCGCTACATGGCCACCAGGTAATCTATATAATCTATCTAACATTAATTTTGGTAATTATTGGGAAAACTGGAAATCGTCCGATTTTCACCAAAATTGGTATACACCCTATTTTGAGGTCGTAGATTACGAATCTGAACTTTTTTTTGGCGGTCTCTTACCGTTTTTCAGAAAAACATCGAATTTTTCTTAATTTCTCATATTTTTAAGGTTTTCTAGCACATATTTTGTTAGGTATACAATGATGTTTCTGCTATTTTCTGTTACTTTTTTAACCAATTCTATGCATAATAGAGGAAAATTTGCTAAAATAAATTTGTAAACAATCTGAAAATGTTGGGTTATGTGTTTCTGGCATTTAAAGCAACGTTGCCAATGCTAAACTTAAATTTAGCGTTTTTTTTCGCTCATTCTGGGATTACGAAAGGCGGTTGCCAGAAGAACGGGTTCTTCCCATAACTGCTATTTTACCACGAAGTTGCACGAAAGAGTTTTGATTGCATTTGGTGACAACTTCCATGCGGAGGGTGTTAATTTTTTGTTGTTGTATGTTGTATTATACCAAAAAAAGATTAACCCCCTCTGCAAAGAAGTTGAAACGAATGCAATCAAAACTCTTTCGTGCAACTTCGTGGTTATAAATAGTCTTTATATAACTTCTTTGCGGAGGGGGTTAATCTTTTTTTGATATAATATAACAACAAAAGATTAACACCCTCCGCATGGAAGTTGTAACCAATGCAATCAAAACTCTTCCGCGTAACTTTGTGGATATAGGTAGGTATATTTAATTATTGTCGATCTAATAATAGGTAATTTATTTAAAATCCCTAATCACCTGAAAAAAATAGAAGATATGGCAACGTTGTAAATTTTCAAATTTCTAGATTAGGTCTAGAATATACTTGTCTCTCTCATTACACAGGAGAGAGAAAGAAGGATATATGAAATGTCAAACTTCCATCTGGTCTCAATTTTCTTTGTTATTTTGTTAAGAAAAGTGTTTTTCAGTAAAATTTTGGACATTTTTCTATCCTCAATCAAGTGTGGCTTTTAGATAAACTATAATATAATGAAAATGTAGTGAAATTATTACTTTATAGGACCGAAATAAAGAAAAGTTCAATGTTGAAATTATTTTCCGTTTTTCTGAAAAACGGTAAGAGACCACCATATACCAAAATTTTGGTGAAAATCGGACGATTTTCAGTTTTCCCAATAATTATCTTAATTTTATTTACTTTTTATTTATTTTACTCTTTTTTTGACCAATAAAATTTTTATTTTAGGTGTTAGAAGGCTGGCAACTAGTTACATGAACGACCCCATCCAAGTCTATGTAGGTTCGTTAGATCTGGCCGCAACACACAGTGTTACTCAAGTGATTCAAATTTTAGACGAACGTGAAAAACAACAAGCGGTAAGTAGACCTGGTCATCAATTTTTACATATTTATTTTAACTTTTTACATATTTATTATTGCTTAATACAATTTTTAGTAATGTGTTTCTTCATTTTTTTTTAAATTACTTATACGCGCATTCAAAATTTCAGCTAAATCGTAAAAAAAAGTTTATAATAATATAGTATCTAAAAAACGTCAAAATCTCTGTTTTGTCGTGCTTTATCCATTTTTTTTGGTTATAGTTCTTCGAATTTATTGATAATTTGGGTCCAGACGACAAAGTAATCGTTTTCTGTGGCACCAAAGCAGGCACTGACAATCTCGCGGTAGAATGCGCTATGAGAGGCGTTTCTTGTACCTCTATACACAGCAACAGAGACCAAGTCGATAGGGAACAGGCTATAGCCGATATCACTGATGGAACAGCTAAAATCCTGATTGCCACCGATGTAGCTTCCAGGGGACTGGACATAGAGGACGTTACGTAAGTAAAAATTTCATAGAAATAAATAAACTTGGAGAAGTTCGAAAGAAAGTGTTTGTTGAATTGTTTTTATTTTTCAGGCATGTTCTGAACTACGATTTTCCGAAAAATATCGAAGAATACGTGCACAGAGTGGGCAGGACAGGCAGGGCGGGAAAAACTGGAGAGTCTATCAGTTATTTGACCAGAAAAGATTGGGCCAACGCTGCGGAACTTATAAAAATCTTAGAAGAAGCTGAACAGGTATTTTTTTTAATTATTATGCTGTTCGTTACTGAAATACATTTAAAAAACTGTAATCAATAATTTGTAATGGAACTGGAGATATCAATTTTTGAATTCAGAGTTCTAATAGCGCGATCATTGTCAAGCACCAACTCAATTCCAGTTATTTTTACTAAAAGTAGTAAATTTTTGAGAATTTTATAGTAGTTGTACAATTTCCAACATGCATTTAAAAATTTACCAGCTATAAGGAAAATTACAACAACGATTCGTTAATAAATAAACAAATAAAAAAAATTGATCAGCGAGTAAAAGTTTGTTTGAAAACAGAATATTTTCACATTTCGTGTAAGTAACAGTGCTTCTCTATCTGAAAATCTTCTGATGGGAAGAAATGCGGAAAAAATATATAATGACATATTTTTATATTATTATTTATTTCAAAGATTTTCTACAACTTTTTTTAATTTAAAACAAGTTTAGTTTTAAGATTAATGTGTTTGTTTTGTAGTAATATATTGGTTAAGTGATTTTCATTGGATAACTAGTACATTGAACAACACATTGTTCTAAATAACAAAATAACATATTTAAACTTCAATAATTGCTGATAAACATTACAGAAATTTCAAAAGAGAAAAGAAGCAAGAACAATGAGAAATAGCATCACTACTTTCTCACGTAATAAAGGATAATTTTTTAGTTATTGTTACCGAGTCCCGAAGGTACCGAAAGAACCGGGAATTATTAATAATTTCGAGTCCCGGTCCTTTGGTATCTCAAGAGAACCGGGAATTTCCGGTTCTGAACCCTAGTTACCATATTATCAAGAAATTATGTTTTTTAACTAAAAAGTAAAAAAATTTCCAGATTTTTTTTCAAAAAAAAATGCTCAGAAAAATCCTCGTATTTCTGGGGTCAAAATATACTACCCCAAAAAATATTTGCACTTATTTAAGACTCACCCTGTATAGGGCGTAGGGTATAATAATTAAATAGTATATAATACCATACGACCGAAAAAAAACGGCGTCAGAGATGGCTTCGAAATGAAAGTCGCTCTCATTTTGTATGTAAAATTGTATGGACTACCGGACGCCGTTTTTTTTCGTATAATAGTTATTATTAATAGTAATATATATTTTTTAATATAGTATGTCCCTGAAGAACTCCACGGTATGGTCGAAAGGTACGAAGCAATGAAAGAGAAAAGGAGTCAGCAACCAGGCGGAGGCCGCGGCGGTGGCGGTGGTGGAAGATTCAACAACCGAAATCGTTGGTAGGAAAAAAGTTATTCGCATTTAGCCACAGAATACCTATTATTCCTCATATTCTGTGATCTATAGGTATCGATTCTCCCCTTTGTTTTTGTTTACAATTCTTAGCAAGAATAATATATATTTTAGTTTATGTATACATTTATATTAGCATGAATTGTATATGTTATAATTTCATGGTGTAATTTATTTTTTATAATAAATAATTCACTAATTTATTTGTCGTTTTTTTTCGCTTAGAGTACTCCTAATTTCAGCTGAAAGAATTGTGAAGTTTTTCTAATGATAGTTGACTTTCTTTCATGCACTGGATGACGTAGTGAGTGTCTGAGGCTTCCCTTAAGTCGTTGTCATAGTATCTGTCAACTTCTGGTCTAGAGTTCTAAAATATAATCAAGAGATATAGTCTGTCCATCGTGACAGTTATGCCTGTCAATTTAATTCACGTGTAAACTGATTTCTGTCATTTTTTTGGATGTCGTACGACTGAATTTTCCGTGATTCCTTGGACATACTATAGTAGAACTTTCATATACCATAAAAAAGGCGTCACAGTAGCTGTCGATACAACGAACGATTCCTATATGTCGTTTTGTAAAGATTGACAAAAATTATCGATTTTCATAACTAAGGTCACTGTGATGCCGTTTTTTTTCTCATCATAAGGTAAAGAGAAGGTTTTTATACTGTTCCTTTTTGCTCTTACTTTTTTATCTGCTTTACATCTAATTATATTGACTCGTTTATAGCAAGTTTCGTCATCGTCGCCGCCATTTTTAATGCAACAACATAGAGAGCACAGTCTTAATATCAGGGCCAAGGGGTAGGCGAGGAAAAATATCAGGTTTAGACAAAATTCGGTTTTCCTGCAAAAGAAAACGTTAAAATAATTTTTTAACTTTGCAAACAAAATGCATGTAAAATAATTTACGTTTATTTTTTTATTGCATAATGTTATATAAGATGTTTAACGAATATTTTAACAACTCATTTTCAAAATACAAAAGTTAAAGGAATTAGTAAAACCATTTATTTTAACAATTTATTTTTAATTATTTTAATTCCCCAAACAATATGTGCGTGCCCCAAACATACAAATTGCAAACATTTTTAATACAACGGTATAATGAGCATAATTTTAATATCAAGGGAAAATATAAAATTTAGACAAAATTTGGGGTTTCTGCAAAAAAAAACCGTTAAATATTAGTGGGTCATTTGAACTACTTTCTATGGCGACGTAAAAAATGCTTATAAAATGTTTTACAGGCAAGTTTCTATAATAACATGTTATATAAGTAGTTAACACAACATTTTAGACTATTTTAAGAATACAAAAGTTGAAATAATTAGCAAAACCATTTTAGCCATTATTTTTTTTTCATTACTTGCAAATAGGATGTTTTCCATTTCTACAAATGTCAAAATATATGTTTTATAATTGTTTTAATCATAATAGTCATTTATAAATATTAATATTGTAATAATATGCTTATTTTAATTTAAAAAATAGTGTGGGAAGTGTTTAAAATGTGTTTCCAAATCAACTTTTGTCACTGTAACTATGGTAATAACGAAATTGTTTACATCAAAAGATATTTTAAAATGCTCTTTCATTTCAGTTCGCAATATATTTCACGGCCTAGCGCGAAAAATATTCCGCATGGTATCAGAGAAACATGAAAAACAGTGTCACATCGCATATTTTGTTTTATGAATCCCGAAAACTTTTTAAATGTGTTAAGTAAAAAAAAATAAGTTAATAAAATGTATTTTCCTTCATACAGTGATAATATTCTGACGGATCGTTCTCCAGAATCTGGATGAACTGGCCATCCAGCCACGTCATAGCACACTGTCCTGCCTTTCAGTTCTTTTTCTTGGTACTCGTCCAGAGGCTTGGGTAAGTCTACTAACATGCTCATGCCGTACTCACCTACACATTTTAGGCACAAAACTCCGACAAGCCCTTTTATGAGTCCTAGAAAACGTTTTAAAATTAATGTTGATTCATTTTAGGAGGGTTTTTATGAGTATATGCCATTTGTGCGCCGTAGTCAGATTTTTTTTAACATAAGGTAAGTTTTATCCTTTTATGGAGGATTTTCGTACTATATTTATTAAACAAGCTGTAAATATTTATATAGCTAACTAAAATAATCAATTGTATTACTGAATATTTTTAGACAAAAAAACTGATTACTGGTCGCAAGTAGGTAACCCTTTTTGATGCGAATAAAGTTCTCTACTCAGGCTGGGAGTAAAAATTCAAGGCTGTGATGACACACGAACTAGCGAGACCAAAAGTGGTAACGACCTGTGCCATAACCAAACGCCCTAAGGCTTAGAAATACATAGTGAAGCAACTTGCATTTATGAGCAGTCCACGTGTTTATCAAAAATATTGATATTTTAATCATTTGTAATGGTGATGATAAAGCAAAGCAAGAATTTCCATTAACATACAAACTGGATAAAATTTTCTCACGTTTATGTCAGCATGAGAAAAAACAATATGGCGATATTATTATATAACTTGGTAATATTTGAGGGGCAGTTTCATCTCGTTGGAATTTGACTTTCGAAAAATCCGTTTGCCAAAAATTACCTTTTTACGTCAAGCAGTTTAATTACCCAATTACCCAACTTTTTGGAACACCCTGTATGATTTTTTAAAAAATTTCAAAATATGTAAAAATACAAAATAAATTATGCGTGTCCAAGCGTTTTCATGAAATTGGGTGGTCAGGGGTGGTATATTTCGACCCCAGAAACAGGTCTATGAGGTTTTTTTCGCAAAAAAAAAATCGTGCATTTTCTTTTAAATTTCCCTGTATATTTTTCGAAAACTTTTTAGGACTGCCTGTTCACCGCAAATTTTCCCACGGTATAATTTCTTAATCTCGGATATTACCATAGTTACAGCTTATCTCTATGGTTACGGCACTATGATGGATACAAATACAGAAAAAATCCGGTGGCTCTCAAAATTTTTCCAAAAAAAATATTTTTTTTTTAATTTTCCAACTTAAATAACTCGGTTATTTTGGACTTTGAAAAATGGTAACGAGAAAATATGTTTCTTTTATCGAGATCTACCAGCCCTGAAAATATTTGCACTTATTTAAGACTCACCCTGTATAGTTAACATGCTTATTTTTTGTCAATTATGACATACATTTCCATTCGAAATATAGAAATTGGATACGGTTGCTCGTAGCGATTTTTACCAAGGTACATTTTTTACGTAAAAAATTACGGAAATGTGTATTTTTTCACTAAGTAGGGGGGGGGTATACAGGTACGGACAAAAGTTATTACTTTTCAAATCAGTTCAAGAACATATAGGTGGCGTCCCCTACAAGTAAGAGTCATATAAACATCGAAATAAAATTTCTCATGCCAAAAAACACACCCAGACACTAGTTTTGAAATTGTTTTGGAAAACAAATAAATATGAAACTTATCCACCCTGTATCTCCGGAACGAAGCATTTTCCCGAAAGACTAACCGTTTTTTAAATAACAAATATTGTAATATTTGAGGGGCGTTTTCAACCTCTTGGAATTTGAGATTCGAGAAACCGCTCCTTATCGAACCTCTACACCCCACAGTCAATCCGTTTGCAAAAATCAGCTTTAAACGTCAAGCAGTTTAAGCAGAATCGGGATTACTGAGTGGTCATATTTTATGAAACATCCTGTATAAATTTTTAAAAAATCTTAAAATATATAAAACAACAAAATAAAATATACGTGTTTAAGAATTTTTCCGAAAAACTCACCGGTTCTTAAATAAAAAATATTCTAATATTTCAGGGGTGGTTTCACCCCCTTACAATTCGAGTTTCGAAAAATCCCTTCTTATCGAACCTCTACATCCTAAAGTCAATCCGTTTTCCAAAAATTAGCTTTTTACGTCAAGCGCTTTAAGCAGCATCGTGATTAATCAATGACCAGATTTTTCGAAACATCCTGTATACATTTTTAAAAAATCTTAAAATATGTAAAAAAACAAAATAAAATATACTTGTTTAAGCGTTTTTTCGGAAAGTTTTTTAAATAAAAAATATTGTAATATTTGAGGGGTGGTTTCACCCCCTTGGAACTGGAATTTCGAAAAATCCCTTCTTATCGAACCTCTACACCCTAGAATCAACCTGTATGCGAAAATTGAGCTTCTTACGTTGAGTGGTTTGAGCAGGATCGTGTTTAATCACTTAAGGATTTTATATATCAGTATAGATTTTTAATTTTAAATTACTCTTTTTCAAACATGTCCCTCAAATCTTTCAATTTAATAGCTGTCAGTAAAGGGCCGGCTACACGTACAAGCTTTACCACGAGCTTACCTGCGCAAACCACCTGTTTGTATCGGGAACTCGGTGTAGACGGTAAAACGGTAGCACGCACAAACCAACAAGCGTGGCCTGCGTAAATGTCGCGCTGCTAAATATTTTAGTTTGCACAAGGTTTAGTTCAAGGTACAGTTTTGTGACTTTTGTGGGTTTTGTGTTATTAGTTATCAACTCTTAGAAAATATCTGATATTCGTACTTATTCCAATAAGGAGTTCTTCTTCTTCTTCTTTCTTCTTAAACTCTCCTTTTCAGGAGAGAGTTGCGTTGCCTAGGCTGCCAGGACCATTCTGGCAAAGTACTTTTCTGCTTTTCTTTTTTTTTGGTGCTCACGTTTTATGAACTTTCACCGATTTATCTTTCTTAACGACTAACAATTATTGAGGCTATTAAACAGGTTGTTTTAAGCTCTGCAACTATTCAGTTATTCATGCATTCTACGATTGAAGCTGCGGCTCTAAGTCCCAATAATTACTGTGCATTTCAAGAAAAATGTGATTATGACATTTCCAATTTACGGCTAGTTTTTTTCTTGATTATAAAGTTAATGTTAGGCTTGGTATTAGTAAATATTTAGAGTTTTAAATTACTAACATTCAAAAACAAAGCGATTTGTTTTATGTGTTCGGTCTTATTGAATTTAAAAAGAATGTCATGCAGGGAAATCGGTTTTTGCTCTATCTCGTTGTCGAAATAGGATTGATCGTTGATCGTTGAAAAAAAAATAGGATTGATCGTTATATTGATCGTTGCCGTGTCTATGGAAGATAAAATTGAAAAATTATTCCTATAGAAACAGAAAAAATGATGCGTACAAGAAAATGGTTTTCTATTTAAATCAGTTTTTACTCCACTTCGATCTATACCGTTTATTTTGCTGTTTTTTCTTTAACAATAAGCAATAAAAAACAATAATTCGTCACTTAACATTTCCACGAACGGAAGCACAAATTCAGAATAAAAATAATGATGAATGTACGCTCTTACTTGCATCGTGTGGACACCGCACAGTGTTCCTTCTAGTTTGCGCAAACTATACCGTGCAGGCAAGTCGCTGTAGTGTAGCCGCCGCTTAAGAATAGTTTCACTTCAAATATGCACACATAGTGCACACACTGTTTTTAATTGCTTATATTCTTACCCAACACCATCAAGCCAAAAAGGATACCTAGCAGTATAATAAAAAATAGGTAAGTGGTATTCTCGAAGATGCTTTTGCGGTAGAAAGGATCCAACGCCGAGTAAGGTTTGTGGTTACAGGTGCGCCCTTCTCTTAAACGGTACTTATTCGGCGTATTCTGGTACTGATCGGGATAAACCGAACAAAACAGCGTGAAAAATTGGAAAATAACAAGACAAAACGCGTACATAACTCAATAAAATAACGTAAACATAAATTGTTTGACAAAAATGTAAGTTTTTTGACGGAACAGGTAAAATTATTAAAATATTAGGTGAGGTGATTCTGACCATAGATTATTTACTGTCCTAGATAAAGCTAACACCCCTTAATAGTCCATTTCACTATTCCAAAAAAGTAGCAAAATAAGCGTTCGGCATTTAACGTTTTATGTAAAACTGACTAGGTGTTTTTACACAAACGAAGAAGGAAATTAACGATAAAGCATTATACTATATCCGTATTGTGGCACATTTTTAGGCAACTTCTTTATTTTTAAGATTTTGATAGTCAAACATCAACAAAATATTTCTTATGTTTGGACTAAATTTTCTGGAAAATAAAGACATAATTTAAAATTCCGTTACAATACGAAAATAGATTGAAGTTTTGTGATAACAGTGATATATAATTTATACGGTTTTGTAACAAATTGCTCGCTTTTTTATGGCAAATGCTGAAGCTCTGCAAACCTTAATCAAAGCACGTGTGTTTGGGATTTTAGGTGTGGCTTAACACGACAGGATTGGAATAAACCTTATTAGATAGATTTCTGAAATATAATATATATTTCCTACACACCCGCTTTACCCAACCCCTGAGAGCCACCCGAACAGTACAGCGTAATAGACTCTTAACAAACTCAGAAGAACAGAAATAAAACAAATATTGAAGCCAATAAAACTTATTTATTATTAAGTAATTAAAAATATACAACACTTTATTTCTTAGGCGTTATTTTACAACAAAAAAACACTATAGTCTTAAATTCTCAAAATCTGACAGGAAGTTCTGCCGCACACTGTCATGGTTCCACCTGGTGCTACTTCGATTCTGGCAAAAGTACCACCACCGTACCCTTTGGTTAGTCTCTCTGGATTGACCACCAAACATCCCTGGATTTCCTAGAAAATATACATTATGTAGGTATACCGGGTGCGTCTCAAAAGTGGCTCACCCCTATAACTTTTTATTTTTTCAGATAAAGAAACGAGATTTGGAATGTTAGTATATGACACAAATTAGGATTGATTGACGTATTCAATTGTTTTTGGTCACTTCCTGTTTCACCGGAAATGATTACAACTTTTGATTTTTAAATGACACCCTCGGTATTTTTTTACTTTATTCGCATATATGTCAACTTTTGACATTTTCGCATATGGTTTATTTGAAATTATAATTTGCGGTTCGTAACGAAAATTTGACTCGAAATACCAAGTGTGTAGTATCAAATTATTCGTAAAAAAATACTTTTTCCAAATATGCTAATGAGCCACCCTCGTTCCATTTGAAAAAATTGAGATATGATTAAAAATACGATTTCAGCATTTTCTAACTGGCCAGGACAAGACACTAAAAACATTAGACGATCAAATCTATTTTTCCAAGGGTCCTTGATTAAGAATTAGTGCTTTTCTCTTCAATTATAGAATGTGCACTCTTCAATTATAGAATTATTTAAAAAACACTTACCTTAATGAAATGTTTTAGATTGGAAGGGAGTATGAGGATATGGGGTTTAACGTCCATTATTCCGTGTTTTTCCATCAGTGGCATGTCGATGCACACCTCTGGGTTGGGCGGATCCAGTGGATAAAAACTTCGCTGTTCTAGAAGATGGGAAGCTAGACGACCCATTCTGTCAGAAATGGGCGCATTTGGTTTATTGTCCCTGAAAATTTTAAATATTAACCTTTACAGGGTGTCCCATTTTGAAAAAATTGAAAATTTTGCAATTTGGGACAGCCCTCGTATCTCCGTTATTACGGATGATATCGAGAAGGTGAAAACTGATTCTTGTAGAACTTTTTACGTAGAATACAGTGGCGTAGTCTCTTTTTCTACAAATAAAATCTTTTTGAAAATATGAACTAAAGTTATGTTTTTTCAAATGGAACACCCTGTATATTTATAAATCATATGATCCGCTTTGCTAAGAGCTTCTGAAAAATATATATCATTCTATATTTATTTTCACTATTTACTGCAATATTTAAAATATATCATTTTCCTATTAGTAGGCCATGATAAATAACAAAAAATCAAAATGGTACTGACTAAAATAGTCATATACATATTAAAATTTTATTTGGAATTGATATTTTACTTTTAAACTGTTACCACTGAATCTCTGAATATATTTTTCTTTTTTATTATAACGGATGGGTTTGCAAATATCTAAAAGTTTGCATTATTAGCAGTGGCGTAGCGTGATGGGGGCGGAGGGGGCGGGCCGCCCCGGGCGCCGGCTTCCAAGTACCTGCGGGACGACAAAAATTGTTATAAAGGCGGCAGACGGAATCTGTAGGAGGGCAAACTTCTCTCCTAGAAGCCCTCCGCCGCGGGCGCCCCTAACGCACGCTACGCCACTGATTATTAGCTTGCATTATTAAAGCATTTTCCCGGTGTTCAACATTCATCTATTAGTTGTCACGATATATTTCATATTTTAAAAATCCCAAAAATCAGAAATCGAGAACGGACAAATCCGGGAATCAGGGAGGCCATTATATGGGTCCATTGGTTCCCCAATTCGTTGATTTGAGAAATAATAATTTAACAAAATTCTAATATTTTCGTTGTAAGTTAAGTTGTAAGGGGGAGCCCTATCTTGCTGAAAGTATATTTACGTAAATTAGCTAAAGGAAAAAGGAATATTTAAAAGTTCCGATACGATAGTTTCCAAGATTTACAAATAGCGGTAGAGAGTTAAGTATTCCTAATCTATAAAGAATTTATTAGTGGCTCTCAAAATAAAAGAAGAGACAGATAGCAGTATACTTTTAATAATTCTTTAGTTTCTTTTATTATCAATCATGGCCTACTAATAAATATGATTTTTAATATATTTTTTTAAATATTGCAGTAAATAGTGAAAATAAATATAGTGTGATATACAGTTTTGAGAAGCTTATGACAAGCCAGATCATATAATTTATAAATATACAGGGTGTTCCATTTAAAAAAAAATATCTTTAGTTCATATAGTCTCGATACCTTTAACAATAACAGAGATACAAGGGGTGTCCCAAATTGCAAAATTTTCAAAAAAGACCCTGTAGCTCAGAGATGAAGAGGGCTATGAAAATTTTGTTTACGGCATCTTCCGTTTGACAAAAAAGTGGAACAGGTTTGTGCAAACCGCACCCTTCTATCTTCACGAATAACGGAGATACCGTATGATTTCAACTAAAATGGGACACCCTGTACACCAAAGCGGTTTTCATTAACAAGGAACAAGAAAAAAACGTTCTTTCAATTATTTAATATAAAACAACTCTAATACAAAAGAAATAGAGAAACAAAGTAGTGATCTCAACCTAATAATATTGTTTAGAAAAAAAATAGTGCAACTCATTATAATTAAAACAAAATTCTGGACAAATGCGAATTTGTAGGTATAATTACATATACGGTTATCGCAAAAACATTTTCTGATGCACGTCATCAATAATATCAAATTGACACTACAGCCTATAAACATGACTAAATGAAATTTTTGGCAAAAATGTTTAAATTTGTTGTATAATTTAATATACCGAGCAGCTCCTCATTTTACTTCATAGAGCTAATGACTGTAACAGATATTTTACTTAGATTAAAGCGGCAAAAATTAGTTTAAAGCTGCAAAAATTAGTTTAAAGCGATTTTTATTATCGTCATGTTGGTCACATTACAACGCGATCAGCAACGTAGTCGTTTATTATTTGACAATTATTATCATAATGCCAGTCATTATTTTGTATATCATGTTGTTGTTGAATCTTTGGGAGTAATTCTCGTTTTTTGCCGATTTCCATAGTCTTTTTTTAAATTGTACTTTTAAGCACAAACAGTTCTTTTAAGAACTAAATTTTCGAGTTTTTGTATTGCATTTCTTGAAATTGTGTGTCAAAAATATGCCCAAGCATTTAAACAGTCGAAGCAAAGAGCTTGTAGCTTTCCTGATAAACTATTTTAAACGAGAACGTGACAATAAAGGTATTTTATTACCCTTGACTGCAGTCAGAGAAGTAAGTTTGATTGGTAAGCACATTATACCACTTTCAAAGTTATTTCTACTTATTTCGATTTGTGTGACTACTGTTAATAAATAAATTAATTACTAAAATATTAATTATTAAATTAAAAATAAAATATAAATATCTTTAAATTTTACATTAAAATTCATCTCATAAATCCATCACAATCTGGCAGCGCTGTCGCCATCGCTTGTTACACAAAGTTGATCACGTGCATCGGAAATTGTTTTGCGATTACTTTAGTTCTCGAATCGAGTCAAGCAGTTTTTTCATATCTTTTCCCGAAATTCAGTTTCCATCAAAAGTATTAAAAAATCTACAAGAAGATATTATCACCCATATATAAAATACACTCTATATAAAATACACTTTAAAACATATCTCAATTTACTTACAAATATATCTCAAAGCTGCTCAAATGAAACAAGACATCGGGAGTATTGACTCCAACGACCAATCCGTTTATCTCCACCAAACAAGGATCCGGTACCAAGAGCAAATTCTCGTACTTCCCCCTGATTTCGTAAGGTGGCGTCGGATACACCGGAAAATGATGTGGCTCCCTCTGTGAGGAAGCTATGACTACCTTGACGCCTGTTTCTGCTAGCGCGGTCATTACCTAATGATATTAATATTTAAAAATAGTGTAAAACATTCATACTAAGGACTGGCAAAGGTTAGTCTTGGGTCGACATTTCCGTATGTAAGAAGAGTACAATGTGTTTATAATGTACTGAACAAAGAGAGAACAGCAAAAACGTTGCCAAACGTATGAAATAAACCGAGAAACTGTGCAATTGTGCTAAGAGATGTGTGGAAGGGGATATAGCAGATTCGTGGAGTTTTTAAATTATCGCGATTACTGACATTTTCTCGTTATAAAAAAATGAATACCTTAATGATATCCTTATAATTCCATTTCAGATGCTCAGAAACATATGTAATAATTTTATTTAGTTTTTTAGTTAAAAATAAGCGGTTTGCGATCGTGATTTTACTTTACTTGATAGGGAAATGCGTACCCGAGAAATGTGGCAACGCCGCAACAGCACACCGTCGCATTTCTCTCACTCCGACTTAATAAGATCCCTATGAGATTTACTTCCACACATGTAACTACCGACCTAAAAAAAAGAGTTGGCAGCACGGTATAAAGTTCAGTAAACAGATGAAGAATATTTTATATTTTAATAAAATAATATTTTATTTTATACATACAGGGTGGCTCATTAGTGGGAGGAAGTTCAATATCGTCGTTGTTGACTTAGATACGAAAAATGCTTAAAAAATGCGATATTGGATTTCGTCACACTAATGGGCCTGATTTCATTATAAAAGTTATCGATATTTTAAAATATCGATATTCTCAGCCATCCCTATCATTACCGTATCGACCAAATCCATGAAAAACGCATCGAACTGCTGTCTGAGATCGCCGTTGTGAATGCCCTGGTTATTTCTTTCGTAAAATGGTCCTGTGAGGATCAAAACGTGAGGTTTGTACTCTTTCACGTAGATGAGGAGGTCACTGAGTGGCTCAAAGAGGAGGGTATCTTGGATGGTAAACGGGCCACAAGCCACTACGATTTGTAGAGGGTCTGAAATAGTAGAAAATAGTAGATTAAAAAAATTATACTTAAACCATTAAATTCTACGTAAAAAGGTGCTTTGGAAATGTTTTCATAGAAATACAAAATTTTCCATACTAAAAAAGTTACAGCGATTTGTTAAAAATGCACATTTTTGAAAAACACCCCGTAACTCCGAAACGGTAACAGATATTGATGTGCGGTTTTCACCATTAGGTTTTTGACAAAAATTGAGCTCCAGGCACAAATATTAGTTTTTGTCTATCTCCTATAGAAAAGGGTGTTTCCATTTAAAAGCGTCGAATTTATTTTGAACACCCTGTAGTATCTAAAGCAAGTATCTTTATGTGTATCTGTTTCTTCATCTCTATTAAACTTACCGTACCAATTTTGAATATTTTCTTCTTCAGAAACAATAATTGAGTCAATCACAATTTTTTAATACATTGAAAATTAGTATTTTTTCAAAGAATCTTTATTTATGATTCACTTTCATATCGCCCTGAAGCAAATGAGAATTTACACAGTTTCTTCTTCACGCCCGTAGCATTAGATGAGCTCCGTAGTACAATTAAAAGTATTAAAAATAAATTCTCATCTGGGACTGATGGGCTAACTCTCAAAATGTTCTCTGAACTTCCGGAATGCACATTAATCTATCTTACTACTTTAATTAATGAGTCATTCCAAAAGGAGTTTTTCCAAACTGCCTTAAGACAGCAATAATTATTCCTCTGCATAAAGATCAAGCTTCGAACTATCGCCCAATTGCTCTCCTGCCCACATTATCTAAGATCATTGAAAGATTGGTTAAAAAAAGGCTTCTATCTTTTCTCCTTAAATATAAAGTACTTTCTACCCATCAATTTGGATTTCTAAGTAACTAATGCTATGTTCGACCTTTTTAATAATGTATACTCTAGCCTGTGAATAACCATCACTCTACAGCTACAATTTTCTGTGATTTCTCTAAGGCTTTCGACTGTGTAAATCATAATATCTTAATTAACAAATTGCAATACTATGGATTCAGGGGAATGCCGCTCGAATGGCTTAAGTCGTATCTTGGCAACAGAAGGCAGCTTGTGAGGATTGATACGTCTATATCTTCTTGTAAGCCTATAGAATGTGGTGTCCATCAGGGTTCAGTACTTGGCCCTATTTTATTTCTGGTGCTTATCAACGACATTGCAAATCTAGGCATTAGCGGTAAAATCTGCCTCTTTGCGGACGATACTAGTTTCACTTGGAGCGGCCCAGATGTTACGGCACTATATAATACCAAAGATAATACTATATCCAGTGACTTACGCACCATTAAATCTTGGTGCGATTCTAATCTCCTATGCCTCAACCTTTCAAAAACTAAAGTTTTGTCATATAAAAGTACTATACAACCTTTTGTACTTAATAACACCACTATTGACGTCGTGGACTCTGTGAGATTCTTAGGACTTGTTAAAATGGAACTTGCACATCGAAGCCTTATCAAAGAAACTAAGCTCTGCCTGTTTTGCGCTAAGATCTGTTTCTAAGGAACTTAACTCATCAACCTCTAGAATGGTTTATTATGCCCTTTTTGAATCGCATCTTCGTTATGCCCTTCCATTCTGGGGTACTTGCTGCGCGACAAAATTTGATCGTATTTTCAAACTTCAAAAGAGAGCAGTTCGATACTTATTGGGACTAAACCGTAGAACTCACTGCCAGAATTTCTTTAAAAATTTCAAAATACTGACTCTTTCTTCCTTATTCATTTTTGAATCCGTTTGCTTAATCCGCAAGCACATATTCTCTATTCCGGAAAGGCCTTCTCACAACTATCCACTTAGGAATGCGGAGCACGATATTTATCTGCCAACCCCGAGCTCAGAACTAGTTAAGGGCTCAATACTGTACAATGCCAAGAAAATGTACAATCATTTGCCTTCGAATATCAAGTCACTTTCATTCTTTCCCGCATTTCGCAAAGCTCTGAAATTATACTTACTGGAGAGAGCCCTATATGCGGTAAACGACTTTTTTGTTGATGTTTAATCTTGAACAATTTTGAATTTTAAAATTTTGATCATCTCACACACTGGTTAAAGGTCTAGTATTTAATATTTTATAACTATTGATTTTATAATATATAACATTATTTTATCCATTTACAATTTTCCTTTTGTAAAATTTTCTAGATACGCCTGTGTTCTGCAATGTCCATATATGTTTTATTTGTAATTTTATGACGTAAATTTTTTTTTGAATTGATTTGTATTGTATGACATTTTTTGTATTATTTGTATATTTGTTTTTGTGCTTTTTTTGTTTTGCTTTGTCGATGAAGCTGTTTTGGCTTTTTGTACAATAAAGCGTTGTTTTTTTTTATTTTATTTTATTTATTAAACATAGGAATCAATAGTCTATACCAAAATCTCAAATTATTGTGAAATCTCTGAAATTATCGAAATAAATTTAATCATATTTTAAGATTACGTAAAACGATCTGAAAGGAAGCCAAAACTACAATAATATACAGGGTGTTCCATAGAAAAAAAACATCCCTATCCACTCACACTTTTTTGAACCACCCTATAGAACTTAAAATATTTTCCTGATATACCGTGCCTGTAAAATTCTCAAGTTTTTTTTTATTCTAGGAGCTACAGATGCCCGGCGCACTATTGCCGGACCCTGTATACGAAAATAATTGTACGGAATTACACAGGAACAATAAACAATAAAATTATCTCAAAAAAAAAAAGAAAAAAGAACAAAGTCCGACCCTGAAAGCGAAATTACTTCGGGTCAGACTGGCCGCAGCCCGAGAATCGTGATGCTGCACAATTACGTTATTTAACTTCGATACGCTCTCTGTAGCCAACACCGACGAAAACATTACTTTTATAAAGCTTATTCTTAGCGTAATATAATCTGTAAAATCGACAACATCGCAATAATTAATTTACAGTAAAAAAACACGACACGAGAGAGACGGAGAAACATCCAGAAAAAAAACGATACAATTATTCATTAATTACAGCATTAATTTAATCATTCTGCCTAATTACGCGAGCGACAGAGATAAAGGAAGCGTGAAAAACAAGGACGGCGCTAGTCTGACTCCCGTCAAACGAAAATTCAATCAACTTTAATTAGCTTGAAGCGGAGAACGAGGCACGGAAGATCGATACAAAGAAAGATTCGTTCGAAAACGCTACCAAATCGTCGTTTAGTCAAGTTTTCACCGGTATTTGTGTTGAATTTAGTGAGAAATTACCGGTAGAAAATAGGTTCTCGGGTGCGGGAGCGTGCGAGGTGTAATTCCGAGTCAAATTAAGGAAATTAAGGTAAACATAACCTCGAAATTATGGAACACAGGTTGCTGGTGGAGCTGGTGAAGCAGTACCCGCAGATATGGGATCGGAACAGTCCGTTTTTCAGGGACAAAGAATTGAAGGAGAAGGCCTGGGCCGAGGTGGCGGTCAAAACGAACGCCTCAGGTAAGGGAATTAAGTGAACAGGGCCGGACTTGGGCTTCGTTTAGAACCTAGAAATTAGCGGAATAAATTAGTTGTTTCAATTATACTTTTTATTTAAGAATTTAGGATAATTCACAATGTCTAAAAAATAGAATTAAAATTAATAGAATATCACGGCAACAGCTTGTGTATTCAGTTGTATAAAGAGTTGCATTCATAGAGAAGGCCAAATAACTTAATTACAGTATGCCCAATTAGAACATCATCTGTCATGTTAAGAAATAAAAGTAAATAAAGCGCCTCTCGTGTTTGTTCATATACTAAAAATTTCAATTAATACTTAATACCTGTATATATTTTTAATATATTTTTTAAATTTACATTTTTTTAACTGCGTAAAGTAATATATTTCATTTAAATTGAATATATTTCATAACAATTAGGTAAGTCAATTACAGGCTTGTTTACTAACATTTCTTAAATAAAACGAATTATAAAATTTTGTCTGTCCACCTACAAGATCCTTGACAGTGACAGATGTATCTGTCATTTTATTTTCAAAGCAGTTTATTTTATTTTACAAAGAAATAAGTTGGTACAATTGGAGCGCATAGCAGAAAATTAATATATTTAAAATTTGAGTGACAAGTGATTACTAAATATAATATTGTGAAAAAAAGTATAACATTGAAAAAATCTAACAGTTATTTTATTAAAAACAATTCCAGTATGTGTTAATACAAAACAAGCAAGGGTGTATTTTAAAAAACACCAAATACCAAAGAAATATATAAAAAAGATTTCCTGCTTTCAAGTCGTGTTTCAAGCTCAAGCAACTTCCTGCATTTATCGTTACATTTATCAATATAATTATTCAATATGATTATTATTTACCTATCGTGTGCTATTTTACAGATATTCCAGTTTTTGGTATCATATACAAGATAGTATAACAAGTTTATTTGTGGCTAATACAACTCTCTGGCAAACTGTCTCTGGGCACCGAATATTAACTGTAAACTATTTTCTGGGTCAACACTTAATTTCCCCTTTGAGTTTTCCTTCACTTAATTTTAAAAAACACGAAACACACGTAATAACACAGTCCAAAATGCAAAATATTTATCATTTCTATTTGACATAATTTGACACAAAATTATAACCTATAATTTGGCAACAGTTTGACAAGTCTCAAAAATCTTAAGTCGAGTTCATACGCATCGGCGTCCGTTTGTCGTTCAGCGGTCCGTTAAACCCTTTGAATAAGAAGACTAAGGAAGAAGCAAAATACTATACATGTATTCATGCATGGTGGGCGGAAAAAGGACTCTAGGGTGGGGATCCTTGACAGTTCTGTTTGACTGAATGGATGGATTGGTACGACTGTTTTTTTTTTCTGTCATCCTCTATCGAAATCTTCCCTGAAGTTTTAAAACAGAGTATCTTTATAATGCCTTTCTGTATTTTTTTTTACAGTTGACCTATGCAAGGACGCTTTCAAATCACTACGTGAAAAGTACCTGAGGGAACGCGAAAAGGCCCAAAACCAAGGAGACTACTACAAACCCTGGGAACTCTTTGACGATCTACGATTCCTCGATCCCCACATTCTCACTAGGGCTTCGGTATGGAATGGTAGCACCAAAAGCGAAGAAGAAATTCTCCCAGACCACAACGAGGCAGACCCAACAGGTTTCGATAAAAAACTAATTTATTTCGTGAAAAGGGCGTCTCCTATATGGGACAGGAACTCCAATACCTATCCTAACAAGACTTCGAAGCATCAACTCTGGGAGAACATCGCGTCAAGCTTAAACAGAGACATCAATTGCTGTATGCTTCGATGGAAAGCATTGAGAGAGAAATATATTAGACAGAAAATAAAATTCCAGGATGGAGAAGCAAAATGGGAGCTCTTGGACAGTCTGAATTTCTTGGATAAGGTTATACAGTACAGGAGGAAACAGTCAGACCTCAAGATGGATTATGGAGACTGTATGCCGGGACCTAGTCTAACTCCTTACCAAGAAAGGGCTTATGCTCAAATGAAATACAACTTTGATACCGATGACACTTCCTTTACTGACTCTTCTAATGACTTTCTGCACGCAGTTAAAGAAGAGAACATTGTTCAACAAGTAGCGGACAGTTCTTATAATAGTTTTAGTTGCAAAAAAACGAGGGAAAGATCTGCTAGTGCGAATAGTGAAGCACCGTCAGAGAAAAAGGTGCGAAGAGACGAAGAACAAGCCACTACCTCGAGGAATAATGAAGTTAAGAAGAGCGAGACTGTTGAAAAGAGTCCAGAACAATTATTCGGTGATTTGGTCGCCAGTTTGTTGTGTAAAAAACCGGAAAGCCAGAGAAATTTGTACATGATCGAAATCATGACAGTGTTGTCGAAATAAGAATTGATATTATTTTATAGAAAGATGTTTAGTTCAAAACGATAATTTGAAATACATGTAATATCAAAAAAAATGCTAAGACCTAGATTGTTTTTTGATAAAAATAAACAAGATATTTTGAATTGTCGTTTGTATATCTTGAAATCTCATTAATTGTTAATAATTTGTTACAAAAATACCTAGAGTTTGAAATAAAAAAAAATATATTTTTTTAAAGATAAAATTTAACAGGATTAAAATAGAATTAAATCTTTAAGAACATCGAAAATCGATATTTATAAAATGTCGATCTAAAGAGTACATCCCTATTTTTAAGTGGCTCAATTTAAATGCTGGGCTTGTGTTCTATTGGGGTAATAAAAAAGAACCAAAAGACATTAGTACTAGGAAAAACAAGCTTGTTTAGAACTATTATAATTCCTTTAAAAAATTATGTAGATAAGGAATGTGCTTTTTCCAGTTTTTAGAACATTGATGTTTAGTTCAGTACACAGAAAGATCAAAAAAGAACAAGGCGATTTAAGATTATTGCAAAAAAATATATTTTTTTAAGATTTGACATCCTGTATCTTTTTTTTTCATATATTCTATATATTTTTTGATGAGAAATTCCCCACCACATCCCAAATATGGACGTGCATTTTTCAAACACCACGTATAGCATATATTTAATTTTGAAAAGAACCTTATTATAAAATATAAAAAAATATATAAAAATATAAAAAAAATTAATTTTATAATTTTGATATACCACCTTTAAATATGCACAAAATTTAGTCTAAAAATAATCAAATTACAAAAAAAATATAGTATAATACAATGCAAGCGAAAAAAAACGGCGTCGGAGATTGAAATATCGCTGTTATAAAATTACATGGAGAATGCAATCGACCGTCATTTCCAAGCCAATTCGATGACGTTTTTTTTCTCGATCATACGGTAGATTATGACTGTAATTTAGAAATGGACATGTCATCAAAATTTCACTAAGCAAAAAACATAAAGTAATGCGTTAAAAAACTACAACTTTTCGGTAAAAATATATTTTAACCACCCTGTATACCTATGAAAATATTTAAAAAATGTGTTATTTTTATTATTATTGCCCCCGGTATTATACGAATCTAAATAATTTTTCTTAGAAACAGAGTTTGTATTTTTTAACATTTGTTTGTCATAATTTTAAATTTCCTTATCCAGTACTGAGCGTATATCAATATCCCAGGGAACTTATCACAAAATTACGACTTTAAATTTGATATAGTGTCGATAAACCACCTCATTACTTTCAACTGTATAAACAGCGAGTCTCGTAAATTCTTAGTAACCCAAACAGAAAAATAATAGGTTTGTTCCAACACAGAAATTTGTACTCTTCCACAGTTTTTGAACTGATTTTAGTGTCAAATTCAAAACCTAATTTTTAATTATTAATATTACAACCTATTTTGCTTATAGGCTAGACATGTATTATACGAGTAATCGCAAAACAATTCCCGATGCACATCATCGATCATATCGAAATTGACACTAAGGTCTATAAACCTGAATAAATGAAATTTTGGCAAAAAAAATGTTTAAATTTGTTGTATAATTTAAGATACAGCAGTTCTTCATTTTACTTTATAGAATATACAGGGTGTCATTGAAATGGTGTAAATAAAGTCGGGGGTGGGGGGGGGGGTTATATTACTCCTAAAAATAGTAAAAAAAGTTCCTATAAGTATAGGGGGGAAAATGCATATTAAGAGAGTTAGGGGCACTGAAAGGGTGAATTTAAAAAACGGTTGTTTTGAAATAAAAAAAAAGTAAAAAAAACTACGAAAAAATTTATAAACTACGAACCATATGAATGCAGCAAATGCAGCAAAGCATAAGATAATGGGTAAAATGTAAAATATATTTTAAATTTTGGGGTTTGAAAATCGATCTAATTTAACAAAAAACATTCAATATCTAGTAATAGTGATGTATTATTATTTGCATTCATAAAATTTATATGTATATTTTGGAAGTATCAATGTTAGAAAAATTATATTTGCAAATAATACAATATCATAGAAAAAAAGCGTCAGCGATGGCTATGAAATAAAGATCACTGTCATTTTATATGTAAAATTATTCTAAAACTTTTGATTTTCTTGGGATTTAGGTTCGGGAAAAACGCTGATTAAGTTTCATTTGGTTTTTCATTATTCTTATTTGGTTTAAATAAAAACGTTACGGCTAACATTATAGCCTTCATCAGTGTTGTGTAATATGAAAAAAATAGTGTCGAATATAATCTAAAAAATTACATATAAAATATTCACACCACACACCACATAATGTTTACTGCAATTAATAAACTAATATAAACTTGTCAAAAGATGACCACATATTTTTTAAAATTATTATTCTTAACACTAAAACTATCTACATTGACCATGGAGTACGATTTCAGCCATATTGTAAAACATTTGCTGCATTTGTATGGTTCATAGTTCATTTGCCAAAGTATTTATTACTATAAATAGGTATATATATTATATTTATTAACTGTATAGTATGTGTATTTCATGTAAACTATATCATTTTTAAAATACAAACCAAAAATATGAGGAATAATTATGTTTTCCATGTATTCTACAACATATTTATTAATCCGTAGTATCTAACTAGCGTGACGTCATAAATCTCGCTCTGAGGCTGTTCTATTAGAGACGGCATGGTCGCAAGTTGCTAACCTAATAAAATTAACACTAGAAAAGCCCGCGGAAGAATTTTGAACTGTCAAAATGCTGTTTCGGGAGAGTTGAATATCCGGGAAAATTGAGTTATTGAATGTTATTGCACCCAACAACGCTCTAATTACGCTCTCCTTTACGCGTTAATATTTTTTTGGGCAGTTTTATTAACATTTGAAATTATCACAACACAACAAGACACGAATTTGTTGAAATCAACTGAAATGCACCAAGCCTATAAGCGTAACCCTGCCAAGAACGGTTCTCTGCTATGTTGGAACAAACCTAATAACAAAAAAAAATGCTTACCATCGCTATAGGAGATTGTTTGTCAGCTAACCAACGCACTTAAAAATATGAAAAGCTGATTTCAGCACAACCGCATCGCACAGACACAGGCACAGATGAAATTGTATACCTTCCACTTGATAAGAAAAAAATTCTTGGCGTAGACAAAATAATAATCTCAATCTCAATATTTTTTCCTCTGAAGCTTATTTTCTGTAGTATTTTGAATTTAAATCCGTAAAACAAATAATTTTGACTAAAATATTGCCTTAACTATTTTATAAATAATTATTATTGAAGTCAATATACAGTTTTTGAAAAAAGAGTCTTAAATAAGTGCAAATATTTTCAAGTATGGTAAAGATCTCGATAAAAAAAACATATTTCCTCTTTACTGTTTTTCAAATAAGTCCAAAATAACCGAGTTATTCAAGTTTAAAAAATAAAAAATTGATTTATTTTAAAAAAAATTTGGGATTCACCGGATTTTTTCTGTATTTGTATCACTTTTAGTACCGTAACCATGGTAATATTAGAGACTAAGAAATTATACCACGGAAAAATTTCCGGTAGCAGTTCTAAAAAGTTTTCCAAAATATACAGAAAAATTTAAAAGAAAATGCATGTTTCAACGTCTTTTTTTTGTGCGAAAAAAACATAGATTTGTTCCCGAGGTCGAAATATACCACCCCGAAAATTATTTGCACTTAATTAAGACTCACCCTGTACAAATCTTCTATTATTATACTGGGTGTCTTTTAAATAAGTAAAAGTACAATACGATCGAGAAAAAAGGCGTCAAAGACGGCTGGGAAATGCAATCGAAGATAATTTTGGCGACGGTTTTTTCGATCATACGGTATTTCAAATCGAAATACCATCATTGACAAAAAATAAGCATGTTAATTAAATAATTATTAGACTGAAATAATAAATTTGGAAATGTTTTTGTGCTCAAGATTCAAGAGAAAATGTTTTATCACAATTTTTTCTAGAAAGGCACTTTCCTTGATCTTTTTTCAAAGATTCATCGATTATTCCAGATCTTAAGGCGGGTTTACATGCATCCGTCAAGCGTCGTCTGTCACACCAATCGTGTTTGAAGTATTACCTGTCATTTTTGAAATAAACCAATAAAATTGCATAAAATTAACGACGGGCTAGGCAAGCCAGATGCATATAAACACGCACTTAGACCAAGGACTGTATATATTCTAAAGGACTGTTCGATCGCGTCAAATCGCCGCTGTCGTAGTCGCCGTGGAATGCTACGTCACGCGCTGACCAGCGCTCCACAGTGCGGCGGATGGTTATTCTAGCGGGACAAAATCTCAAGAGCAATGTTTGGGACATAAAATCTAAGAACGTAGCAAATGGTCTAATATATAGCAACTATATGGTTAAATTTATTTATTTATTAACAACTTAATTTATTAATAAATAAATACAGGATAATAAAACTATGATATTATTCGTACATGACACACAAAAACCGTATTGTAAACTATTACCAAATACATAAACTTATGATATCAAAAAACTCTTTAGCAGTTTTTTTTTTATTTAATTTGTAATCTTGTGACACCCTCTATAATTTATTTTATAAAAATATATTTTATTTTGAAAATAATAAATAAGATAGATATTTTAATTTTAATGTTAACACTCGGTAATTGTAAATTCATATATAGTAAGTATCTAAGACAATTTTTTAAACTCAGTGTCTTTTGATGGAGTTGTTTTGTTTTTATACTATCCGATTGAAATGAATCTTTTTGGGCATTCATCTGTTAAGCTTGAACTCCCTGTGACTGTAACTACCTGTGTTGGTAACTATTGGTAACTCAAAAGATCTACATCATTCAATATATCGATATTTGAAAAAAAAAGTGAAAGTTTGATATCTGCAGAACAAAGGCAGGAAGGATTTTAACAAATAATACACGTACAGTAGAAAAGTACATACCTTTAGCAATCTTCAACATAATTTGGCTTTCTAATAAAATGTATGAGCACTTGTAAATATTTTGTTTTCGTATGATCTCTGCCTTGCTGAGCAGAAAACGACCAAATTTGGTTGATAAAAGTGTATCGAAATACAAAGAATATTCATGCATTTTTGTATCAATTGGAATGTCTACTATTTATTCTTATCAGTACACATTTTTTGGCTTATTTCTAACCAAACACTTTTGTCCCGCTAAATTTATCCTCCAACGCACTGTGCGCTCGTCCGTCAAATGCAAAAATAACTGTCACTGTCTAAAATCTTTAGCGCCAACTTCAACTCGGTCAGTAGATGACGTAAAAAAACTGACAGTGCAGGAAGATAGGAATCGAACTATCCTTATCTCTATATAGTATCCTTGCACTTAAACGCGATTTTTACAAAATGTAAACGCCATTTGTGGAACAAAATACATATCTAAACTATAATAGCTTCGTCACTTACCTTTAGTAACAGGAAACTCGTCAGAAAACTTGAAAACTGTTCCCGCATAAATTTCTTCTACCACAATTTCAGTTTTGCTATCACTGTATTGTCTAAATGGTTTGCCCTTGACAATGACAACTTGTCCGGGAAACAGGGACATTTTTTTTACTTTGGACAAGTTGAGCTGGAATGTCCTGCCCTGATGTGTATGAGTCTGTTCCAGCTGGACCGACTGGACGTTGATCTTGGTGTCGTAGTCTGATATTATCCTACCCTCGTACAGATTTTGTTGTTCATCCTGGAAAAATACAGGGTATTTAAAAAAACATGGGTCATCTCCCATGGGAAGATTTCTCAAGATAAAGATGAGATTTATTTTTCAAAAATAAAATAAAAACTAAAAAATAAAAAAAAATAAAAAAAACAAAAATAATGAAAAAATAATAAAAAAAAAAAAATAATTACTAAACAAACAAAAAAACATAATTGACTTACTTCGTTTTTTTTATTCTCATCCAAGGCATGCAACTGATATCTATTCCTTATAGAGGGAAACAGGGCCTGCGCCATGTTGCTCAGCGATTTACCCCGTTTACCGATGATCTCGTACATAAACCTCTGATCGGCTTTCAGACAATTTTCCGAATATGGTTTGACGTCGACAGGTACCTCAGAACCTTTGTACGAAGCATCTTTTCTCCCGTAAGAACATTGGACAGATCTGGCATTAGTTCTTTTCGAGTAGCTACCGATAGGAGCCCTGGAAATCGGTAAAATAAGAAAATGTATACAGGGTGTTTCAAAAAACATGTGCCGCATCTCTCGTGGGGAGATTCCTCACGTAAAAATAAGATTTATTTTTCATATCAACATAGGTTCGATTCTGTTTTGTTTCGTAGCTACAGGGTGTTAAAGTCTTAATAATCTTTCGATTTATTATAATTTTCTTAAAAGTACCTTTAGTGATTCAAATGACATTTTCAGGATAAAAGTTACTATAAGTGCTACATATTTTAATGCTAGAAAAGTGTCGGTAAATTCATCAGGGACGTGCATATGGGTTATCACTGGAATATTTTCGAAAAAAAAACATGTGCTACTGACTTTTTTTCTTCTGATATCAAAATTGTGTAGGCCGTTTAATGCCAATTAAAAGACATTTTTTGATGCTATTAACTTTTTTTATTTTCATCAGTGGCGTCCCTACGGTATTTAAACTAAATATTATTGAAGAAAAAAATGGCACACCACTGTTTTTTTTTTAATAATAATTTTTTGCTGTGAAAATTTACATCAAAATTTTAGCCATTTGGTCATGTATGAAAATGGTTTTTATTTTTTTACGCGAAAACGGTGCGTCATACCAAAAAAAATCAAGAGATCAAATTTGTTGCAAATTTAATGTAGATTTTAAAAATAATTTTTATTTAAAAAAAAAAACAGTGGCGTACCATTTTTTTCTTCAATAATATTTAGTTTAAATACCGTAGGGACGCCACTGACGAAAATAAAAAAAATAATAGTTATGTAAAACAACGTGTATAAAATTTAGTGATTTTCGTCCAACAGGGCCCTGAGATATTAAAACTCTTTTTAGGGGGCAAAATTTAGGGGGCTGTAAATCCGAAAAGAGGGGTTAGGCCAAAAAAAATACGGGTCACCTATTTTTTTTTCAAGAATCTATGACCAAATTTTTTTGCATTAATTTCCGGACACCCTGTATATGTAGATATTTGTTATTTTTTTAAATTGATTTATTTCAAACGCTGGAGAGAGGGGGCGCTACTATCAGTTTTTTGCACCGGTTCAAAAAAATTGTAGATCCGTGGCTGGTGAGGAATCTCCCCACGAGAGGTGACACATGTTTTTTGAAACACCCTATATCTACAATAAAAAATAGGTACTTAAATTGAATTTTGGCTCTTTTGACTTGACGGGAATTATGTTAACCTAACTTAACAGAAACAGAAGGATTCTGCTTGATTCGCGATAGCATGTGATAGATATGGAAATGCACCCCGGGCCCGTTAGTTATTTTCATCAGTGGCGTCCCTACGGTACTTAAACTAAATATTATTGAAGAAAAAAATGGTACATTACTGTTTTTTTAATAATAATTTTTTGCTATGAAAATTTACATCAAAATTTTAGCCATTTGGTCATGTATGAAAATGATTTTTATTTTTTTACGCGAAAACGGTGGGTCATACCAAAAGAAAAGTCAAGAGATCAAATTTTTTGCAAATTTAATGTAGATTTTAAAAATAATTTTTATTAAAAAAAAACAGTGGCGTACCATTTTTTTCTTCAATAATATTTAGTTTAAATACCGTAGGGACGCCACTGATAAAAATAAAAAAAAATAATAGTTATGTAAAACAACGTGTATAAAATTTAGTGATTTTTGTCCAACAGGGCCATGAGATATTAAAAAACTCTTTTTAGGGGCGAAATTTAGGGGGCTGTAAATCCGAAAAGGGGGGTTAGGCCAAATATAAAAAATACGGGTCACCTATTTTTTTTTTCAAGAATCTATGACCAAATTTTGTTGCATTAATTTCCGGACACCCTGTATATGTAGATATTTGTTATTTTTTTAAATTGATTTATTTCAAACGCTGGAGAGAGGGGGCGCTACTATCAGTTTTTTGACCCGGTTCAAAAAAATTGTAGATCTGAAATTGTAGCTGGTGAGGAATCTCCTCACGAGAGGTGACACATGTTTTTTGAAACACCCTATATTTACAATAAAAAATAGGTACTTAAATTGAATTTTGGCTCTTTTGACTTGACGGGAATTATGTTAACCTAACCTAACAGAAACAAAAGGATTCTGCTTGATTCGCGATAGCATGTGATAGATATGGAAATGCACCCCGGGCCCGTGTGCTTCGCACACACGGCACATCGATAGTTACGCCACTGACTTTATGTTGAATTTGACTTAAGCTTTAAATAATTTTGATTTCAGAAATGACTTAACACTTTTTTTTTAATTTTCAACAAATTAATAATAACGAACACAAAAATAAAGTAAAAGGCATTTTTTAGAAATTTTTGACAACAGAAATATAACTTGGCTAAGAAACACAGAAATTAATAACATATTATTTTATGATTTTACCGTATTATTAAAAGTACAAACAACTGAAATGTGAAGCTAAAATAATAAACATAAATTATTTTCAACAAAACTGCAAACCTTGAATGTACATAACTTTTTCAAATACAGTTCATGCTAATAAAGGATCTGCATTTACCGCACATGGATCGTGCTCATTTGATTCATCAGATTTTTGTTTTTGTCATTTCTTCATTGACATATGGTTGCCATATACCACATCTCTTTCTTTTCTGGTGTTGATTATTCAATTTTCTCTCTTCTATAAGTAAGAGATTCAGAATCGGAGTTATGGTTACTCTTCCTTCGGAGAAAAATCAATGTCTCGATGGTCTTCATCTCACTTGCATCTTTAAGTTCATCAAACCACTCAATTAATGCTTCCTCAAAATTAGCGTCCCAGTGAGGCACACTTTTTAGACTACCCACCATCCTAATAATGTAACATTCTGGGCGTGGCACACAGACCCCAATGAAACTTTAGCCCCTGCTGATAGGAACAATAAAAATAATAAAATCGGTTAAATAGTGCTTGGGGTCCGCTGGACCCCCCCACGCCAGTTGAGGGTATCTGTATCTATCACGATACCAAGACAGTGATAGACAAGTTTAATACGGGAAATTTTATATTTTCTTCCCTACTGGCAAATTTTACTAAATTCGAGTTACGCCGGTACGTAAGATAGGGGACGATATGATTTAATATTGACTTTATCAGAGTATCGCTAGGTTGAACTAAGGGCTTCTAATTCAAACCAAACATAATTATATTAGTGTTATTTTTACCCTGGACTGGTTACTGCCTCCGGGTCATCGACCAATCTGCGCGATTGTATGGGGGTTTGGATCCGAGATGTGGGTACTCGATTAGCCTATAACAAAAATAAATAGCCTTTTTTATTAGGGGTGAATTGGCATTGGATTATTTCATTTGGATATTGAAATTGTTATACCGGGTGTTGCATCGTCGAGCGGGACATAGGAAATCCCATGTAAATTTTAATGGGGTCAATAATTATTGGCTTCCTTAATTATTTTAGAGAATAATTCTATCTAGGTTTATTGAAGAGCACTAAAACCCACATTCAAAAGAATAACTTTAGTTATTTTTGATTAGCCCGTTTACAAGTTATCGCCGATTTCTTTTCAAATATTTCTCCTTTCTTATGGCCCTGTATTTACTTATGAGCACCAGTCAAGGTAAAAGATAATTGTCAAATGAAGTTGTAATTTCAGAAATTTACCTATTTAGTGCTTTATTATTATTATTAAAAACTCATACCTACATCGAAAATATTAGCCATGAATTACACTACCGAAGAAAAAGTATTGATGATTAAACGGTATTATCAAGGAAATAGTTATCAAAAGGTGTCGGACATGTTTGCTGCTCTGTATCTGAATAGACCGATACCTGGAAAATCTACAATCGCAAGGAATATCCAGAAATTTGAGACCAAAGGTACCCTAATAAATAACTGCAGATGTGAAGCAAAGCAGGAACAAAGAGAAGATGCAAGAAATGATACCGACTTGGAAGTTTTATTGTGCGTGGAAGAGAACGATGGAAAGATCAGCACAAGGAAACTTGAGGATGAAATAGGAATAGATCACACTACAGCGTTTCGAATTTTGACACGACGCGACATAAATACTCTTCCTTCAAATATGAAAACCACCAAGAGCTACGAGATGGGGATTTCGAAAAATCCGAAATGATTTCTTTCTCTGGGGCCATTTAAAAAACAGGACATACAAGGATAAAAAAATACCCAAATCTAGACGCGTTAAAAAATGCTATTTCTGCCGAATGCAATAGAATTTCAGTTTACCAACTAGCGAATGTAAGAAGAGAATTTTATGATCGCCCGGGTTATTGTCTAGCAGTCGATGGAGGAATATTTGAACATCTTCTTAAATCCCTAAAAAAAAGTTCTAACAATTTAATAGTACCTAAATTAATAAGTTATTGAATATTGTAATAATACTATAATTAACCTTGTAACTGATTACTTTATTTTACTTTAATTCATATTAATTTGTATTTATAAATACATATTTAAGATTTCCGATGTAGGAATGAGTTTTCAATAATAATAAAGCACTAAATAGGTAAATTTCTGAAATGACAACTTCATTTGACTGTTATCTTTTACCTTGACTGGTGCTCATAAGTAAATACAGGGCCATAAGAAAGGAGAAATATTTAAAAAGAAATCGGCGATGACTCGTAAACGAGCTAATCAAAAATATCTAAAGTTATTCTTTTGAATGTGGGTTTTAGTGCTCTTCATTAAACCTAAATAGAATTATTGTCTAAAATAATTAGAGAAGCCAATAATTGACCCCATTAAAATTTACATGGGATTTACTATGTCCCGCTCGACGATGCAACACCCAGTATACAGGGTGGTCCGAACTGTATTCCGGAAACTTCGGAAGAATATTCTGCAGATAAAAATAAGTAGAAAAGTTCGTATAAATGTATGTCCTAAAATGCTTAGTTTCGGGGATACAGGGTGTTTTTTCAAATAATTTCTGAAGTAACGTCAATATTTGGATGAAAATAGAAGTTTTTTGACATTTGATTTTAATGTCAATATGACCCCTACTTGTAGAGGGCGCCACTTACATATTTTTTAACTGGTTTGAAGAGTAAACGGTTGCGATTTTTACCAAGAGACATTTTTTACGTAGAAAATATACAGAAATGTATATTTTTGCACTGATATAGGTGGCGCCCCCTACAAATAGAAGTCATATTGACATCAAAATCAGATTTATCATGTCAAAAAACTCCTAGACACCAATTTTCATGCAAATATTGACGTTACTTTAGAAATTATTTCTTAATTTAACACTTTTACACCCTGTATCTCCGAAATTAAGCATTCTAGGACATACATTTATACGAACTTTTTTACTTAATTTTATCTGCAGAATATGCTGCCAAAGTTTCCGGAATACAGTTCGGACCACCATGTATATATGTAGTGGTTATACAGGGTGACTCATCAGTGTGAGTTTCATTTTGATTTCGATTATTTTTCAAAGATTCAATACAAATTGTTTTAACGTTTTTTCTTCCTAGAAAAATTGATTGTCAATAATGACATGTATTGAGTAAGTATTTCAATTCCAGATATCTAGAAAACGGTGGCTCGTAGCGATTTATACCAAGAGACTTTTTTAACGTAAAAAATAACGGAATTGTATATTTTTTCACTCAGTAGTTTTATACAGGTACGGACGAAAAGTTATTACTCTTCAAATCAGTTAAAAAACAAGTAGGTGGCGGCCATATATTTTCATGTTTTTTTTTGAACTTCCTCTAAAACAGTATGAAAATTTGGAAAAGTATAAACAAGATTAACCGTTTTATAGCAAGGAACATTTTATAGCAAGAAAGCATTTTTCTCAGAATTTCTTAATAAAAAAAGTACAAAAATTTAGTTCAATGGTAGGGAAAAAGTGATTATAAATTATGTGCTTTTTAATATTTTAAAATTGCAAATTAATATGACGTTAATCAAAATAAAAACTAACAATAGCTATCTCTATCAACTATATTTTCATATTTTTTTTATTTTTCTCTAAAACGCTACGAAAATTTGGAACATTATAAACGAGATTAACAATTTTAGAACAAGCAAAAACTTTTTTGAAGAATGCATTTTTCTCAAAAAGTTATAAAAAAGTTTTTCCTCTAGCAAAGACGATCCGGGGACATACTGTATACATTAAAAGTGAAACTCAAAAAATAATTAACTACTAAAAACAGTTTATTAAATAATATTTAGGTACTCTAAACGATATTACAAAAATCTGAAATCTCCAAATTAATAGTCAGGCAGATTTTCATTAAGAAATAAAAATATTTGGATCTTGGTCAATATTTGTTTTGTATTATTATACCAAAAAATCCCCGGTAAATGTCATAGCTATTGATTTAAACGAAATTATTTTTAAGTAAAATACCGTATGATCGAATAAAAACGGCGTCCAGTTGGCTTGGAAATGAACATCGATGACATTCCCCATATAATTTTACATATAAAATGACAGCGATCTTCATTTCATAGCCATCGCTGACGCCGTTTTTTTTCGATCATACGGTATAAACATACATGTGAACTACATATACCTATGTATTCGATAGAACATTTCAAAAACAAATCCCTTATGACCTTTATATTTTTGATTTACTACTTTAAAAACGGCGTCCAAAAAAAAACGGCGTCCAATTGGCTGGGAAATGACGATCGATGATATTTCCCATATAAAATGACAGCGATCTAAAATTTCATAGCCATCGCTGACGCGGTTTTTTTCGATCATACGGTATTAAAAAAAAGGCATGTGCAGAAAAATGTGCTATCCTGCTAATATACAGGGTAACTCATTAAAAATATACCTTATATCAATAACTGTTACATTTGATAGTGAATGTAATTTTTGGTAAAACATACAATGTGTTCCTAAATTATATGAATGTAGGTCCTAACCATCTTAACTTTTGAAATACAGGGTGGTAAAATTTTCTAACAAAAAGCATTTTTTTCATAATAGTTTTTTCATAAGATATTATACATATCTTTATGGAACTTGATACACGTTCTCTATGCACCAAAACGCCTTATTTGATGTACAAACAATTATATTTATTTCAACCAGTGGCGTCGATAATGGTTTTAAATTGAATATGTTTAAAGAAAAAAATGACAGGCCAGTGACTTGTCTTAAAATAAACTCTGCTTTTGAAATCTCCGTTCGTTTCTTAACAATTCTCTTATCTTGCTTTTTTTTATCCGACTGTTCGACAAAAACTGTGCTTTACTTAAAAAAGTCATTTTATTTCACTGTTGTGACTGTTGTTTGGAAATCATTTCTGCATCAGCTGGAAGGCAATAAAGATATACAACAAAGATTTTATTTGTACAACAAAAAATTATTAAAAAGTTATCTATAAAAAACAACAGAGAAACGAAATAGTTTTTTTTTAAGAAAATTTGATCACCCTGTACCTCAAAAGTTGAGATGTTTAGCACATACATTCATACATATGAAGTATTTTTTTTTCTAAAAATAGGTCCAAAATTCACCCTCTGAAACACTAGCATGTTATTAAGGAACGCCCTTTTTATTTTATTGTTTTTTATGAAAATTATAGGTGAAAAAATAAAAAAAAAACGTTTAAAGCCTGCTAAAAGTGAGACAAAATAAAATTTATATTACATAAAAATGTAAAATTTAAATAAACGCATAAAAATACTCTTTACAGGTAACATTATTGGAATTACAGAAAAAAATTGACATTATGTGCAAAATCTCTTGTTAAATTAGTTCTATACAATATCATTCGCTCGAGCATTTACCTCAGTTCACTGTTATTATGCTTTTTTAATACAATACAAAAATTAATGATGATAACTAGGTACTCTCTTGTGTGTCATTTTCTCAATGCTATTAAAAATCCATTACTACGATGAGGGTGATACCCCTATAGACGAGTATGGATCTAGTCACGATTATAAAATACGTGGACTAAACCCACAATCGCCAATACAGGAAATGATTGCAGACGCCAAACCTCACAGAACAGCCCTACACAACTAAAAATCTTCTTCGAAGCCTCCACAACCATTTTTTAATGAGTGTGGATCTAGTCACGGATACTAAAACAACGTAACACTAGACCCAAACCCATTACAAAACGCTCGTATTATGTTCTTTCTTCTTAAATCATAAAACAAATAGGTACATAAAAAGTTTATAAACAAAAATGCTGAAAATCAAAAACAATTAACGCTTGTTAAATCGAACCAAACCGAAACGTTTCACATACAAATCTATCGCAGCGATGCAGAGGTTAATCGAATAAATCCTTGTGAATATATTTCGGTACGCAAACTATTAGAAAGAAAAAAAAGTCTACAGAGGTTGTTTACACTACTTTGTTTAGTGGCGAAAGTATCGAAAGTTTCCCGCACGTTGTGCACACAGTGAGTGAATCAATCGGTCCGAGCAACAGGTTGGAAAAAGGCCGACATCGATTTTCGCGGAAAGCCGCTTGGAAACTGAGAAAAATCTGCGCGAAACGGCACCAACAAAAGCCCAAGCGTCTTCCAACAGATTTAACAATGGCCGCTGCCGCTGAAGGATCGCATAGCCTTGAAACTTCTCAGAAAACTTCAAAGTCATTTGCGCAAGTACGAAGCAACGACGAACAGTGATAGATCCCTGTCGTTTATTCCAACGCGAAAGAAAAAGAAAGAAATAGAAACGTATGATGCGAAAAATGAAGCTACTGAAGCGAAACGAAAGGCAAAGAAAAATGGTGGTAATTTTGGCTTTATGAGAGGTACAATGTTGCCGGACGTTGAAAATTATACCCGAATATTTGAAAAACGATAATTGCAAAATGCAAAGTAAAGCTTCATTACTATATTAATAAATTAGTAGTTTCAATTTGCGTAAAAGTTTGTTCATCTAACTGCAATATAAGCATTCAGAACGTCAAAATTAGTGGTAGTAATTTTCAATTAATAGAAAGTTAACAAACTTTCAACTTTTTCCACTATTTATACTTCAAAATTTGTAAAATTACTACACTTTAAGTATCTTTTTAAACTGTAACTTTAAGTCTAATAAAGCAGTAAAGAAATAAATCTAGATATTATATACGTTACTAAATTAATTAGAAACTATATTAAAAATAAATTAATTAAACAAATAGCGTTTAATACACCTATGTGTAGAATAGCTCTGTGAAATTTTTAAAAATGTTCCTCTTTAAGATTCTTAAACTTTTGACCTGGCAACCATGTAAAGGGGATTCTTAAAGACGGGATAACGTTCTTATTTATTTTTTTTTCTCTTAATTTTAAACTTACCTTTGGCGTCGCAGGAAAATCTGATACGTTTGTCGATTGATCGGGTGACGCTACGTATTGAGATCTATTAGTTTATTAAGGAAAGTTTTAGTAAAACAAGAATAAATTGAAAATAAAATCAGTTAGAAGAATTATAAGACAAAGGATACTGTTCTCTTACGATCTTAGTTTGATCTTTGCCTTTCTGATATTCCTTCCTCTCCATTCTTTCCAACAGCTCCACCGTTGGGGCTGCGCTTTTTAAATTTGACTGTGTGTAAGCCACCCATTGATCCACCAGCTCTTCGGCATCGATATTGTACGTGAGACATAGAGACACACCTTGTAAATTAATACCCGGATTTGAACAAAAGAAACATGCAAAACAGGGGGTTATACGTACATTTTTCAAGAACGTCTGCACTTGGATTAATACTGTACCCTTGAAACAGGTAGACAAGATCTTCATGGGAAGTCATTCCGAGTTTAATTCAGCACTGCTTGTCTAGATAGTCAATATTTTTTTAGCTTTTTAATAAAAAATATTGAATTTGTTAATTGATACACAAAACCATTGCGGAACTCCGAAAACTATCGTAAAAAACGCGCGAATAAATGACGTATATGACAGCGACAACGTCAACGTTAGTCAAATTTTAATACCAATCTATAAAATACAAAAAGTACTAGGGTGCCAGTAGTGGTAACATAAACAAAAAAAATATAAACAAAATGTTTAACTTAATTTATTTATATATTCGATTATATCTGTTTATAAATATGTTAAGGACTTATAATTTCTTCTCTTGAGTAAGTGTAAGTCGTTCGTTTAAAGAAAAATTTCTAGGTTTTAGTTCTAATAGACCATTAAACTTTAAACTATTGGCAACTCTGAGAAACAGTTAACCAAAGAGAAAATATCATAACTCCGGAAAATTATTAATCTTTGGCAATAACCTAATTTTTTGAATAATTTTGAAAAACAAATTTGAATATGTGATTATTTTTACTAATTTACAATGTTATTGATTAGTAAGTTTATTATATCGTGTTCTAAGCCTTTAAAACGAACATATTGTTATAACGTTGGTTCAAATTAATGTTTTAATCTGTGATAAATATTATGTGTAATGTTTTTAGGCTTCCACTAATCACTACATAAAGAAGTACAAAATGGTTATACCTAAATCAAGAGAAAACCCCGTGATTATGAAGTTAGAGAGTCCGGAATTTCGGTCCATTTTTACCGATGAACTCAAAGCTTTAATCGATTTGTTTAAAAAATACAATTATGAAATTCGTGTGGCTGGAGGTGCAGTTAGAGACTTACTTATGAACTTACAACCTAAAGACCTGGATTTTGCCACTACCGCCACTCCCACAGAAATGAAAAAGATGTTTGAGACTGAAAACATTAGAATGATCAACATGAACGGAGAAAAACATGGTACCATCACTCCTAGAATTAATGACAAACAAAATTTCGAAGTCACTACCTTAAGAATTGATTTGGTAACTGATGGAAGACATGCAGAAGTCCAGTTCACTACAGATTGGTTACTGGACGCTTTGAGACGTGATTTAACAATTAATTCTTTGTTCCTGGATTTTGATGGACATGTTTATGACTATTTTTATGGATACGACGATCTTAAAAATAGGAGATTAGTATTTGTTGGCAGTGCTGTTACTAGAATACAAGAAGATTACTTAAGGATTCTTAGATATTTTCGGTAAGAATGAATTTAATTTATTTTAAATTAAGCCCTAAACTTATTTATGTAGGTTTTATGGAAGAATTGCAGTAGAAACAAATAAACACGAAGAAGAAATACTAAAAGCTATTAGGGATAATGCTGAGGGTCTGAAGAATATATCCGGTGAAAGAATGTGGACTGAACTAAAGAAAATATTAGAAGGGAATTTTGCTGGGGATCTTTTAGAAACAATTATTAAATGTGGTCTTTCAGAATATATTGGTAATTAATAATGATTTAACCTTATTGTATTTTTAATCATTTAAAAAAGAATTATTGAAGTTTTTCACCCAAGTTTTTCTATTACTGTTAATTTGTGATTGTTGTAGGATTGCCAGAAAACCCAAATATTGATGAATTAAGAAGAGTATGGGCCAGGAGTAAAAACTTAAACATGAATGGAATAACTTTATTGTCATCTATCCTGAATCATATCGATGAAGCTGAAGCATTACATAGACGTTTAAAATTATCAACTTTTGACAGGGATCTGGTATTTTTTATAGTGAATAATCGCGAACCTAAACTCCACCCATCTCCTTTACTACCTTACCAACAGATTGTGGCTAAAACCAAATCAAAACCTTCTGTTATAAAGCAGTACGTTCTAGAAGTTCTTAAATATAACAATTCTCCGTATCTGCAAGAGATGGAAACCTGGGAAAACCCAAAGTTTCCAATAAACGGGACTATCTTGAAAGAAAAAGGCGTCGAACCAGGTAAAGTTATGGGTGTAGTCATGCAAGAACTGAAGAATATATGGGTAGATAGTGAATTTAAACTGGACGTAGATGAACTTTTGTCACACATACCCAAAATTTTAAACGAACTAAAAGAAAGAAAGAAAAGTAAAGGATAATTTTTTGTTTATCTTGTTGTGTAAATAAAATAAATAAAACCATAAAAAAATAATGATTATTTTATTTTTTAGTTAACAATCAACCTTTACAGATTCAATTTTATTATATATAACAAATTTAAAGATATTTTTTCTGGGATATACATTTTTAAAAATTTACACATACATAAACAATATTTCGCAACAAAGAAAAACAAATACCGGGTGCCTCTCGAAAGTAGCTCACCTCTATAACTTTTTTAATTTTTCGGAGAAAAAAACGAGATTTCGTATGTTAGTGTATGACATAAATTAGGATTGATTGACGTATTCAATTCTTCTGTTTTACCGGAAATGACTACAACTTTTGATTTTTTAAATGGAATCGGTATATTTCTACTTTATCTCGAGTACCATCATCATCATATCTAGAGTATTAAAAACGCTAATTTTATCACAAGGAGTCTTGGAAAAATAGATTTGATCGTCTAATGTGTCTTGTCCTGGCCAGTTAAAAGATGCCCGATTCGTATTTTTAATCATATCTCAATTTTTTCAACTGAAACGAGGGTGGTTCATTAGCATATTTGGAAAAAGCATTTTTTTTACAAATAATTTGGTACCACACACTTTGTATTTCGAGATAAATTGTCGTTATGAATCGAATTTTACAATTTCAAATAAACCATATGCGAAAATGTCAAAAGTTGACATACATGTCATACTATTCAGTGTCATTTTCTATCAATTAAAGTAGAAATACACCGAAAGTGCCTTTAAAAAATCAAAAGCTGTAGTCATTTCCGGTAACAACATCACAACAGGAAGCAACAAAAAATAATTGAATACGTCAATAAATCCTAATTTATGTCATACACTAACATACGAAATCTCGTTTTTTTTTGTCTGAAAAAATAAAACAGTTATAGGGGTGAGCCATTTTTGAGACGCACCCGGTATATTTCAAAAGGGTTCAATAAAAATACTTTTACAAATAGACCAGAATATATACAGATTTTTACAAACAGGTAATTGTTAAAACGCCCTTTATTTTACACAAACAAATATTAAGAAGCTATAGGTTTTGGATAAATTGTGAAATAAGGTAGCCCTATTCTATTCCTAAAATATACTAGCCTCTTCTAACAGAACAGCCCCGCAATCCTGTCAAATTCAGTCACCGAATTTGAGTGAAAAAAAAAACATCCTAACGAGCTAGCTGAATAATTAAAGCAGCACACATCTCAAAGAACTCCATAGTATGGTGACCACTAGGTTTAGGAACAAGTATATTTCCTAAAAAGTATTATTAATAGTGATTTATTACACAGGATATTTCAAATTCTATATGTGAAATTGATTGAATTATATACCTGTAAGCACTGGAGTTGGAATAGTATCCATAAACAAGGAAGCTGGGTTCACATTGTTTGATTCTGCCTCTTCGTTACATAGACTCTTGAAATCAAGCAAATAATTCTTGTAATCCACCTAAAAGACACAACATTTCAATCACATAAATCTACTTTCAATGGTAATTATTTTGTACCTGATACAACTGAAGAGACATCATAATGTACCTATCGTGCAAAGCATTCTTGTGCCTCACTCTGACATGGTATGGATTAATAACCTTCCATTCGTAATCTAAAGCTTTCATGGCTTTATAAACCTCCATCATGATGTCATTCGGTTTACTTTGTGACCTAATACCTAGATGCCACTTTGCCCTTTTTACTGCAAAAAATACAGTTCAATATACAAATACAAAAATTTTTAATTATTTCTTATTTCTTACCTCTACTTCTATCTCCTGTAGCCGCAGCATGATTGGCCGCAGCAACCCTATCTCTCAAAGGTGCAATCCTTTCAGGATGTGGTTTCAATGGACTGTTAAAGTCATTCGATGGAGGCACAATGCTCACAGGTGGTGGGCTTCCAGCCACATAAAAACCCTTGATTTCTGCCTTGGCCGCTTCGTCAGCTATACGTTTATTGTCAATAATCAAGTGATAAGCTATAGCGAGCTGATCATGTGGATCACCACTAAGCAGAGCGCCATGTACTTCTTGCTCTTGCACCCCAAACTTCTCACAAACTTCACGAACTGCGTCAATATCAATCACAGAAGAATCTTGTTCGACTGGTGATGGGAACAAGTATGCCGGGCAGTCTTTCTGGAACCATTCGTGTTTCTTTATATCCTCAATAGTAGCTCTTTTCATCGGGTCTATTTGTAACATTTGACAGAGCAGGCTTGTCACAGATTTATTTAGATAGTCCGGAATGGGAAAAATGCCAGATTTTATTTTCTTAAAGAGCGTGGGGACGTGTTCATCGTCAAAGGGTAAAGTGCCACAAAGGAGGGCGTATAAAATGACACCGCATGACCAAATATCTACTTCAGGTCCAGCATAGAGTTTTCCTGATATTACTTCTGGAGCGGCGTAATTAGGGGAACCACAGCTTGTTCGTAAAAACTCACCGTCCATCATCATGTTTGACAGGCCGAAATCGGCGATTTTTACGTGCATGTTATGATCAAGAAGTAGATTTTCTGGTTTAAGATCCCTATGCACGATCATATGCCTGTGACAATAATCTACACCGGAAATGATTTGCTGGAAGAACCTTCTTGCTTCATGTTCTTGGAGTTTGCTATTCTTTACTATATAATCAAATAATTCACCTCCAGAGACATATTCCATTATCATAAAGATATCTGTCGGTGTGCTAATCACTTGGTACAGTTTTATGATGTGCGGATGCCTGAACAACTTCAAATTTTGAATTTCTCTTCTGATTTTACCCACTACATCCAAACTTTTAATTTTCTGCCTGTTCAGAATTTTAACTGCTACTTTGTGTTTGGTGAGCTGATGTTCTCCGATTTTCACCTTTCCAAATGTGCCCACGCCGAGAGTTTGTCCCAAAATGTAGTGCCCGATTTTAACAGGGGGCTGGGCCCCGGGTTTGGTGTTTTCCGACATATTCCAAAGGTTTATTTAACGCTACTGTGGTTCAAGTTACTTACCACTTTTAGGTAACACATTTATTACGAAAAAGAGACTTAAATATTTGATTTTTGTTGCTGCAAAATGCGTAGAAAATTTTATTTTTGGATTGTTTTCGTTTGACGATTTGACATTTGCCATGACGCCATGACAGGCATGACGTTTTAGTTTTGGTACATTTGAACTACTAACTATTTTGTGGATTTTATCCTTTTTTGCTAATTATTCATCTTGCTAATTAATGAGTAAAATAAAAAATAAGATTTTACCTTGTCATTAATAATGACAAGGTAAGATTTAATCATAGAGTCTAATTAGTTTAATTTACAATATACTTTTCTGTCGCGTCATGGATTGTTTTAAAAGTGTATGATTCTCCTTAATTTATTTTTCTGAAAACATGAACTTAGATCAGACATACGGAGCATGACTCGATCAAACCTATTCAATATAAATAAGAGAGAAGAATATACATTATTTTGTCTGTGATAAAACATCAGTTTAATTATCATAAATATTTTGTTTTTGAAGTTGTGAATAAAAATATACCATAAAGGTGTGTGAAATAGAAATAAACCGCTTGATTTTTTCATGTTATAAACGAATTTCAATCGTTTATGAATACAATTAAAAATACTGTTTCCCATTGGGCTGATTTTGCAATAAATGTAAGTAGAGTCACGTACGAATTATTAATTACCATAATTTAATGTATTATTTTTATATACTAAAGACAGGCGGCTTGTAAGGAAAATGTCTGAACAAGAAGATTATAAGAATGCAAAAAGCATTTATGACTTTACCGTAAAGGACATAAAAGGAAACGAAGTATCCTTGGAAAAGTATAAGGGCCATGTCTGCATTATCGTTAATGTTGCTTCGAAATGTGGTCTTACCAATTCAAATTATGCTGAGCTAAATGAACTGTATGATCAGTATGGTGAGAGCAAGGGACTTAGGATTCTTGGTAAGTTTCGTGTGGCTTTGAAGAATAAATATTATTAATTTATTTGTAGCTTTTCCTTGTAATCAGTTTGCAAATGAAGAATCGGGCAATAACGAACAGATCTGTGAATTTGTCGCTAAAAAGAATGTGAAATTTGACTTGTTTGATAAGGTGACATACATATTTTCAAAATTTGGTATATTTATTACATTATTTTTTCTAGGTCAATGTGAATGGTAGTAATGCACATCCATTATGGAATTACTTGAAATATAAACAAGGTGGGGTTTTGGGCACCTTTATTAAATGGAATTTTACGAAATTCCTAATTGACAAAGAGGGCCAAGTAGTGGAAAGATTTTCACCCACTACCAAACCAAAAGATATGATACCATCATTGGAGAAATTATTTTAAATTTATATATGCATTGAAAAAACAGCGTCAGAGACGGCTGGGAAATTAAGATTCCAAGCCAACTGGACGCCGTTTTTTTTCGGTTATAATATGATACCTATTATATGAGATTCCAGTTTTTATGCTTCATATTGTTATTATACCAAATGTTTTTTTATTATATATATTTTAAATAATATACTTGTTCTTTAAAAAGGGTTTTAATAAATAAAACAACTCTATGTAATTGTGAAAAATATGTGTACTTTATTCTAACAAAAATACCATGGGACACAAAAACCTTAAATTATATCAAAGTCTATACAAAACAGGAAAACAGTTCACCAAGTTAATCATTCAAAACCTAAGAGAAAAGAAAATATTGTACTATAAGTAAGATTCAAAACAATAAATTATTTTTACAAGAAAATGTGCTATTCAAATTCGGACATACAAAAAACTAACTATAACTTTAATGTTACTGTAGGGACCTAAAAAAACTGTTTTTTTTTTCTTAAAAACATTCTAGTAATTAAGCAGGACATACAATTTTTTTATAGAATTAACAGGATACCTTAACTACACAGAAGCGACATAAATGTGGGTTCCTTATGTGCAAAGAATATTGAGCAAATGATATTCTTTGTGTATTTGTTTTGTTTTTGTGTAGGTTGCTTGCCTGTGAAAGAAAATTGGTCTTCAAATATGTTTTGGTAAATTTTTGATTATTTTTTTCACCCCTAATAATTCATTTCACCCCCTATACGGGGTAAAATAAATTAATAAAATTATTTTTTCGAAATTTCGGAGAAACGGTAAGTACTAGAAAAAAAAGTTCAAATAAAAGTTGTAGAGCGTTCAATTTTACATAAAAATGGTCTCTACTCTATACTTTTTTTTTGTTCAAATCAAAATTAACCGAGATAGGGTGGCTAGAAGCTAGGAGACAACATTTATTGAAACATTTTTTCCTTACCGTTTCTCTGAAATTTAGAAAAAAACACTTTATTTATATTTTTCACCCCTTCTCAGGGTGAATTTTAAAAAATCTTAATTATAATTTGTAATTCTCGAAACAAATTGAATAAAAATATTAAATATATGAGTTTTTCAGCGACTTATAATTTTTTTTAAATTTCTACTACCACCCCTAGCTTCTTCCTTTCTTCATGTTCATTTTTGATATTAACCATATCTATATTACACTATATTGCTAGTCAGGAATAGAAACTGAAGCCAAACTTTTGAGATGGAGCTATACAAAATCCACATAAGTCGGTCCTTTTCGTTCAACAGCTACGAACTACGCAAGCGTGACAAGTGCTTCTCGATTGGTCGATTTATTTCACACTAACCAATAGAAGTAGTTTTCTAAGTTTCCATCTACCACGTAAATCAATTTAGCGTCTGACTATTCGCGCCTTTACTTTATTAAATTTAAATTTAATCTCTGACATATTTAAATGAAAAGAAGAAACGGATAGATATGACGAATATCTAAAATAACAGGTTGAAATAATGCTATTACCAATAAAAAAAATAATATATTATACGTTATTAATATTTAGAGTTTAAAACAGTGCGCGGGCAGGTGACACAAAAATCTTCTTGAACGAAAAGGACAGACTTACGCAAGATTGATATTCCTATTTCTTTTTTTTTTCAAAAATCTGACAAACCTAAAATTTGGTACACGAGTCGCTTCTGTATGTTTACGTACTTCTGTAACATAGCCCTGCGTTTTTTTTTAATTATTTAAACACTTTGTCGCACATGTTATGTAAAACAAAACCTATAGTTCTTATCGTGAAACTTGCGAATCTATGTGTAAGTAATTAATTCCAAAAATTAAAAAAAAAACACGCATTATTTCTAGATAAAAATACACAGGGCATCTTTTAAAATTCACTACACCCGACCGGTCCTACTTAAACCTTATTAACACCAGAAAAAAACTAAGAATTATTATCCGCCCTACCCATCATAATACTCAGGTTGACTTCGTAGGGCTGCGCGCGTTCCATCAACGCCTCTGGTTCCTGCCGGGACCCCCTCCCCCCTGCGGTCCCCCCGACGAATTGAGGAACAGCTCGATGTAGCGGTGCTGCATGTTGCTCTTGTCCTTGGCCATGGCCCTGATGGCGTCGTCGTGCGAGGCGAAAGTGACGTCAGCTTCGCCGGAGGGTCGGCCCGAGGGTTCGGACAGGAGGTGGATGGTCACGGGGATTATGGGTCGGAAAAACTGCCAAAAAGAAAGACAGATTTATTTATTTGTTTATTTAAAACTACTCGTTCAAACACCAAAAAATAGTTGTTACAGGGTAGGGACTTAAATCTAAATTAATTAAGTAAAAAATTGGTTTAATTGAAACTAAAATATACAAAGTAAAAAAAATGTGCAGATATATCTCATCAATGTGGTGAAGGAGGTGTGATTTAGGATCTTATTTATTTCTTTTACATTTGTATGGAAATATTTATACTCTGTTTTTTTTTCACAGGTAAGATTTGGACAGACGATGACCAATTGTCCAAGATTTGGACAGACGTCATGCATCATCTCTTGTTCTTTTTAACCAGTTTTATTGGTTTATTTCAAAAACAACAGATCATATTTCAATATTATTGGTTTAAAGGACCGATGAAGACAAACGGACGCCGATGCAGCGAACTCGGACTTTAAGATTTGTGAGAGTGTTAAACTTTGCCAAATTATAGGTTATTATAATTTTGTGTCAAATTATGTCAAATAGGAATGATAAATATTTTGCATTTTGATTGAGTTATTACGTGTTTCGTGTTTTTTAAAATTAGCAATACGTAAAGGTGGGGTTTTGGGCACCTTTATTAAATGGAATTTTACGAAATTCCTAATTGACAAAGAGGGCCAAGTAGTGGAAAGATTTTCACCCACTACCAAACCAAAAGATATGATACCATCATTGGAGAAATTATTTTAAATTTATATATGCATTGAAAAAAAAAACAGCGTCAGAGACGGCTAGGAAATTAAGATTCCAAGCCAACTTGACGCCGTTTTTTTTTCGATTATAATCTGATACCTATTATATGAGATTCCAGTTTTTATGCTTCATATTGTTATTATACCAAATGTTTTTTTATTATATATATTTTAAATAATATACTTGTTCTTTATAAAGGGTTTTAATAAATAAAACAACTCTTATGTAATTGTGAAAAATATGTGTACTTTATTCTAACAAAAATACCATGGGACACAAAAACCTTAAATTATATCAAAGTCTATACAAAACAGGAACACAGTTCACCAAGTTAATCATTCAAAACCTAAGAGAAAAGAAAATATTGGACTATAAGTAAGATTCAAAACAATAAATTATTTTTACAAGAAAATGTGCTATCCAAATTCGGACATACAATAAACTAACTATAACTTTAATGTTACTATAGAGACCTAAAAAAACTGTGTTTTTTTTTCTTAAAAACATTCTAGTAATTAAGCAGGACATACAATTTTTTTATAGAATTAACAGGATACCATAACTACACAGAAGCGACATAAATGTGGGTTCCTTACGTGCAAAGAATATTGAGCAAATGATATTCTTTGTGTATTTGTTTTGTTTTTGTGCAGATTGCTTGCCTGTGAAAGAAAATTGGTCTTGAAATATGAAGTTTTGGTAAATTTTTGATTTTTTTTTTCACCCCTAATAATTCATTTCGCCCCCTATACGGGGTGAAACAAATTAATAAAATTATTTTTTCGAAATTTCGGAGAAACGGTAAGTACTACAAAAAAAAAGTTCAAACAAAAGTTGTAGAGTGTTCAATTTTACATAAAAATGGTCTCTATACTCTATACTTTTTTTTTGTTCAAATCAAAATTAACCGAGATAGGGTGGCTAGAAGCTAGGAGACAACATTTATTGAAACATTTTTTTCCTTACCGTTTCTCTGAAATTTAGAAAAGAACACTTTATTTATATTTTTCACCCCTTCTCAGGGTGAATTTTAAAAAATCTGAATTATAATTTATAATTCTCCAAACAAACTGAATAAAAATATTAAATATATGAGTTTTTCAGCAACTTATAATTTTTTTTAAATTTCTACTACCACCCCTAGCTTCTTCCTTTCTTCATGTTCATTTTTGATATTAACCATATCTATATTACACTATATTGCTAGTCAGGAATAGAAACTGAAGCCAAACTTTTGAGATGGAGCTATACAAAATCCACATAAGTCGGTCCTTTTCGTTCAACAGCTACGAACTACGCAAGCGTGACAAGTGCTTCTCGATTAGTCGATTTATTTCACACTAACCAATAGAAGTAGTTTTCTAAGTTTCCATCTACCACGTAAATCAATTTAGCGTCTGACTATTCGCGCCTTTACTTTATTAAATTTAAATTTAATCTCTGACATATTTAAATGAAAAGAAGAAACGGATAGATATGACGAATATCTAAATTAACAGGTTGAAATAATGCTATTACCAATAAAAAAAAATAATATATTATACGTTATTAATATTTAGAGTTTAAAACAGTACGCGGGCAGGTGACACAAAAATCTTGTTGAACGAAAAGGACAGACTTACGCAAGATTGATATTCCTATTTCTTTTTTTTTTCAAAAATCTGACAAACCTAAAATTTGGTACACGAGTCGCTTCTGTATGTTTACGTACTTCTGATTATTATTCTGATTCTGATTATTAAATATATTTATTTCTATATTATTTAAAACCTTTGTCGCACATGTTATGTGAAACAAAACCTATAGTTCTTATCGTGAAACTTGCGAATCTATATGTAAGTAATTAATTCCAAAAATTAAAAAAAAACACGCATTTTTTCTAGATAAAAACACACAGGGCATCTTTTAAAATTCACTACACCCGACCAGTCCTACTTAAAACATATTAACACCAGAAAAAACTAAGAATTATTATCCGCCCTACCCATCATAATACTCAGGTTACTTCGTAGGGCTGCGCGCGTTCCATCAACGCCTCTGGTTCCTGCCGGGACCCCCTCCACCCTGCGGTCCCCCCGACGAATTGAGGAACAGCTCGATGTAGCGGTGCTGCATGTTGCTCTTGTCCTTGGCCATGGCCCTGATGGCGTCGTCGTGTGAGGCGAAAGTGACGTCAGCTTCGCCGGAGGGTCGGCCCGAGGGTTCGGACAGGAGGTGGATGGTCACGGGGATTATGGGTCGGAAAAACTGCCAAAAAGAAAGACAGATTTATTTATTTGTTTATTTAAAACTACTCGTTACAATCGCCAAAAAATAGTTGTTACAGGGAAGAGACTTAAATCTAAATTAATTAAGTAAAAAATTCGTTTAATTGAAACTAAAATATACAAAGTATATCTCACATCAATGTGGTGAAGGAGGTGTGATCTAGGATCTTATTTATTTCTTTTACATTTGTATGGAAATATTTATACTCTGTTTTTTTTTCTCAGGTAAGATTTGGACAGACGATGACCAATTATTGTCCAAGATTTGGACAGACGTCATGCATCATCTCTTGTTCTTTTTAACCAGTTTTATTGGTTTACTTCAAAAATGACAGATCATATTTCAATATTATTGGTTTAAAGGACCGATGAACGACAAACGGACGCCGATGCGTATGAACTCGACTTAAGATTTGTGAGAGTTGTTAAACTCTTGCCAAATTATAGGTTATAATTTTGTGTCAAATTATGTCAAATAGAAATGATAAATATTTTGCATTTTGGACTGAGTTATTACGTGTGTTTCGTGTTTTTTAAAATTAAGTGGAGGAAAACTCAAAGGTTACTACAGTTAATATTCGGTGCCCAGAGACAGTTTGCCAGAGATTATGGCCAGAGAGTTGTATTGGCCACAAATAAACTTTGTATACTATGAGCTAAATGAGTTTTTTTTCAAACTACCCCGACCCACCCCTAGGTGCCACCCCCTCATTTCTAACCTCAAGATAGCGATACCCCACTTGTGACACCTCTTTGGAAAGCGTATAAAAAGTGCTGAACGACTGTCATAAAAAACGAAAAAAATAGAGCCTAAAAATAAAACAAAAATGTCAAAACGTGTCAAAATCAATAGAATGAATTATTTTTGTATCCATAAACCATTGCGAGAAAAAAAGCTGGTACAAAGAAATTTATTATAACTCTTAATGAAGACCTCATACATTTTCAGCAAGATGGAGCATTATTCTATTGTCACAAGGCGGTGGTTGAATAAATATTATCCAAGGCAATGGATTGGCAGAAGGGGTCTAATCGAGTGGCCGCCAAGGTCACCTGATCTCACTCCTTTAGACTTTTCCTTGTGGGGTTACACTAAATCCATAGTCTACAAGACAAAACCAGGTTCGTTGCAAGAATTGCGGCAGAGGAGAACTGAAGCATGTCGAAATATTCCGAGAGAGACTTTCCAAAAAGTGAGAGAAGAATTTGAAAATCGTTTGTATTTTTGTATGAAACAAAACGGCTGTCATTTTGAGCAATTATTAAAATAATTTATCATTTTAAATTTCTTTCAAATTGTCTTAATTACTTAATTTCAATTAGCTTTCCAAAGAAGTGTCACAAGTGGGGTATCGCTATCTTGAGATTAGAAGTCAGGGGGTGCCACCTAGAGGTGGGTTGGGGTGGTTTGTGAAAAATACTTCATTTGCGTCATTTAGCTGGGTCCCAATTTGTAACTTATGCTGAAAAAATCACCTTTTTCATTAATGTCCACCTAATTGTTGGTGTAAGGGTAGTTTTTCGATTTCACCCTAAAAACTTTATGATCATTTAGCATTTTTTATGATCTTTCCAAAAAGACGCCACAAGTGGGGTGTTGTCATTTAAGATTTTCAAGTGAGTAGGGGTGCCTCCTAAGGGGTAGGTCGGGGTGGTTAAAAAATACGTCATATGTATTCCCCCTCGATATTATAGAAACGGTATTTTTTATTTTTTTGATATCTTTTTTGGTTTTTAAAAATTATAGCCATTGTAAGTTTTCAGTGGCCCACCCTGTATAATTGTCTAGATTGGAATTGTTCGAATTCTTAATCCAAAACTGTTAAAATTATCGTGTACTGAAGTTTGACGATGAATATCTTTTAAACGGTTAATTTAAAAACCTTTTTTGTAGAGAATTCAATTTCCTACAAATATATGAGACGAGATATTTTTTCCAAATAAGGAAAAAATAGAAAATTGAAAGGCGGAGGACTTTCCTATTAAAATTAAGAGCTCATACTTGGAGAGAATTTTTCTGAGGTGTCTACCAACCTTTTTTTCAGAGTATAAAGCGAAAAAAAATAGTCGATTTTTTTGACCCTCCCTAATATACATGCCAAACAAAAAGTAACAACCAAAATTTAGACACTCACCTCTGCAATATCTTGTTGTGTAGCCCTAAAGGGCAAGCCTCTCATGTGAATACAGTGATTCCTGCGTTGCCACAAGTCATGTGGATCATAACTGTTTCGCGCATTTCTAGGTCCCCCATTTTGGCTGCCCCACGGACCTTATAAAAATAAATATTAATCCATAATTGTAGTATTTTTTTTGAACGATAATTACAATTATTTTGAAAATAATTGAGGAACAGACTTTCTAGATGCATTTTGTTCATTTTTTTTTCGAATTTTGGCCTACACCTACATGTGAAAAATCTAGTTCTGATGATATATGAGAAAATTGAGAAAAACTGTTGACTGTCCTGTAGACGTGAAATTTCTCTTTATTTTTCTGCTATAGGTGGTAATAACAAGTAATAGGATGCTATTAATACACAAACTAATAATCACAGAATTTAATAAAAACTAACGTAGAAGTAACTTTGAAAGTGGTGTAATGTGCTTATCAAACTTACTTCTCGGACTGCAGTCAAGGATAATAAAGAACCTTTATTGTCACGTTCTGGTTCAAAATAGTTTACCAGGGAAGCTTCAAGCTCTTTGCTTCGACTGTTTAAATGCTTCGGCATATTTTCAACACACAATTTCAAGAAATGCAATATAAAAACTCGAAAATTTAGTTCTCAAAAGAACTGTTTGTGCTTAAAAGTACAATTAAAAAAAAACTATAAAAATAGACAAAAAAAAGATAATCACTCAAAAAGATTCAACAATACAATATTATACAAAATAATGACTGACATTAGGATAATTGTCAAATAATAAACGACAACCTTGCTGAAAACGGCGCAATGTGACCAACATAGCGATAATAAAATTCGGTTTAAACTAATTTTTGTAGCTTTAATCTAAATAAAATATCTGTTACAATCATTTGCTCTATAAAGTCAAATGAAAAGCTGCTCGATATCTTAAAATTATACAACAAATTTAAACAATTTTGCCAAAATTTCATTTAGTCAGGTTTATAAACTTTCGTCTTAGAAAGTCTCAGTTATTTTCGCCATTTCATTGAATGGGATAAAATGTATCTACCGCATCGTTCCTTGTATTATGTCGTGACTCTGTGTATGTAGTTTGCAATGCCAATGAAAATCTTCAAAAATGGACAAAATGCATTTAGTAAGTCTGCAGCTCAGTTAGTATTATTCTCGTAAATCTAGCGATATTAAAAATCAAACCTATTACTCACTGTTGTTGCTGAGATTGGCCCCCTTGAAACTCCTGCTGCCCCTCGGGGGGTACCTTCCCCCCGAGCCACCGCCGAACCTGTCTCCGCGGTCGTATGGGCTGGGTCTGCTGTTAAAGCCGCCCCCGGGAGGCCCGCGCTGCTGGGCCGGCCCGCCTCTGCTCTCGTAGCCCATGGTCTCGTTTATTTCCGACAAACTACTGCGGAATATCTCTATGTATCTGCGATAGAGTTAACGGTAGATGAAGAAGATTAGTGTATTGTTTTACAACAGTTGGTAGTTACATAATAAGATATTTTTATTAAAACCTAGTAATTTATTTCTATTATAAGTTAAAATAAGTTAAAAATTAAAAAGATACGTTAAGTAACTCGTTTATTCTAACAGTTCTAGGAGTTCTTACTACATAATTATATAGATCGACCTCTAAAAATAAAACCGTTATAAATTGGCGCCCAACGTGGGGCTACAAAGTATAAAAATAGCAGAATTATTCCGCAAACCCGTAACTTTAAATTAAATTACCGTCGGCCACTTTAACGAAGAAGATATTTTCACCATTGATTCGATATACGATCTTACAATTAGTGACCTTACAATTAGTGATGTACTTAACGAGATATATTAAAAATAATAGAAATGCTATAAAAATTTGAGCTTGACTTGTAAAAATTTACCTCTATTGGGTACAAACATAGTGGGGCATCTCAATGCGATGCTCGCAGCGATGCATCCTACGCGCACGTTTTAAGCACTGTTTTAAAACGACGAATAAGTGCGCGTAGGATGCATCGCGGCAAGCATCGCATCAAGATGCCTCACTATGTAGGTACCCTTAAACAGGTATTTTCTCACGAACAACGAATATTTATTTTATACATATTATTACTTTGGATATATGTAATAAATAAATAGTTATTCTATTTCTTTAATTCTTTCGTTTTTGTTCATTTATACAGGGTGGTCCGAACTGTATTCCGGAAACTTCAGCAGCATATTCTGCATAAAAATAAGTAAAAAAGTTCGTATAAATGTATGTCCTAAAATGCATAGTTTCGGAGATACCTACAGGGTGTAGAAGTTTCATTTTTATTTCGATTTTTTCGAAATAATTTATGAAGTAACGTCAATATTTCGATGAAAATTGGTATCTGGGCGTTTTTTGACATGAGAAATTTGATTTTGATGTCAAAATGACTCCTACTTGTAGAGGGCACCACCTACATATTTTTTACGAGTAATGATTCTCGAGATATTTGGAATCGAAATTATCAATACCTGTATTTATTAACATAAATTAAACATGTTGACTAAATAGTTATTAGACTGAAATCATAAATTTGAAATATTTTTGTGCCAAAAGTTCAACAGAAACTGTTTTATCATCATTTTTTCGCAGAAAAATTTATATTTTTAAAAAATAAAAATTTCAGTCAAATAACTATCTCAACAACGTGTTTATTTTTAGTCAATGACATGTATGCACTATTTCCATTCAAAATATCTTGGGAACGGTTGCTCGTAGCAATTTTTACCAAGAGACATTTTTTACGTAAAAATTCACGAAAATGTATATTTTTTCACTAAGTAGTTTTATACGGGTTGGGACGAAAAGTTATTACTCTTCAAAACAGTTAAAACGCACGTAGGTGGCGCCCCCTATAAATAAGAGTCATATTGACGCCAAAATCAAATTTTTTATGTCAAAAAACTCCCAGGCACCAATTTTCATCCAAATATTGACCTTAGTTTAGAAATTATTTTGAAGAAATCGAAATATAAATGAAAATTCTACACCCTGTATCTTCGAAACTCAGCATTTTGGGACATATATTTATTCTAACTTTTTTACTTATTTTTATCTGCAGAATATGCTGTCGAAGTTTCCGGAATTTATAAAGGTGTCCGGTAGAGTAGAGGTACAGGCTCTCGTCTACCAATCTCAAGGTAATGGGTTCGAATCCCACACCCGGCATTTCATCAGCCGACTATTTTTATTAAAATAAAAATAGTTTGGGTACCTAGGTCGACTCAGCCTTAAACGAGTACTTGGGATTCACAATCCTGAGGTAATAATAGGCGGTTGAAGCGTAGTGCTAGCCACATTACCTTCCTTGTCTCTTCCAGATAGCGTTGACATTTATAACATGTCATATTCCCAATTTAAATTAGCCTGCAAGAGAACTGTTTTACGATTTAAATGTTGAAGGTAAAATAAATAAAGAAAAAATTGTAAAATAAGTTTAATTCAATTTAAGTTAATTAAATAAAAAAAAAATGTAAAAATATAAATCTGTGATGAAATGCCGTGTCGATGTACACGTGTAGTGATCTGTTGTTTTGTTTTGCTCTGTTTTAGTTATTGTATATTAAATTAGTTATTTTTATATAGTCTATTAGATTTGGGCCTTGTGTAACAAGCTGGGCCATTTGTAAATTTGTAAATGGTTGAAATTATGCCGTCAATAAACATATTATTATTATTATTGTATATCGAACGGCTCTAGTATGGCAAGCTGTACCTTGCTACTCCCAAGGCGTCAAACGCTATATACGGGAGCCAGTATTATTAAGTTTCCGGAATACAGTTCACACCACCCTGTATATTATATCTTTTAATACTAATAGTTTTGTACTCATAGACATAGTTTTTGTCATATTTTTGTTATTGTTACTTTACTGGGCTGTTAGTTTAGCCCGTTGATAAATAAATAAATAAATTCTATGTTCCTGAGCTAAATCATTCAATAGCGATTATTATTTGTTGCTATTAATTTTCCTAATTTTATACTTACCAAAGATCATGCTTTAAACTTGTTAAAAATAGAAATTCCATATTATTTTTTGTCCTCATATTAAGTAATTTAGGATAAAAAATAAAATGTTTACATTTATGTATTTTATTTTTAGCATTAGGGCTCAAACTCACTGTCGGCTGAACGACCAGTTTCAACAGAGTTGTCAAATCTAACGATTTTTTACGTTTTACCAATTAGAAAATATTGTTTCAGAAATATTAAAATATCCGAGTTAACTAAAAAGCGAAGTTGCTATTCACAACAAACAAAAAGCATTGTGTACGCGCGACCGACAAAAAGGGAGATATTCTGTTTCTTTTTTCAACTGATATGGCGCGATTATCGACTTTAGAAGTAAACATATTAGGGCCATCGTAGAAAAAGATCGTCAGACACTGGCTCTAAATATAAGCAGGTAGAAAATTTAGCTTCCAGTTATTTCAATGTTTACGATATAACGAAGAATCTACAACAGCAATTACTTCTATTTTTATGAATGTTTAAGTTACTTTCTTAATTTTTTTTTCAAGATAATGTACCTAGTAGAAATATAGTCTAATGAACCCTGTTTGAAAAACGTTAAATTAAATATTATATTTAAAATACAGTTGTCCTCCTTGTACATGACTACGATACAACTAAAAAAAAAAGTGGTTGTAGAAAAACTTGAAATATTATTTTTTTTATTTTTAAACATCGAAACTCAAAGGTATAATAACAGGTATCTTACCAACCATAAATAGAGTAGGCATGTCATATAAAAATGTTTTTACTAGAATCGACCTTTGATATAAAAAAGGGATTAGATTTAAGTTTACCTTTGATCCAGTCTGTATACTATTTCTTTGGATTTTCTGCACGTGTGCAAAAACTACACTAAAACACTATATCTTATAGAAAATAAAATATTGTGCCTTGAATTTGAGGAATTTCATTTGAAAAACTATTAATTTGAAAGAAAACCGGCAACAAGTGGCAGAAAATAATAATATTTCCAGGCCGTTAGTGTGCCCTATCTTATTTGATTTAATGGTTTTAAAGCTGGATTTATAAACTCGAAAGTTGGCGTTCAGTTGAGGTTCAGTTGCAGTTGGATGTTCGCGGCAGTTCAGGTTCAATATTTTTGCATTTATAAACTGTCAGTTTCGGTTGTAGGTTAGGTTTGGAATTGTGAAAATTTCGAACGTTTTTCTTTTGATTTAAAAATACTTCTGGTATTTGTCAAAGTTCAAACACAGTAATCTACGATTACGCAAAATATAAACATCACATTAACAGAAATAATGAAACAACAATAAGGGTCATTTTCCAATGCATCGGCGTACTGTGCTTCACGTGATCGACAGGCGCTTATTCATTGGCTGTCGCCGAACGTCGCCAGCGGTCGCCAACTGCCCGCAACTGCCGACATAAACATTGACCATCTTTGAACTCCGCTGAACGTAAAACGAACTGCCAACTTTTCGACCAACTGACTTTATAAATGCCCGCGTTCATTTCATAGCGTTGAACATTTTGAACGGCAACTGAACCTCAACTCCCGAGTTTATAAATCCAGCTTTAGAGGTAGCTGCGGCCTGGCCGGTGCGACCTGGTCGTCAGTGTGTTTGAGCCCTTATTCATAAAATTCAAAACAAAGCACGTTAAAACATGATCTAGTAGCAAAAAACAAGAAAAAAAAAACTATACTCTAATTAATTAATAAATAGATACTTGAAGAAGGCGTGCCTTGGGTGAAACCCCCCGCCCGCCCCCCTTCCCTTTCTGTCCCATAGACTTAAAGAGAATAATGTCACACAGCTGTCATTATTACTAATTTACCGATTAATCATTCAAATTCCACTGAACATCCGGAATAAAATTTAGAATGAACTAAAAATCAAATAGCAACAGCTGTGCCTCTCTATCTTTGCTGTAGAACTGGTGTATGTATTTATGTATATATCTCTTTAGGCCTATGCCCTTACCCCACCTGTGTCCGATTTTTTCCCTGTGCTTCTTGAGAGCCCGCTCCGACACCTCCCTGTTCGCAAACTGTACATAGGCCTCCCCTGAGCTGCGCCCCGAGTAGTCGGTCAGCAGCGTTATGCCATTCGGTACTATCTCCAGCCCTACCCACAAAACAACCAAGACCCCATTAAGCCCATAATATGCCAAAATTGGTGGTGATGCCCGAGTGGGGACACGACCTGTGCGTATCTGTACAGGTTTTCAGCAAAGAAAATCGATTAAATGTACAGGGTGTCGTCCCATTTTTGGGTTTTGCAGGGTTTCTTGTTTGTGAGTAGAGGTATAAGATGCGGTTTTCAATTTACTTTGCTACTTTTTTTTAATGAAACTAAAGCTTTTTATGAAGCTAAATGCTTCAAATTCACCCTGTATTTCCGGAACTAAGAGGTCTAGGACAAGTCTGTGTGTAGCATCTTTAGTTTCATAAAACAGCAGCCTAGTAATGCGAAAATTGCATCTTGTACCTCATAAACGAGAAACCCTGCAAAACCCACGAAAATGGGACACCCTGTAGATATAATAGAAAAAAATATATTACTCACACCTATTCACTCATTTTTAAGATTTATTAAGTTACAAAGAAAAATACTACCCAAACAGAGGGGTATTAACACAAATCTTTTATTAAAAGGTTTTTCGAATATTTTTAAAGACTTTCTGAATGTTTTAAGTTAAAATGTGCCAGGAAGTGGAAAATAGTTTAACAAGTGAACTTTCAAAATATTCTAAACATAAACATTCCGATTCGTTATCTAAATAAAATTTTAACAGTCAGGTCTGTGAAACACTCTATATATAGATATATTGAGCAAAAATATATTTATACCTGTAAAGATACACACAAATCTTGATACTGCATACATAGAAAAAAAGTGAATAACTCCAAAACAAGTCTAGATCTGTAATAAAACACATACCTGTGAAGAACTGGGCTATTTCTTCCTTCGAACACTCATAAGGCAGGCCTCTCAATCTAACGCAACCATCCTCGTTTGCATCAAAACCAGCGCCTGCTCTTTTCATCACCCAGTCCATTTCAGCTCTGTTCACTTTGAACACTAAAAAATCAAACACTAATTTAGAATAGGGTCGAGAAAGAATCATGAAAAACTGAAATTACAAATCCTTTAGAAACTTTTCTTTAAAACAGTTGAAAAAATTACAACTGAATACCTTCAATGTAACGACTACCCATATGTTCCTTGTCTCTCTTTTCGGCCTCTTCCAAATCTTCTAAGGAGTTAACCTCGACAAATGCCTCTCCGCTAGGTCGCCCCTCTTTGCTAAAAGTAAGGTGGACCTTAAGAACGGTTACTCCGTCCAAGAACTTGGTTATATGTTCTTCGGTGGCTGACCATGGCAAACCACGTAATTTCACGATATATCCTTCGTCCTTTCCATATCCTTCATCCTTTCCATATTCTTCATCATTTCCATATTCTTCTTCTTCCTCCTTTATATATATTTCTTCCTTTACAGACATAGCAGCCTTTTAACTAAAAACAGTATTAACTTAAATATGCAAAATAGAAAGTTTAATGACCATACTGTACATGTTTATTGATTTAAAAGTGAAGAATTTACAAACGCATATTTTATATAACAATTCGATAAATAGTTAATTTTAAAGAATAATCTGAATTTACCTTGTTGTTTCTTGTTGGATTCGGCGGGAATATTGTTTGAAAATGTGGAAAAAATAATATTTTCAAATTGTTATTAAACTGACAACAGCCAAGGTGAAAAATGAAAATGCTCAATACAAAACAAAATGGCGAATGAAATGGCGTACGTTCGCTTTTTGAAAATGGCGAGCATTGATATAGGTCTGTCTCCTTTTATCTTATTGCAGTAGAAAGGGAAAAAATGTGACGTCCCCCTGTAGACGGAAGCGCAAACCAGGGCAGCCAAGCAAAACCAAACCAAACCAACCTGATTTTATACTTCATTGTAGCCAATGTAAAAAAAACATAAGTAGTTCAAATGACCTAACAAAAATAAAGAAAGGTTATTTATTGTCAAATTGTCAAAAACATATTGACAAAATGTTTTATTCTCAACAGTTATGTTAATTTGTTTTTATCTTTGTAGTATCACAGTGCATTTAATTTCGTATTTACGATTCTTATTGATAATTTACAAAGAAAGAGCTAATCTCTTTCTTTGATTTGATTTTGTTATTGGGTATTGATAGTTATAATGCCTTTGATATGTGAAAAATAATAATTAAACAGTGCTAAAAGACAGAATTTTGTTATAGAATAAATAATTTGATAAAAATACAAGGAAAATGACACCAGAAGAAGCAAGTTACGCTCGCGAAGACCTTTACGGCAGTAGTTATCAAAACCCAAGTAATCAGCCTCTAGATATCTGTAAGTATTAAATGTAAATAACTTTATTGTTTAGTTAGTTCTGTTATTAGCTGTATGTTTTATAATCAGAATGATTGTTTCTTACATTTTGATTTAATTGTGTATTGGTAGTGAGTTAAAACATTATTTTTTTCTTGTTATGGCAGCTCATTCTCATAGTATCAACACAATTCCATCAATTCGTGATTTTATTATATCCGAGGATATGTTAGCTGGTCAGAGACTCAATGGAAGGATGTCCAATGTTAGACGATTTTTTTGTTTGTTTGTTACGTTCGATTTTCTCTTTGTATCACTTATGTGGCTTATCTGTGTGATGGTAAGAATTTTATTATAAATTGGAAAACAATAATATCAAAATAAATTCACACTAAATAATATAAAAACGTTATAATTACACACATACAGGGTGTGCCTTAATGACATGCTAATATTTAAGTAGGCTTATTCTAAGGAAAAAACTTCATATGAATGTATATCGTAAACATCTTAATTTTGGAGATACAGGGTGGTAAAATAAACTTTTTCGTAATATTATCTCTTGTGTTATAGATATCTAGATTTTTTTTTGATACATAATTTTTTGATGTAGAAAAAAAATGTTGAATCTCTTTTAGAAAAATTTACCATCCTGTATCTCAAAAGTTCTGATGTTTAGGACATGGATTCATTTGAAGTTTTTTCCTAGAAATATTAGTATGACATTAAGGAACACCCTGTATACAGGGTGATCTAATTAATTTACTTTTTTAGTTAAATGGAGAATACATAATGAAAGCACTATCGGAACAAATCTTACATTATGATATACATACGTCCCTGTTTGATATTGTTCTCTTAGCGTTCCTTAGATTCTTAATTCTAATATTTTTCTATGCTATCCTGTATATAAATCATTGGATTATCATAGCAGTAAGTACCAAAAAATAAAGATCTATATGTGATTATTAAAAAAAGTCTTGAGTCAAATCAGCTGACATAAACTAAATGTTCTTTAATTTTTTTTAGTTGACCACTGCATTAAGTTGTGCATTTCTTATAGCAAAAGTGTTTATGTTTGATGTAAGTACTTCTTCTTAGTTTTATTGTTTATTTCAAGTATATTCAATGGTTGATAATATAACTGATTGTATTCAGGGTGGTCCGAACTGTATTCTGGAAACTTCGGCAGCATATTCTGCAGATAAAAATAATTAAAAAAGTTTGTATAAATTATATGTTCTAAAATGCTTAGTTTCAGAGATACAGGGTGTAGAAGTTATATTTTTATTTCGATTTTTTCAAATAATTTCTGAAGTAACGTCAATATTCTGATGAAAATTGGTGTCTGGGAGTTTTTTGACTTGAGAAATTTGATTTTTATGTCAATATGACTCCTATTTGTAGGGGGCGCCACCTAGGTGTGTTTTAAGTGTTTTGAAGAGTAATAACTTTTTCTCCGTACCTGTATAAAACTACTGAGTAAAAAAATATACATTTACGGATGGTTTTTACGTAAAAAAGGTCTCTTGGTAAAAATCGCTACGTGTAATGGTTTTCGAGATATTTGGATCAGTACCTGTCTTCATTGACATAAATTAAACGAATCTTACGTTAGACGCAAGGGATTTAAGACCAATTTTGCCAACAATTATGTACTGATGATTATCATGTTATATCAGCCATTGAATGAACTTTGCTAGAATTGTTTTTGTTGAATAATTTTTGTACATTAATAACTTATGATATATTAGGGAATGTGTGATATTTTTAGTGGCCTAAATCATCGCAGCCAGTCCTAGAAGTACTGCTAGTTCTCGTGTCTTTTGTTATTTCTTGGGGTCAAGCATGGTTTCTGGATTTCCGAGTCATACCCCAAGAGAACCATGCCAGTAGATACCTTATAAGTATGTGTATATTGATCAATAATTATACACCCTAATAATATACTCCTACATATAAAAGAATATATTGCGGCTAACGCATGAATTTTTGTCCCAATATTGAAGGATAGATATAGAATATTAATGCATTTCCCACATAAGTCTATCCTTAGGTGTTTCTCCTTCAATACGGGAACATAAATCCTCTCATTGCTTATATGGGAAGGCTGCAGTATATTCTTTGATATGTGTATATGAGATGACCATAATATTCGCCGTTTTAGCGTCCACAGAGTCGGAAAGGGCGCCTCTTATAAGACGATATGTACAAGGGCTTCCTTCTGTATGCACTGAAAGTGTCGGAAATTTCTATTCGCCCATGGGAACGCCAGAAGGATCGATGTGTAGGTTCGATCCACAACCGAGTACCTTTAGGCCTGCGCCTTTAACAAAAGAACAGGTAAGGATTTTCTGAAAAATCTGCGATCTGGTCATTGAAACAGCGTGGCGTGGATTTTTACTAGTGATGGGAAAAACCGATTAATTTCAATAATCGAGTACTCGAGTTTCAAGCGATTGCAGTAACCGAGTGATCGCTCGAGCGAAATATCACTCGTATTTAAAAATACGGTTTTTCACCCGTCGCTGTAAGTACTCGTTAACGCCAAGCGCCAAGCAGTAAGTTGCGTGCGCAAGGCACATATTCTTTCTGTGATGAATGGCAAGTAGGAAGCGGCGAGCGATTCGCTTGATTGCTTGGTTTAGTTTATTTCAAAGCATTGTCGATGTAGATCGTAAAATTTTGTCCCTCAGATACGCAACGGATAAATATAGGTATATACGGCGTCGTATAAATTTGCTACCTGCAATGTATATAGAAAATTCGTTCGGCTTTTTATCGGGTATGCCACATTAAAATCGGATTTAAATTTATTTCATTCTAGGATCGCTGGCGTTCGTCGCTTGGTGCTCGTCACTTGCATCGCTCGTTCATAATCGAGCGATGTCGGTTATTTCAATACTCGAGTACTCGAGCGAATTTTCGCTCGAGTTATCCCATCACTAATTTTTACCTGTAAGACAGTGATGCAGACAGCTTAAATGAATAATCAAATGTATTAAAAAGAGATAAAAGTTAGGTTGATATATTTCTTCTATGCGGTATTGTCGGATTTTGCATCAAAATTTCAAACTGCATTGCACAAGTAGGTGTTAACGAAAAATGTTGCATCTAGGGTTGGGACTTTATATTTCACAATTAGTTACTCACTTTAGTACAGCTGTAATATTTAGATTCTTAAACAACTGTCTAACAGAAATGAGCATTATTGAGTAGCTTAGATATAATGTTATCTTCGTTTATTATTTTATTTCTCGTACGAACCGGCAACACTGTGTGCCGCTTTTTATTTTGTCTCTGTCTGTCAACTGGTCGTAAATATTTATCTCTGTCTTATGTATTAAAGTACAGACCACGGAAATCGTACGAATACCGTATGATCGAAAAAATACGGCGTCCAGTTGGCTTGGAAATGACGATCGATGACATTTCCCACATAATCTATACTATTATATAAAATCCTTAAGTGACTGACTCACTGATTAATCACGATCCTGCTCAAACCACTCAACGTAAGAAGCTCAGTTTTGCCATACAGGTTGATTCTAGGGTGTAAAGAGGTTCGATAAGAAGGGATTTTTCGAAACTCGAATTCTAAGGGGGTGAAACCACCCCTCAAATTTTAGAATATTTTTTATTTAAAAACCGGTGAGTTTTTCGGAAAAACTCTTTAACACGTATATTTTATTTTGTTGTTTTACGTATTTTAAGATTTTTTATAAATTTATTCAGGGTGTTTTATAAAATATGACCATTGAGGTAATCACGATTCTGCTTAAACTGCTTGACGTTTAAAGCTGATTTTTGGCAAATGGATTGACTGTGGGGTGTAGAGGTACGATAAAGAGGGGTTTCTCGAATCTCAAATTCCAAGAGGGTGAAAAAATTTTTGCTTTGCTTTATCATCACCATTACAAATAATTAATTCGACGCGAACGAAGTGGCGGGTACACGCTAGTTTTACATATAATATTATAGCCATCGCCGACGCCGTTTTTTTTTCGATCATACGGTACTGTTCTGTTTTTTTTCTGTTATATTTTATGACATCACGCCGTTTAACTTCTGTTTGTACCGTGTGATGCATCCGAATAAAATACCAGCAAAAATATGATTTTCCGATACGATTTTTTTGTATGATTAAAAATGTCTTTAAAATTTATCTTATCTCTTTATGTCTTTCATTAATAATGAGTGAATCCTAAGAAAAAAATAAATGTTTTGTTTACTTTCAGGATTATTTCAGAGTTGTTTAGATAAATATTTAATAGTTTAGGTATTTTTTTACTTTTAAATAGATGTTTTAGTTAGTCATACAGGTAGAAATTGTATTTACATATAATTACACCGATTTGAATAAATGTTTATTTATTTAAACAATAGTACAGGGCGTGTAAAATTAGAAGCTTTCATTTTTTTGAAACAGATATAAACAGAAAAAATTCTAGGTTGTCACTTTGGTATTTAGATTACGGTATATTATTAAATTATATTTTTTTTACTATACTTTTATCTAAATATTTATAGATTTTTATCTATTTATATAACGTATGATCGAATAAAAACAGCTTCCAGTTGACTTGGAAATGGCGATCGATTACATTTCTCATATTATCACAGATTAGGTATCCTATAAGTATACAGATAAAAATCTTGTCCTTAATTCGTGGTACGAAAATTGTTTTTTATGACGATGTGCAAACGAGTAAAATTTCCTGTGCGTAAAAATAAACTCGCGTAAAATAACAATAAACAGCGTAATAGAGGGAAATCGCTAAACCGAATAGCGTGCATGAACGTTAATAAGGCCAGGTGTTATTTCCTTTACGTGAGGTGGTATTAACTCTCTTCATTGATAGTTATCGGATCGGAAAGAATTCTGTTCGCGTCGCGTCCGCTATTTAAACTTAACCTAATTTTGAATTTAAAACTTTGAAATTGTTTTGTTTATTAAGTATTTTAAAACTAAAGGGCTAAAGTGCTTATTTCCAGTGCTTTATTGTTCAACGTCTGCCAGTGGGTTTAGGGCAACCCTCAACAAATTCTCTTAGAAGGGCTAAGTCGTCATCTGCTGTAAACCTAAGCCTCTTTATAGGTTCTCTATTATTGGAAGAGGTGGAATCCATATTTTGGGCCATATTTATTTAATTAAAACTAATCTCAGCGACTTAAATATCAAATTACCTAATAAAACTAAAGTAATAATTCAAAACAATTCAAACATAACCTAAAATAAAAGATCTCGCCGGCCGGCCCCGGTTGTCAAATACCCGCACATGCCCATTTAAGCAATTTTTAAACGTTATTTAGAAATAGCGCTTGGTGTAATTGATCCGCAAATTATGTCAGGCGGTAACGTTATTAGCGGGTGTTGCGTTAAAAATTGACTCGCGCATAACGTAACCATAAGGTACGCGTAAATACTGCATGACGCTATTCGGTTTTCCGATATTTCTCTAATAACTGTGCCGGTCAGGCGCTGTGCACAATAAGTGGGCGTGCTATGTGCGCAAACTAGTAACCCAACTATTGCCCGATTCCGAAAATTGGAACCACGAAAAACAATAAAGAAAAAACAAAGTTTATAATCTGTATAATCTGTGATATTATTTTACATATAAAATGACAGCGATCTTCATTTCAGAGCCATCGCTGATGCCGTTTTTTTTCGATAATGTTTTACCATACGATCGAAAAAAAACGGCGTCAATTTTACAATATATACTAAATTTTGAATTCTGTTGATACCGCCCTGTATTTTAAGGGTTAATACATATTTCAGTAGTCACAAAACACTATATTATGCCCTATAAATTTTTACTTCTACTTTATTAAGATTACTACTTCAGTAGATCTTAAGCTTTCTAAAGATCTGTTCATTTTGTCACTTAGTTTTCCATCAAAGAATATTTTTATGGTACCTATATCAAAAATTATTTAGTTTTTTTTAACATGTTTCTTATGGATTCTAGGAGCAAAATTATAAGCATTTAGGAGCGCATGCTTTACAGAACACGTGGGATCTGTATTTGAAGACAGATTGGAAGCTTGAGAAGCATCAGGATCATGCTTATGTTTATATTAGAAAGGATCCGAAACTCGGTACTATATTTAAATTGGTGGTAAGTAATTTATTTCTGTAATTACTAGGGTTTCGGAGATGGCTTTTGACGTTTCTTACGTCAAAACTAACTCTCACAGTGGCACGTGTTGTACACGGTAAAGTTGGTCTTGCTCCAATCTATCGACATACCAAATTTCATTTAAATCGGACGATTTTTTGGTTTTGTCATTGATGATGGGGTTTCGTACTGCACGAAACGTCGTCTTTTTCTAGTTTTAGCTCCCTAGCTCACATAGGGACCGAGTTACGACGCTCCAAGATAAAAAAAAATCAACGTTACCGCTTTTCCTATCGCGTCTCGTGTGTCACGGCCTTCAAATTTTACTCCCATCGCGCGTAAAGAAGTTTTACTTAAAAAAAACGTCGTAGCGTCGGAGCACAGTCGCAAGAAATAGACCAAATGTTTTCGCAGAAAAAAAGTATCTATGGTAATCGCAAAACAATTTCCGATGCGCGTCATCAACTTTGAAGCGATGGCGGCAGCGCTGCCAGATTGTGATGGATTTACGAGATGAATCTTAATTTAAAAGTGACAAACAATATATTTATTATATCATTTTTTAAAGATTTTACGTTTTATTTTTAATGTTTAACTAATATTTTAATAAAACACGCTTTTAGATGCATCAAAAAACTTTTAATAAGAGTAACTTTAACTCTACATATATGTTTCGGCTTGTTAGGCCTTTTTCAAGAGTTTTTTAAGAACTAATCGTCTAACTACACTGTAACTATATATATATTTGCTATGGGGGGCAGAGAGTTTACTAATAGGGGTAATAAAAATGTGTTTAGAAATCCTTGTTGGTCGTTAACATTATTTTCGTTTTTAACAGATTTTAGTATTTCTAACTGTTCAATGTAATTTAAGCGTCTACCTTTTGTTTCTCTGTTAGTAACTTAATTGAGTTTTCATTAATTTTGTGATTATTTACTATACAATGAGTTGCAAGACCAGAACTATGCTGGAGATTATTAATAGACTTTACATGTTCTTTAATCCTTATATCTAAATTTCTACCTGTTTGGCCTATGTACACGGCATCACAATCATTGCAATCCACCTTATATACACCCGACTTATTTTTGACATTAGTTTTGTCATGTGTATTAATTAAATTTCTTTTATTTACGTTAATAGTTTTACATCCTATTTTATTGAGATTATTTGATATTTTGTTAGTTAAATTAGGAATGTAGTTTAAAAGTCGATAATTGTTATTGTCTTTAGAATTAGCGGAATAAAAATTTTTCATTAATATTTTCTTTTGTTTTTTCTTTAGCATATTATCAATAAGGGAACGCTTATATCCATTGTTGATGGCGATTTGTTTACTAATATTTAACTCTTTTTTAAAATTCTCTGGGCACAGTGGAAACATTACTAATCTATGAATTAAACTATGAAAGGGTGACATTTTGATTTGCCAGGATTGGTGTGATTGACTATGTATTACAGTGTCTGTGGTAGTGGGTTTTCTGTAAATATCAAATTGTAATCTATTAGACGGTTTTATAATTGTAACATCAAGAACTTTGAAAGTGGTGTAATGTGCTTATCAATCAAACTTACTTCTCTGACTACAGTCAAGAGTAATAAAGGATCTTTATTGTCACGTTCTCGTTCAAAATAGTTTATCAGGAAAGCTACAAGCTCTTCACTTCGACTGTTTAAATGCTTCGGCATATTCTCAACACACAATTTCAAGAAATACAATACAAAAACTCGAAAATTTAGTTCTTAAAAGAACTGTTTGTGCTTTAAAGTACAATTTTTTAAAAAAGACTATGAAAATAGGCAAATAAAAACGAGAATTACAAAGATTCAACGACAATACGATATTATACAAAATAATGACTGACGCATGACGTTAGGATAATTGTCAAATAATAAACAACCTTGCTGAAAACGGCGCAATCTGACCAACATAGCGATAACAAAATTCGGTTTAAACTAATTTTTGCAGCTTTAATCTAAATGAAATATCTGTTACAATCATTTGCTCTATAAAATAAAATGAAGAGCTGCTCGGTATCTTAAATTATACAACAAATTTCAAATTTTTTGCCAAAATTTCATTTAGTCAGGTTCATAGACTTTAGTGTCAATGTCGATATGATTGATGACGTGCCTCGGAACACGTTTTGCGATTACAATAATAGATTTGTCATAATTAATCATCACAGAAAGCATTTCAATAATAATTCCACTCATATGTTGGCTATATAGAGTCTGAATTTAACCAAATTGATGTCCTACAGGCCGAAATAAACTCATCGGCCAAATTTCTACTGGAGGAGCTCTATTTCAAGGTGCACGAGCTGGCAACGTGGAACTCAGCGGTCAAGGAGTCGCACAAGATCCAAACCATCGACGAATACACCGACATCAGCTACCAGATCTCTGCAGACGGCGCTGGAGGTCTAGTCAGCAGTAGGGACTTTGTCAGTTTGAGACACTGGGCCAGTATAGAAGACTGTTACGTCATTGCTTGCGTCAAAACCGACCACCCGCACTTTCCAACTGACAGTCGATACGTCAGGTGTGTATCAGTCCTTATAGTTCATATCAAATAAACTTTTAGTCACGTGATTAAGCTTGACCGGTACAGCGTTGCCGGTTTTTACATATTTTCTTTTAATCAAAATATTTTAGGAATCAGAATTATAACTCGGCTATTATTACACCTACGGTAATCATCAAAAAATGGATTGTTTAGCTATTCCAAAAGCTTCATTTTTGCTTTATATGAGTTTTGCGATAAAACGCAAGGTTTTCGAGTTATTTATAAAAATTGGCAAAAAATATGCAGTTTTTAGATAAAAAATCAACATTTTCAATCCTAAATAACTAGGAAAATATTAATTTTCTGAAAAAATGACGTGGCTAATGCCTGAATATGAAATACTTAGGTTGTATTCCGTTGTAAAACCAGGCGAACCAGACCGGTTAACTACGGTAAAGAGCGGTTCCTGAAAAATATCGGTTTGATACGTAACGGTTTGGTAAAATATTGGAAACGTTAAATGTTGACGTTTTCTAAATTTCAATAGCTCTATTATAAAATTTATCTTTTATGCATTTTTAATGTGCCTATTCTCTGCTTTTACGTTTGCTTCTTCTTTTCGATGGAGTTTAATTTTGAAAAGTACTTTATTAATAAATTGTTATGCTCGTTAGACAGCTCAAGTGAAGATTTGCAGGTCCAATATTAAAACAGATCAATAATAAATAAACAAATCTAATCAATATTTATATTTTTATAGGTTACAAAACATTCACGATTACTTGTTGTCTTGTTTTTCATGTTTTCTTTAAATGTTCCTAAAAAGTCATTCTATTTAGTTAAAAAATTATTTACCTTTACTGCCCACCTCCATTGCTTTTGGATGTAAATAATTACAAATTTTAGAAATTAAATGAGAATTTAACTCGAACTTCCAATATTTGCTTGATTTCTGTCACAGAAATGACATTGATTGACAAACAAAACCAGAAAAACCAGCATTCTCGCGCTGGTTAGTTTGGTGACAGTTATAACCGAATTTTTCAGGAACTGTGTTCCGTAATAAAAAAACTTTTAGGAAACCGATAGAAACGGAACATAAAACCATAACCAAGGTAAGCAACGGAATACACCCCAATTTTATTTTTTTATTTGATGTAAAAAGTCCAATGAATTGTTTACAGAGGTGAAAATGGCGCTGGGGGCTACTTATTACAACACATAGAGAACGAACCGAAGAAATGCAGGTTCACATGGATCCTGAACACGAATCTAAACATAAAAATCCCCAAGACTTTGCTAGAGAAAGAAATGGTCAAAATGATGTTCTCCTATTTAAGAGACCTCAGAACGCACATTTCGAAAAACGGATAGAGGTAACGTTGATCTCATTTTATACAGGTTAAGTAAAAAAGTGATTTTTTGAACGTCGGTGATTTTTTTCTGTGTGAATTAAGTGTATATTTAAGAGTAAATGGAATTAGATGAACAGCAAATATTTAAATCGTTTAAGATTGCCATTTGCATTTGAACGTTTGAATACTGGAGATACGTAAGAGGTTTTTACCCTAGATTATATATACTTACGTGGATAAATAAACGCCATAAGTTTAGCATTAAAAAATATGTCTCCAACATCACGACATGCCATTTTCAAACCTTCTTTATTGCCCTTATGAAACGTTCAATAGGCTTGCCTTTCTCGAGGACCTTACTTTGCGCATGCGCATTAAAAGGTGCACGTATTTCCAAAATAATCACAATTTTATACGGTTTAGAAAGTACAAATTATACATTGTTATGGAAACCAACTTTTCATTGTCATCATATTGTCATAATCATATATGTCCACAAAACATCCCCCTTTAGAACTTCGTCTGTCATGTTAAGAAATGAAAGTAAATAATAAAGCGCCTCTCGTGTTTGTTCGCACTCAAAAAATTTCAATTAATGACTGTATATATTTTAAATATATTTTTTAAATTTACATTTTTTAATTGTAAAGTAATATATTACATTTAAATAGAATATATTACATAACAATTATGTCAATTACAGGATTACAAGCTTGATTTCTAACATTTTTTAAATAAAACGAATTATAAAATTTCGATATATTATGTATATTTGTCGTAGGTATGAAAAAAGTAAAATATAAAATGGACAAACGCTTACTTACATTGCAATAAAACTTCCACTTTTAGTTTTGCAATCCAAACGCAATATTTCTATTTCACAAATAAAAATATCCGACAACACTAAAATCACTGAAACTTCCGTTAAGCGCGACCCTTTGTGTCAAAATTAGATGATTAAATTTTCGCAATTTTTACACCATTTGATGACCGGTGGCGCCTCGAGTGTTTGTTCGGGCGGTTGGGCTTTTACTCCCGCTTATGGCCATTAAAGAAAAAGTTCTAAAGGGGGATGTTTTGTGGATAAATGGAAGTCGTTGATATGTTTGCGACAGTTTCTATAGTGATTTACTGATCCACGTAAGTATATTTATATGATCTAGGGTTTTTACTGTTAGATTAGTTGATATTTTTGCATTTTTAATCCATATTCTTACATATTTACTACTATAAATTATAAATATATTTAATATATTTTTTAATTTTTCCATGACTATAGATTTTATATATTATTTATTCAAAAACTCTTAATACAAAAAATAAGAATATGGCAAATATCATTAACTAGACAATAAGTCAGACTTCTCTTTGTAGTTAATGATATTTGACGTCAGCGTTAAATTAAAAAAGTGAATGCGAATTATTGAGGGAAAATAATAAGTTGAATAAAGTGGCGATAAAGGCTGTGTTGCCAGAATTACTATTTTTAGTATACATACAGTATCATCATATAATATTTTTCAAAATATAACTGTATATCATTTGAGACACCTATTTTGGAAATTTAAACATTGTTTGATTAGTCTGCCAGTACATTTATTATATTTATATTTAAAAAATCAATATACTGCATGATCGAGAAAAAAAAACGGCGTCGGCGATGGCTATGAAATGAAGATTGCTGTTATTTTATATGTAAAATTATATGGGGAATGTCAACGATTTTCTCGATCATACGGTACTTACAGTCCAAATAATTCTAGGAATTGGCTTACAGTTACTAAATGTACCATACGATCGAAAAAAAACGGCGTCAGAGTTGCATTGGAAATAAAAATCGTAATTTCTAAACTAACTTGCTGTGCTGTTGCCGTTTTTTTTTTCGATTATACCATATCTTGGGACTAAGGTACTTTATTAGAGTTTAACGAAACGCTTACCTATAGCAAAAAATAAGGGTTATGAAAGGTAACACACTCTTTTTATTATGCTAATTACACTGTATGAAAAAAAAACGATGTCAGAGTGGCTTTTGAAATAATAATCGATGATAATTTCTGTTGTACCGACCTCTATATGTTGTTTATTAAAATATCCATGCTTTATGACTTTTTAAACATTATTTGTTGAACATTTTCCAAAGATATGCTTTTTTTTTAGAAATTTTTATCAAGAAAATTGTAACTATAGTCTGTCCAACGACAAAGGGGAGGTTTAGACAGACGATATTCAAAAAATGACAGAAAATACGATTTGCCTGTGAATTAAAATGACAGACATACTGTCATTTGTCACTATCAGGGATCTTCCCATTGGACAGGCTATAATATGTGCAATTTTTTGTAATAGTTTTATGTCTGATTAAGGAGACTCATCAGATTTTTTATTTGGGAAAATTAATAAAATATTAAATCTCCCTAATAATTATAACTACTAATTTCTCTGAAAATTCTTTCAAATTCATATACAGTATGTCCTAAAGACTGTATGATGAGTTATAACTCGTTATAACTCAAGAAAGGGGAACACAATAGAACTGTAAGGTCGCGGTGATTAACTCCCCTCCTAAACATTCTACATTTTACATGTCCCAGTAATTTTTGCGAATTTTGCATCTGTAATAATTTTTTTAATAAGATTTTTTCTTCCTGTGTACCTAAAAAAGTAAGGCAGTATAGACTCTATCATTGCTTTTTAAATATAGTTTATTCGGCGAGAGAATGTATGATTTTGACAGACGACATCCAAAAAATGACAGAAAAATAATCTACCCTTCAATTAAGATACCAGACAACTGTCACTAATGTCATATTATTCTCTCTATGGACGGACTATTCGTTTAAACTTAATAGACAGTATGAAATGGACTTTTATACTGGTAAGATGCTTATGATTAAGATTATAAAGATTATTTCTGTGAAATATGTATAGTTTTTTTAACATAATTATTTTATATAATTCTATTCTAGATTATGTAAGTGATTTTTTATTCATAATTTAGATTTAAAATATATTAAAATAACAAAACATATTCTCGATATATCATTCATTTAGAGGTATTTAATATTTTTCTTATACAGGGTGGTCCGAACTGTATTCCGGAAACTTCGGCAGCATATTCTATAGATAAAAATAAGTAAAACACTTCCTTGTCCTTAAATGCTTAGTTTCGGAGATACAGGGTGTAAAAGTTTCATTTTTATTTCGATTTTTTCCAAATAATTTCTGAAGTAACGTCAATATTTGGATGAAAATTGGTGTCTGGGAGTTTTTTGACATGATAAATTTGATTTTGATGTCAATATGACTCCTGCTTGTAGAAGGCGCCACCTACATATTTTTTAACTGGTTTGAAGACTAATAACTTTTCGTCCGTACCTGTATAAAATTACTGAGTAAAAAATATACATTTGCGACATTTTTTACGTAAGAAAGGTCTCTTGGTAAAAATCGCTACGAGTAATGGTTCTCGAGATATTTGAAATCAAAATTATCAATACCTGTCATCATTGACATAAATTAAACATGTTGATTTCTATAGTTCTAAATAGTTATCAAACTGAAATCATAAATTTGGAATGTTTTTGTGTCAAAAGTTCAACAGAAACTGTTTTATCATCATTTTTTCGCAGAAAAAATTATTATTAATTTAAAAAAATAATAATTTCCCAAATTTATTATTTCAGTCAAATAACTATCTACTCAACGTGTTTATTTTTTTGTCAATAATGGCATGTATTGACTATTTCCATTCTAAATATCTTGAGAACTGTTGCTCGTAGCGATTTTTACCAAGAGATATTTTTTACGTAAAAAATCACGGAAATGCACATTTTTTTACTCAGTTTTTTACTCAAATAGGCGCGGATGAAAAGTTATAACTCTTCAAACCAGTTAAAACACATGTAGGTGGCGCCCCCTTCAAATAGGAGCCCTATTGACATCAAAATCAAATTTATTATGTCAAAAAACTCCCAGACACCAATTTTCATCCAAATATTGACGTTACTTCAGAAATTATTTGGAAAAAATCGAAATAAAAATGAAACTTTTACACCCTGTATCTCCGAAACTAAGCATTTAAGGACAAGGAAGTTTTTTACTTATTTTTATCTGCAGAATATGCTGCCGAAGTTTCCGGAATACAATTCGGACCACCCTGTATATGAGATTTCATAGTTTATATAAAATACAGGAAAATTTTGAACTTCTTCTTCTGAGTGTTTTGGTTCATAATGGAGGTTATTATTTTTATGTACTGCATTATCAAAAGTTCAAATAATAATCTTTTCAATCTCTTTACTAAAAAATGAAGGCAGTTTGATAATTTTTGTAAAATAATCTGTTTTTTTTTGGCACATACATAGTGATAAAACCTGGAAAATGAAAAAATGAACAAATATAATATTTTTGACACCCTGTAAATATAAGTGTTTCATGTCCATTAGCGACATTAATACGCAATGTTCCGATGTTAAATATATATTTATATACAATTACACATATAAGTGACTGTGATCTATCAAGTAGATGTATTTTTTTCTTATAGATAATTTTGTATTCTTAGGATATGATAATGAAAAAAATATATTCCTTTATAGCCTATAATATATTATTAATTCTGAACAACAAGGATCTTGTTTTATTTTGTTTTGAAAAATAAAACGCTTTGTTAGACTTGAATGCTTCTTTATTTCATATAGTTATATAAAATTTTCAGTTATTGTAGTCATTGGGTAAGTTAGGTAGATGTATTTTGTTTGAATTATTATTTTTCTTGTGATGGAAACCAGGATTGGCATGCCTCGTTCGCTATTTCACACATAGCGGATAGAGCCTTGCTAGCAGAGTCGTATTCTAAAAAAGTTATGATATAGAAAAATTTCAAGTAAAAAAAATTGTCTGTGGTTTAAAAAATACTATAAAAGCAGTTCAATATCAATAAATCTTAAACAGTCAACAAATTGACATGTTTGCCGTTTGTGAGTTGAGATGAGAGTGACTGTCCTTGATTATCTTTTCTGTCATTTTTTGGATGTCATCTGTTGAAATATTTGCTGTTTCGTTGGATAGACCAAAGGATAGACTATAACTTATTAAGATTTATTGAGATTGAGCTGAATTTTTTAAGATTTGTTGATTAAAGTGTTTGAAAAACCATGGTAATTTTGTCCTACAAAACAACTTTAGCAATTCCTCAGTCAAACGAATCAAAGTAGCCGATTTTATGACTATACAGTATGTCCCCGGATTGTTTTTACAATTTGGTTTTTTGTTTATATATTTGGTACAATACATCAAAATACCGTATGATAGAATAAAAACGGCGTCCAGTTGGCTTGGAAATGACGATCGATGACATTTCCCATATAAATTTACATATAAAATGACAGCGATCTTCATTTCATAGCCATCGCTGACGCCGTTTTTATTCGATCATACGGTACTTTATATTAAATGTTTTAATAAGTTTTAATCATCTGCCGATAAAGCCAAATATTGTTATTTTCATGTAACCAATATGTTTGAACACAATCTGTCAAAGCTGCATGTGGGATAGAAGAAAAGTTAAATATGTTTTAAAGTAGATCTTCAATAATATGAATCATTAAAATCAGTATATTTTTATTATGGATCTTAATACAGCGTGTACCACAGAGCAAATTTGTATCTGATGTTTAGGGATTTTTCGTTTTAGCCAAAGTGTTACCATACACGATGTCAAATATTGAAACTAGGAAAACTAACGTGAGAACAACTATATAATTGTGTGCATAGTTTAAAATAAAGTGTTTTAGTGTTGAAAAAAAACACTAAATGTTCTGACCTAAACAGTTTGTGATGAAGTTAGTAAAAAGGGGGTATTTTTTAAAAGAAATTTCGAAAATTATAACTATTATAGTTTTATTATAGTTACCATTGCTTCCTATACCGGATCTTTTACCAAAAATGGACCCATTAAAAGGTGGTTTTCTGTATGTAGCCATGGAAGGCGAAATGATACAGAAAATAGCAACCAACAGTAAAATGGTAGTCACTTTGTTTAAACAATATCGATCCATTGAAGTTTCTGCAAAAATTGTTTAAATACATTTATGGTTTTTCGTTTTTTTTAGTTGGGTGTCTTTCTAGAAAGTTGATTGTTTATATAGAAAGAACCAAAAACATAGAATACATACCGGGTGCCTCTCAAAAGTGGCTCACCCCTATAACTTTTTTATTTTTTCAGATAAAAAAACGAGATTTGGTACGTTAGTATATGACATAAATTAGGATTGACTGACGTATTCAATTGTTTTCGGTCACTCCCTGTTTCACCGGAAATGACTATAACTTTTGGTTTTTAAATGGCACCCTCTGTGTTTTTTTACTTTATTCGATAGAAAATAACACTCTGAATAGAATGACATATCATATGTCAACTTTTGACATTTTCGCATATGGTTTATTTGAAATTATAACTTGCGGTTCGTAACGAAAATTTGACTCGAAATACCAAGTGTGTGGAACCAAATTATTCGTAAAAAGATGTTTTTTCCAAATATGCTAATGAGCCACCCTCGTTCCATTTGAAAAATTGAGATATGATCAAAAATACGATTAAGCATTTTCTAACTGGCCAGGACAAGACACTAAAAATATTAGACGATCAAATCTATTTTTCCAAGGCTCCTTGATTAAGAATTTGTGTTTTTAACATACCCATGGCACTCTAGATTGAATGTTAAAATACGATTTTTTATAAAGCGAGAATCTCAAAAGTTGATATATGATATGTCATTCTATTCAGAATGTCAATTTCTATCCAATAAAGTAAAAAAAATACAGAGGGTATCATTTAAAAATCATAAGTTGTAGTCATTTCCGGTGGAACAGGAAGTGACCAAAAACAATTGAATACGTCAATAAATCCTAATTTATGTCATATACTAACATATCAAATCTCGTTTCTTTATCTGAAAAAATATATAGTAGGTAGTTATAGGGGTGAGCCACTTATATCTTAAATTTTATAATGAATAAAAAGTCTGTAAAGACAAAAACTTTTCTCAATTGGTTGTTGTTGTTATACGTTAGATTTTTTTTTATTTTACAATTAGTAAGGAAGTTAAAAACAATTAAATAATTTATCGTAAACTATATCCTTATTTTAAAAAAGCAACCGTGAATTTATTCCCGCATTTATTCATTTACATCCTGTATTATATTGAAGCTACTTACCTAAAAGCTGTGCTATTTCAATAAATACTTATGACTTCTTGTTGTTTGCTCTACAAAGTACAGGATACTACTAGAACGTCTATGATTTGAGCTTCGGCTTTTATAGGGCAAAATTCTATTTCGTCTTCTATTAGTTTAGAAATCAATTTAGCGTCCATTTAGCTTCCTGAGTATGGGTCGCTAATGTAATAATAACGTCGTGTGTTGTCCTCTTTAGTTTTTATACCCTCGGCCCTTGTGTCTCGATTGATTTGTTTTTAAAGTTGAAATTTAATTTTTGCCGCTTCTTTGTTAGTTTAGCGCGTAATGCATTTCTGTAATAAATATCAGTGGCATTTTTAGGAAAATAAACTATTTTATTAAATTCAGAAAATCTATACCAATATATAAAATCCTTTAAGTGACTCAATGATTAATTCCTATCCTGCTCAAACCTTTCAACGGAAGAAACTCAATTTTGGCATACAGGTTGATTCTAGGGTGTAGAGGTTCGATAAGAAGGGATTTTTCGAAATTCCACTTCCAAGGGGGTGAAACCACCCCTCAAATATTACAATATTTTTTATTTAAAAAACGGTCAAGTTTCCGAAAAAACGCTTAAACACGTATATTTTATTTTGTTTTTTTACATATTTTAAGATTTTTTAAAAATGTATACAGGGTGTTTCGAAGAATCTGGTCATTGATTAATCACGATCCTGCTTAAAGCGCTTGACGTAAAAAGCTGATTTTTGGAAAACGGATTGAGTTTAGGGTGTAGAGGTTCGATAAGAAGGGATTTTTCGAAACTCGAATTCTAAGGGGGTGAAACCACCCCTCAAATATTAGAATATTTTTTATTTAAAAACCGGTGAGTTTTTCGGAAAAATTCTTAAATACGTATATTTTATTTTGTGGTTTACATATTTTAAAATTTTTTAAAAATTTATGCAGGGTGTTTACAGACGTTCATGCATACTTGACAAGTGTACTTGTGCAAGCGTACTTGTATAAGAATTTGGAACGTGTGTAGGAACAAACTTGTACAAGTATTTCGACTTGTTCAAGTGGCATAGACTTGTACGAATTTTCTTCATGCCCCAGTGATTTGCGCAAGTATGCATGAACGTGTATATCAAACTTCCGCAAGCCTGAAGTTGATTCTAGTAGGTTTATTGCTTGGTTCTTATTTGTTTGTTACCAGAAGATAGATAAAAATGGCTAGTGAACATGAAAAAAGTATGCGGGAGGTATTGGTGGAGTTCATTAGTATTTATAGAGAATCTCTTTGTTTATGGCAAGTAAAATCAAAGGACTATCATAATAAAAACAAAAGAGAGGCTGCATGTAAAAGTTTAATTAAAAAATTGCAAGAAATTGATAAAACTGCAAACCGCGATTTGATTGTAAAAAAATAAACAGTTTAAGAACAAATATTTAGCAGGGTAAAACTTCAATTCGTTTAAAATATTAGTATGCGAAAAAATATTCCTTTTTAGAACGCAGTTTTTGCATCAAAATCGACGAGTTTTCCTTTTTTCTTTCTGTTTAAGCAGAATAACGAACATCGCAAGAGCTAGCGCGTCTTCTTCGTCTATGTTTACCTACTAAAACCAGACTAAAACTATTCAAGTGCGCTTGTATTGTGTGGAGTCAATGCAAACTTGTACAAGTACGTTTGCACAAGCAAATTTGTCAAGTATGCATGAACGTCTGTAGCCGCCTTAAAGCTGATTTTTGATTGTGAGATGTAGAGGTTCGATAAGGAGGGGTTTCTTGATGTTTTTTCTCATGCTGACCTAAATGTGAGAAAATTTTACTTACTTTTTTTTACTAAACTTAATATTTTTTAAAGTTTAATGCCCTCTAGCGGACAAACGTAGCACTTTTATATAGAGGTGATCCATGGAATATTGGGACAACCTGTGCATATACTGCTAAAAACATATTAATAAAAGACAGAATATTATTAGTAATTAATTTATTTTTAATCATATTCTACACTTTTTCACTGTACTAAAAAAAATCTGTTGAAACATCTACCAGAAGAACAACCAACGATATCCGTAGTTCGCTGGTGGCTTTTCTGCATCCGGAGGCAGTGCTGGAGCAGCATCGGGATAGACAGGTAAAGGCTCCTTCTCAGGCCTAGGTCTGAGGGTTTTGTGCACGTGAACACGATTGTAATAGTCGTAAGGAGGTCTATCTATACCCAAGTTATCTTTCATACACTTGTCGAAGATTCCCTGAGTTTTTCTACATCTAAAAACGGAAATATCTGAGTAAAATACATGTTTTAAAGCTTAAAAGACTTACGGTGTAAATTTCTGATCGGTGCTAGACTTGTCTACGCAGTTTGCGTACTGAGTAAACTCTTCGAAACAACTTCCTTTGACTTTCCTGAAGAAATTCAAGGCACAGTTCGTGACTGCTTTGCCCTCGTTAATGCACTTTCTGGGATCTTGTAACTCGTACCGGCACAATATAAATTCCTTAAAAGAGTTAGGAAAATAAAATATATTATTTTGATTAGGTAATAATTAACCTCACATTATTCTCCGATTCGCAGGCCTTTCCCAAGTGAAACCCTGCCGATTTTAGGACGGGACCAGTCAGATTGATCTCTTGAACTGTGAGCTCTTCTTCGGTGGGCAAACACGTGTCGTCGGTGATGGTCATTTTTCTTTATTTTAGAAAAATCTCATCAAAATTTGCTAATGATTACATTTATGCCATTTATCCAACAGCTGACATTTTCAATTTCAATATTTCAATTGTAGATAGCTGTTTATAAAAAACTTAAAAGATTTGACTTTAGATGACTCTGCATAATAATTTTGTAGATTTCTTTATCCATTTTCAATTTTTTAATAATGCTATTGTTCGTTAGATGTCGCTGCTATCAAACAATAATAGAAACCTGTAAATTACCTTTATTACAGATTTCTGTAATGATATATTTACAGATTTCTATAACAAGGTTATAGATCTCTGTAATATTAAATAAAATAGTTTGCACGTTAATTGTTAGATGGCGCCACTATCTCCATTTTAGTTCCGCGAAATTCCGCTAGAATTTTATTGGCGCTGTAATCTTTTATTTTTGCCGCCTAAGTTTTAAATTAGACGCAACTCAAGGAATCATTAATATTATATTTATAAACCAAGCATAGTGTAAAAAGATGGTTTCTTTTACTAAAATTTGACCCATTGAATGGTTTAGTGATTTTCTGTAGCAACACAGATTTATTGTACTTTCTGCAAATATGGTTTAAATTTGTTTAGATACATTTTTTTCTTAATTTGGGGCTTCTCAACAAAGTTTTTGGTTATTACAGAGTGTGCCAATACCATAATATATGTCATAAATTCATTTTGCACTTGTTTTGCACGAACATGTCAACAAGGGAACAGGGTAAAAAGGATTTTTACATTAATCTGTTCTAAATTTTAGTTTCAATTGTTGACAGGCGTTTGCTGCACTTCTTGTGAGGCACTTTTTTCAACGGCAATCCATTATTGTGCAAAAGAAAAAATAAGGCAGCAAACACACCATTCAGCGGCCATCTTTACAGAGAATTAAGCAACTACAAAGGCACTGAGTTTCACTGAGGTCAATTCTAGACTAGTGTAGGATTGTGTGCGTAATCTATACACTGTGGGTGAGCGTAGCAATAAAGCGTAGCAAAAAAGAAATATTTTTTAGGATAATTTAAACACCAAACACTATAGTTTAGACATGTAATGATATTTTATTGACAATCAAATTATAACAGTTCAACATTTTCTTTCACATTTTTCATCGTTTAGACTCTTATATACTATACTCTTTTTTCATTTTTGTTCAGATACTTAATGTAAGTAAAGTACATCTATTAGTTTTTTATTACGACTTGGCTTAAAAATATTAAGAGATATTCACAAATATCACAGGTGGTATTGGTCCCGGTGCCGAGACTACTTCTGATTGGGGTTCACGGTGACGTTGACTTGGATGACGTTTCAGTTGACAGATGGGGGGCGCGGGCGCTCGGTGACGCGCGGCGCCCCACCACTACACAGAGCTCTCCTTGTGGTGGGGAGGCGTCTGCGTGGCGGTGTTGCGCGACTGCAGCATCGGCGCCCACGTCACGTGGTACGGCTTCACCGGCATCTGCGTGGCGCTGTTGCGCTTGCTGTGCGGCCGCGCGGTGATCGTGTAGGGGGGTAGGCAGGAGGAGTCGATCAGGCTCTCTGAAACACCGAAACCTACGTAATAATAATCGGAATCCTAGTCAGGTAGTGATGGTAGACAAAAAACTGTTATTTTTAAATAACAGTAGTTGGGACTGTTATTGAAAAATAACAGTAGTTGGGACTGTTATTGAAAAATAACAGTTATTGGAAGTGTATTTTAAAATAACAGTTATTGAAATTAAAAAATAACAGTTATAGAAACTTTTATTTTAAAATAACAGGTACTGGAACTGTTATTGAAAAATAACAGTTATTCGAAGTGTTATTTCAAAATAACAGTTATTGAAAAATAACACAAATTATCCAAAAGAAGTGAATACATCAATTTCTAGTTGATTTATTTTTTTCTCAAAAACCGTTCGATGTACAAGAAAAACTCAAGAACTCAAACTTGTTAAAAAGGAATGGACATTCAAGGAAAAAATATGTTTTCTTAAAATAAGCAGTGGCGTACCATTTATTTTAAACAAATAATTCGGATATCAGTGCTTACGGACACGTGGCAATATATTGCTTGCCAATGATAAACTAAGTGAATATTTGAGGTGAATTTGCATTGCGACACCTGGTCGGGTAAGCTCCAGAAATATTCCCTTTTACAAATTAAAACCGAAATTACGTAAAACATATTAGCGAAAAATCCAATTATATTCTTGATCGTTCTTTTTTCCGAATTAAATGTTCAGTGTTATTTCGTCTCTCCGGCTTTTGTGCCTTGTTTCGCAGTTTAATCTAAACAGCACATTTTAGAAAACTAATTATATCGGTACGAGCCGAACCATAACAATTTCGGAATTTTCGTCTCGGGCTCAAACATTTGTTTATCTTTCATTTCGACCCTTGCGTAGGGTCTCTTTTTATTCCTACGGAAATAAAACGCTTGTTGCTGTGTATAAAGTTCCCAGGTTTGATTAGGGAAAGTGAAAGATACCAAGAGTATTGATTTAATATAAAACAAAATTTTAATTTCATCAATTTATTAGATTGTCGATATAATTGTACAGGGTGAGTCAACGATAGAATAAAGTCCATTATCTCATTTGTTTCGATGTTTACAAAAAAATAGATTACATATAAAAGTTATAGGGACGGTTAAGATACATATTTTAAAATTATTATAGAGTATACAGGGTGCTTCAAAAAAGTGTGGCGAATATAACATATATTTTTTTTAAAGGCAACATCCTATTTTTTATTTTATTTTTAGATTCTGCGTAAAATTCTGTAACTTTTTTCGGTATAATATTATATACCTAAAATTAATAGTTTTTATAATATTTCAATTTGTTTCAACAAAATGTTAGATTTCAATGTGGTAAAAAATTGTCAGTGATGCCATTGTTTCTGAAGTTGGACAACTAAATTTTGGTAGGAGAAATTTATAAAGATGAAGAAAAAGATATATATAAAGATATTTTAGTTATATGCTACAGGGTGTTCAAAATATATTTATGAATTTCAACTATTTCTACTAAAAATCTCAAATTTTTTAAATGGGACACCCTATATATTATCATTTTTTCTGACAGATTTTACAAAACTCTTCAACTTTTATTAATTATGTCATATACCTATTTTTAATAGTTTGCGATTTATTCGAATTTTTTCTATTTGTACCCATATTTTTAATACAATTGCCCTATAAAATCATAGTTGCCATGACAAAACAAACTATTTATTATTTATCTTTAACAAGTAGCTTAATAATTAGTTACATTTGCTGGTATTAGTTAAAGTTAATTAACTTTACTCAAATAAACTAAAATCGCAGTTGTGAATTTCTTGGTGTATTTCTATATTATGAAAGATGACACTTGGATTTTCCTTCAGGACGAATATCCCCAGATTAGGGTAATACCAGATTACCTAATTGTTGAAGACTACTGATATAGGAATTTTCTTCGACATACAGTAAAGTTTTTTTTCTCGTAGTAATTCTGGTTTATAATTCATTTGGTAAAGCCAATATTATTACTGCCACGAAACCGTCCCATTATACACTGAAGTAGTTTTCTAGATAATCTACATCTATTCTTATACTACTAATCAAAGTACTATATAATATATAGTACTGAACCAAAAAATATATTTTTTTGGCTTGTTCGTGTATATCAGTCACATTGACTAATTAATTTCAGCAAAATCTGTAACTATTATCTCTGCCATTTATACTTATTACAACAAATTAAACTAAAATTCAAATTTTGTTCTTAACTTGCTTAACAGACAAGAAATTTTGACAATTATTACTTTTTGTCATGGTAACTATGATGTTATAGGGTAATTGTATTAAAAATACGGGTAAAATTAGAAAAAAATTGGAATAAATCGCAAACTATTAAAAATAGATATATGAAATACTTAATAAAAGTTGAAGAGTTTTGTAAAATATATCGGAAAAAGTGATAATATATAGGGAGTACCATTTAAAAAATTTGAAATTTCTTAATTTTAAGTAGTTAAAATTCATAAATATATTTTGAACACCCTGAATGAGGTGCGCCACTCTATATAAGATTATATATAAAAAAGTTATGGAATTTTACGCAGAATCTAAAAATAAAATATAAAATAGGGTGTTCTATTTAAAAAAAAACATATGTTATATTCGCCACATTTTTTGAAGCACCTTGTAAACTCAATAATAATTTTGAAATGTGTATCTTAACCGTCCCTATAACTTTTATATTTAATATTTTTTTGTAAACCTCGAAACAAATGAGATAATTGACTTATTCTATCGTTGACTCACCCTGTACAAGCAGCTGTGTAGTCATTTATACTCTGAGGCGACGTATATAATAGATTGCTTCGATTAGTTTATTTTATAGATCCTATCTGTTGTTTTATTTCCTAGTGTCCGTTTAGGAAATAAAACAACGCTCCATTTTCCCAAGTAAAAGCCCAGGTTATAAAACATAACAACAGATAAAACACACCGAAGGAAATAAATTTATTATTTTTACTACTTTTAGTCGCATAATGTTCCGTCGGGATGATATAAAATAGAGTGAAACGGCTAAAAAATTGGTAGTTTTGAACATTTATTTTATATGGGTATTTTTTTGTTTAATATACGTAATAACTACAGCGTAGAATATTTTATTTTTGGTAAGATAACCAGGGGGTGACGTACAGTCCGTCAAAATATCCGTTAAATGAATTCAATCTCTTCAAAATTATGTTACCTTAGAATTATTAATTAACAAGTGGAAATGATACTAAAATACTTCTTGAAAAAACTACAATCTATTATTTCTAATAGATTTTGAGATATCGATTTTTAAATTCTAATGGTTTGAGTTCTAATAGCGCTACCACTATCGAACACCCACTCAATTCCACTTATTTTTACCAGAAATGCAAGTGTTTCTAGCTTGCACTTAAAAAAATTCAAGCTATAGGGAAAATTACGACTCGTTAATATATTTATTAACGTATCATTAAGTATCACGAGACGTAATTAAATCGAGCAGAGGTATTGATTGGGTCGACCGGTTAACTGCGACAAATCTGCTATATCCCCTTCCACGTCTCTTAGCGATGTGTACAGTTTCTCGGTTTATTTCATACGTTTGGCAACATGTTTACTGTCCTCTCTTTGTTCAGTACATTATAAACGCATTGTACTCTTCTTACATACGGAAATCTCGACCCAAGACTAACCTTTGCCAGCCACTATATATATAGTTCTACAGGGTGTCCCCGAAAAAGCTACATATCGAAGTTGCGTTTTTTGTAATGGAACACCCTATATATTAATTGATTTTCGGATTCTGGGAGAAAAATAAAGGTGAGTTTTATAAGAAAAGTATACGACTAAAATTTTGACATATTTAACATTTTCTAGAAATAAAGAATAATTTTTAAATTACAATAAAAGCTACCTAAATTCGAATTTACCCTGTATAGCCTAACATGTAGTTAAATTAACTATTGTAATTTAAATCAAATTAAAGGTATATTTATTTACTCAGTAGTTTTATACAGGTACCGGCGAAAAGTTATTACTCTTCAAAACAGTTAAAACACATCTAGGTGGCGCCACCTACAAATGGGAACCATATTGACGTCAAAATCAAATTTCTCATGTCAAAAAACACCCATCCACCAATTTTCATCCAAATATTGACGTTACTTCAGAAATTATTTGGAAAAAATCGAAATAAAAATGAAACTTCTACACCCTGTATCTCCGAAACTAAGCATTTTAGGACATACATTTATACAAACTTTCTTACTTATTTTTACCTGCAGAATATGCTGCCGAAGTTTCCGGAATACAATTCGGACCACCCTGTATAATATGTCATTCTATTTAGAGTGTCATTTTTTATCGAATAAAGTAAAAAAATACCAAGGGTACCGCTTAAAAATCAAAAGTTGTAATCAGTTCCGGTAAAACAGGAAGTGACCGAAAACAATTGAACACGTCAACCAATCCTAATTTATGTCACATACTAACATACCAAATCTCATTTTTTTATCTGAAAAAATAAAAAAGTTATAGGGGGTGAGCCACTTTTGAGACGCACCCGGTACAAATAGCGACGTTTTTTGACACACCACCAGTATTAAACAATGCAAAATCGAAATAATAAACCGACCCAAGCTCGCAACCCTTAATAAAGCAACAATAGAATTCAATTAATATCGAAAGTTTCGGGTTATAACTCACCTGGGCCGTATAAATCACACCTTATTGTGGTCTTCGGGCTTATTCGCAAGCTCCCCAATGAAATATATCCCCTCCCCTTTACCCGGTTTGCTGTTGACCCCCCTTTCGCGTTGTTTCTGTGTATACCTCTTCTCCTAGGCTGCCCCTTTTCAAACACACGGAACTTGGGACACTGTTTAGGTTTCAAACTAAAAGGATATTGAATCAGAGTAATAAAAGCAGGAGCCGGATAAGGACAGCTTATTTGTAGATTGCAGATTGTATGGGAAAGAGGAAATCCAGTTTTTGCGACGGTTTTACAGAGGTTATAGTTCTCCATCATTTTTTGTGTCTT